TTTACAGAGAGAGTGGTGAGATGCTGGAATAGGCTGCCCAGAGAGGCTCCCGTTCCTGGAGGTGTTCAAGACCTTGTTGGATGCAGCCCTGGGCAGCCTGCTCTAGTACCATCAGATCTGGAGATTGGTGGCTCTGTGTGTGGCAGGGGGATTGGAACTTGATCACTGGGCCCGTTCCAACACAAGCTATTCCATGATTCTAGGAATGATTATTCATATTAATAATAATAATATAATATAGGTTCAATAATAATATAAGGTCAAAATATTTCAGATTTCCTCACAAATAATATCACATCTGGTTTAGGAGATGGTACACAAAGGTTTAAAATATCCATATTATACTTAGTGGGGTCTGTTGATTTACATATCAGATAGTAGGTAATATTCATTAGTAAGCCTGTTATTTACCAAAAGCTGCTGTAAGCGCCTTTCTTGTCAGATGTACCAGGGAAGATCAGATTTTTGGTTCCTGTAGTCAACTCATCTTTCACTGCCTTGATGTTTCTCACCAGTGTTTTTCTCTTCCCAAAACCATAAATGGAAATTAGATTCTGCACTGACTGTTGTCTTCTCAGTAAATTTAACAGTAGCCAGTCGTGGCTGTGTTGGCTTGTGGAGTGATACAAACAGTAACACCAATAACACTATTAAATGTGCGTTTTGATTAATTCTGTTATTTAAAATAGATTAATTCAAATGTATTGCATTTGTGTTTGTGAACTCAATTTTCATGTTTCTTTCCCAGAAGAAATACTAGTTCCAGTTTGGGCTTTCCCATCTTGATATTTTATTCCATCTCATGATAGATGTGATATCAGGATGGTGGCACATCTCTTAAACTTACCTACTCTCTGAGAAGGAAAAAGAACAGAAAAAGGAAAAAGAAAAAGAAGACCAACTGAAAACATTTGTGCAAATATTTATAATAAAGAATCCTACTTCTAAGAAAAAATATCTAGAGTGTGGTGTATAGATATAGGAAATTCTATCCAGTGAATTGAGCATTTGTGGAGCTGGTGTTCCAGTCCATTAAGAGGCTTCATTTGGGAGTGGTATTACATATGTTCACTGTAGGGACACAGAAATGTTTAAGATTTTTCAATCTAAATATGGCTTGCAAAAGTATTTGGACCAAGGCCACATTCTGATCGTTCTCCAGAAATAAATACTGCAAGTTAAATGCATTTTAAAGAGAAAAAAACCCACAAAACCTGCCATGTTTATTCCAAGTTTATTTCATATCCATGGCAAAACTGAGAAACTTGAACTTAACTATAGTTAATGCAAAACTGGAGTTAGAAGTATTTTGCATCTTACCTAGTGACGCTGATTCCAAGTCTTAGTCTACATTCTTAGAATTGTGACCTTCCTGGTTGAAAATGTGAAATCTTTTTGTGTGTACAGTGTATTAAGGTCTCTCAGATCTTTTACTTGTCTCGCATAGAGTAAATATATACAGAATGCGTACAGAGAAATCCTCATCTTGAAATTATTGCAGAGATAAAATGAGATACCATGAGCTCCCTATACTCACTGGAAAAGTACTGTATCTTCTGATTCTGACCTTCTCTGAGAAGGGACAACTTTTTGTTTCTACAGGCCATCTTTCCAGTGAGAAGAATGGTGTTTCTTTCAGCGTGCAGAATGGTGATGTGTGTCTTCAGGACTTTTCAGGCAAACAACTTGTATTTCAAGAAAAGGATGACACTGGCAGCCAAAATAGCCGTATCTCACTTAGAAGGACTTCAAAGAGGGGAAGCTTACCTTCTGCTGAGAAAATGTGATTTCCTTTTGAACGGAACACTGTTTTACAGTATGAAGTAGAGATTTACTTCAACAGTTTTACATAATGTGAGAAGACCAAAGACTGATTTTATTTAATATATTGTCTTGAAACTTCCAGGCAGCCATGTAACGGCTTGACAACGACAATTATTAATTGGAAAAAAAAATGGGGAGAAAGCTCCTGTTCCGACAAGGTATTTCGGATGTCGAATTACAGCTGGCACGTTTCTGTTTTGATTCTTCATTAGAGATATTTGAGGATTTTTACGCTTAAAGTTTTGTTTAGTTTTTTTTTTTTAGTACAATTAAGTATCTGGATATAATGCATAGTAGTATTGTATAAATGTAGGAAATTACAACTTGTGTGTTAACTTCAAAAACGTTAGCTATACTGTCTTCAACTTTTTGTATGTTAGAGTTGCAGGTTAGTGCTGTACATAAGGAGGAGAATGCCAGCCTTTAAATATTTTAGTGGTAGTTTTATATTTATTTCTTGTAATATAAATTTAAATATTCTTTTGTATAGAAAAATAATTGATATTTTGTTTTAACTTTTATTGTACTTCGCATTTGTCTTTAATTGAAATAATTAACAGAATGATACAGAAGTTAATGTGTTCAGTTAGTGAAACCACTTACTGTGGTTTGCCAGAGACAGAACTGTATATGTGAACACCATTATTTTTTAATCCTTAGTGTCCTCTTTCACTGCAACACAGAGAGGTAGAGAAACTGGGTGTCATCAAAGTAGAGCACTAAGAATGAGGGAGTGATGAATAAAGTCACCTGTAAGTTATTAAATGTAGCTAAGTTATCTTAGTAGCTGGACTAAGTTGGTGGGAGCTTTTGCCATTGATTTCACCAGGTTCAATATTTTATCTTGAGTTCCAAGTATTAAACACACTGCCATTTCTCATCTACAGTGATTTTAAAAAGAAAAAAAAAAAAAAGTGTTACTCTTTTTGAATAAAAAGAATACAGAAAATAATGCTGTTATATTTAGTAGCCTAGTAAATTGTTTGTTTTGTTGTGTGGCTGTTTTTAAGCGGCAGCTCTTGAGCAGTTACAATCTATTTCTGCTTGCATTTTGGTCCTTCTTTGGCAAACCAAATTCTGAGGTCCCACCTCAGTTACTTCCTGAATCATCATCTAATTTCCTCTGTGATATTTCTCTGAAAAAGGTGGATTATTGGCTCCTCATACGCAACAGTCGGAAGAAAATAGAGCCCATACAACACTGTGAAGATTTCTGAACAGTGTGAGCACAGGATGTGCCTACTTCTTAGACAAGTGCGCAGTTGTGACTTTCTTTTGCTCCGTGGGTTCTTGTGGAAAGGTTGGATAGTGCCAGAGCAAAAGCCAGTGCCGCACTGCAGAGTGCCAACCCTTGGAAAGGGGCTTTCTGAGGCAGGTGCACACTGGGTGGGAGAAAGAGTTCTGCTTTCCCAGAGGACTCAGTAAGGATCTCTGGAAACACTTCTCAACAAAGTACATCGGTGGAACACCTTTCTGGGGCTCTGGCGTGGTTGTTGAACCAAATTACTAAACACTCGTGAGGTTCTAAATGCAGTGCCTGGATTCTTTTGGTCACCTATGCCTGAGACTATGCAGAATATGCCTTTAAAGTGAGAATTCAAAGCATTTGTTGTGTTTATCCACAAGGTTTTAACTGCATGTTAATAAAAGAAAGTACTGGAATGCTAGTAGCTAGAGTGCTTTTATGTGAATGCTTTAACTGTTGGTGAATTGCCTTTGCACTGTTTCTTGTAAATTTATTTAATGTTTGTGTATTTATATTTTCAACTGTAAAAAAAACAACAATAAATTTACAGCAAGTAAACACAAAATACATAAATTTTGTCTTTTAGCTAAATGTGTCCTTATACTGGATTGTGTTACAGTTCTTGAAATGATGTGAGCCGGAGTATGTCACCTCATGAAGAAAGTGCTGGCATGGCCCTTGCTTTTTTGTGTCCATATCATATTTCACCTTTCATGGCTCAAGCAGATCTGTCTTTCGCAGAGATATGAGTCTGATATAAGCGGTCGGATGTAAGTCTGCCCGGTCAGTGCTTGTTCCTCCAGTCTGCTGAAACTCTTCCATAAGAATGCCATGAGTAAAAGAATCATAGAATCATTAAGGTGGAAAAAGACCTCTAAGATCAGGTCCAACCATCAACCTGTCCCCATTATACCCATTAACCACGTCCCTTAGTGCCACATCGACACAGTTCTTGAATACCTCCAGGGATGGTGACTCTACCACCTCCCTGGGCAGCCTGTGCAACTGCCTCACCACTCCTTCTGAGAAGAAATCTGTATTAATATCCAACCTGAACTGCCCCTGGCACAATTTGAGGCCATTCCCTCTTGTCCTGTTGCTGTTACCTGGGAGAAGAGGCCAACCCCCACCTCACCACAACCTCCTTTCAGGCATTTGTAGAGAGTGGTAAGGTCTCCCCTGAGCCTCCTCCAGGCCATGGCTGAATTTGGCTTCAGCAATTCTGTACTAAAAAGTATATTCTACAGTTACAGCTTGGACTCTTCATTTGTTTCTATTTTTGCATCCCAACTTATACTAGGATTATTTTAATCATTCTTATTTGATTTATTTCTAGGCATGGGAATTGCACCTTACTTGTCCATACACATACTGTAGTAAAGTTTCACACTCCCGGCAGCCTGTTGGTGCAGCCCAGTGAATACCATCAATAAAGGCGTTGAAAAACCATTTGCACACCAGGGGGCGTGGGGACCGAGCAGCTGCCTAAGCAAATTTGGGTTAGCTCAACCGCCTTCTTAGGTCATAAATACAAACAACAACAACAAAAAAAAGTCATTAAATAAGTAGTCATATTGTGCTTTATACAACTCTGTGGTTGTTCCGCTTCCAGTTCCTAGTACTTCATAGAAAGCTTTGCAACTCTAAGCTGTATTATGCTCTACAGAATACGTATCCCTTCGGTACTCGGACTTTTGTGCCCTGCCAGCAGCGTAGCCATAGCAACCCTTTATCTGGGAGAAAAGTGGCACCGCTCCCTGCCCTGCCCCGCCCCGCCCAGCCGCCGCCGTGCCGCCGAGACCTCTCGGCTCCGCCGGGTATCGGCGTAGGGCCGCGGGAGCTGAGGGGAAGCGGCGTAGGGCCCCGCCCGGCCGCCGGCAGGGGGAAGGGCCGCGGGCTGGGAGGGCTGGCGCGCCGCCCGCCGCGCACGCAGAGAAACGGCCGCCGCCATCTCCGGCTGCCGGCCCGCCCATCGCGGCCGGGCGGTGAGACGAGGCGATGAGGAGCCGCAGTAATTCGGGAGTGCGCCTGGACGGCTACGCCCGCCTGGTACAGCGGACCATCCTCTGCCACCAGGTGAGGGCAGCGTCGCCGGTGTAGCGGCTGGGGTTCGGCGCCTGGGTCGGGGCGAGCGGGTGGAGGCGGCTGTCCGCTCTTCCCGGGCTGCGGCAGCCGGGCCCGCACCTGCAGCACTAAGGGCTGCCCGCGTTCTGAGCGCTGAGTGCAGATGTCGGCCCTGCTGGGGAGAAGCTGTCACCGGCTCCCCGTGCCTTGGCTCGTGCAGCCTGCGCAGCGCCGTGCGTTCTGCTCGATGCGCCTGCTTCAGGTGTGTGTGCTGAGAGTGGGGGGCATGCACGGTGTTGTGCTTCTTTTAAAGTGGTTCCCTGCGCAGAGAGAAGGGCAGCGGGGCTTCTTGTGTGAATCTAGTCCCAAATGCACCTCACTGCAGTGACTTAGAAGAAATTGCAAAGCAATCATAAGTGAAACGTCTTTAGATGTTAGGAAAAAATCTTTAACAGTGAGGGGGTGAGGCATCTCTGGTTGCCCATAGATATGGTTGATGCCCTGTCCCTGGAGACTTTCAAGGCGAGGCTGGATCAGGCCCTGGGCAACCTGATGTAGCTGTGGTGTCCCTGTTCATTGCAGGGGAGTTGGACTAGATGGCCTTTAAAGGTCTCTTCCAACTCTAAGGATTCTATGATTCTATGACTCTTAACTAAAGAGGTGAGCACCCAGAGCCCAACAGGTCAATAAGATTTATACCATCAACTCAGTAAGACTTATGCTATCAGCTGTTTCTGTGGGCACAAGCTCCAGACACCTGAGAACTGTTATCATTAGGTGAACTACTGAAAACCTACCAGCAACAAAAAGCAAGGATCTGGTGTGAGCAGTATGAGACAGCACTGCTGGGCTCTCACCATGGTGGGCTGTGGGAGCTGCCCTGTACTGCTCTCCTGGCCCTGCAGGATGACCTTGGGCTCCTTCAGCAGCTGCTGGGGAGCTGGGCCTGAACTGAGCCACTCACGTCCTGTGAGCAGCCAGACAGAAGAGCAGCAGGCGGCAGAGGTGCCGCCGAGACAGGGCTGTACAGCTCTGGCGTGTGGAGGTGACCTTGTGCCCGGCATCCAGCAGCATGCAGATTAAGCTGCTGTGCTCTGACAGAGCTCATGTTCTCTGAGACGTGGCTTGGAGAACGTGAAGTGTGTTTGGGAACATTGCGTTTGATAAAGGTGTGTCTGACAGGGCAGGGGTCAGGTGTCCCTGCCACAGCAATTGATCTGGCATTCGTAACAGTTGCTCTGTGTGAACACACAGCTGAGAAACAAGCGTAAAAGTTAATGGCAACGAGGCAAAGGGAATTAATGATTAAGTGAAAAATGTTGTGAAGTGTTTGAGACGCAGGAGACTATGCAGTATTCTGGTTCTCAAATGGTGTTGCTACTGAACGCTACCAGAATTTGCCGTTCTCTGCATTGGAACATAAAAAGGCTTTGCATGCATTCATGCTTTAGCTTCCATAAACCAAGTGAGACAGAAACACTTTGCCCACTTCCTAGAAGAGAAGCAATTCTTTTTTACTTCTTCAAGACCATACCACAGCATGGTCACACAGACAAGAGCAGATCCCAGCTCAGTTTCAAATGTTAATTCGTTACCGTGTTTTCCTTCCAAATACACACAGTTTAGATTTGTGTTTCTTCATTGTGCTTTGGCTGTCACCAAGTGGCGTAGCTCATCAACCTGGTTGGGTGAGGGTGCCCTGATGGATTCTATAAGCTTTGTGTCCTGAAGTGCTCAAATAACTAAATTTTGCACTTCGCATGTGTGAGTTCAGGAAAGGACTGGGCAAAACTATGAGAAGCTGTATTCTGCAGCCAGTATGAAAACCCCAAATTCTTTCTTTCTCCCTCCTCCAACATGTTTTGATATGGAAAGAAGTGGTTTATCGTAATAGATGGGACTTCAGGTAATAATGTTTGTTCTTTACCTTTTCTACCATGTTCAGAACCCAGTTACAGGGCTGCTTTCAGCTGGTACGGACCATAAGGATGCGTGGGTACGGGACAATGTCTATAGCATCCTGGCAGTGTGGGGGCTTGGCATGGCCTACAGAAAGAACGCAGACCGGGATGAGGACAAGGCCAAAGCCTATGAGCTTGAGCAGGTATGCTAAAGTTCAGTGCAAAGCAACTATGCTATGTTTTGCCTTTTTTTCATATGGTCATGGTTTTGGTGTACTTGCATTGCTATTATGTCGAGGATGTGGCACTGTTTTCCCAGCATGGAATACATGTTTTGTTCTTGTGACAGCAGTGTTTATGTAACACAGAATGGTCTGTGTTCCTAGCAGCCCCCCAGGAGATTTGGAGAGCTGAGCAACAGAGAGGCTAACATCTCCATATATATACTGAAAGTAAACTGGTAGGAGTAAAACTCCCATTGTTTAGCACATTATTGTAAACTGTGCTTCTAAGAGATTTTATGGCCTTGTTTAGAAGCCTCCCTGATTAAACTGTGAGATCCTTCACGAGGTGTGCTGTGGGTAGAAATTCAAACCTAGGTTGCTTGTATCGTAGGGTGGCAATTTATCATTTTTCCCCTTAAGGAGAAACATGCCCTTTAAAGCAGCTGTCTTTGAAATGTGAACATGTGTAGTCTCACGGAAATCATATGTGGTGTATAGACATGTTTGGTCAGAACCAAAAAAGGCAAAGCATGATTGTATTTTTAAGCCTTAATAATTTTCAGAATTTAAGACGAAATCTAGTCTTAATGCTTATTCTGTGCTTCTCTTAATACGCACTGAGGTCTCTTTACATTAGTCATCCGTTTGGTGTATAAAGAGATGAAGAGACGAAGAGACTCCACAGGTTTTCTGGCTGTGTCTGTGTCTTGTAGTTACTTACCAGTGTTGACTGGATCTGTCAGTCTAACAATCATTATTCTTACAGTGGGTAACATTCCTCTTACTTCCTTAGCCAGATAGAAAGAACACAGGTTACTCTGCATGCTGGAGAGGGCCTCTGGGAAAAGATCAGTTCTCCCAAATAGAAGCATGAGAACAAAAATCTTTTTTTTTTTTTTTTTTAAAGGGCATTTAAAACATTTTACATTAATACATTTTTTTTGCCTTTGGGAGGACATTAACATGGGATGTGAACCTGTGACTTTTGCATGTTTTTTTTAACAGCTGATAGGGCTGGTAGTACAGGAGTGTCACTGGTCTGCTTTATTCCTGCAGAACGTTGTGAAGCTGATGCGAGGTCTCTTACAGTGCATGATGAGACAGGTATGTATGCATGGTACAACTCAGCACATACACTGCTGTTAGCCTAAGCCGAACTCTGGTCATGCTTGTACCTTTTTAAAATCAGGTTTGCAGCAAATCACAGTGTTGCCTTTGCAAACTGATTTGCTCAAAGGTGCATAGCTGTTACTAAGATCTGAACTCAGCAAGGTAATTTAAGCTTACTCTTTCCCAAAGAGATGTGGATTTAGGCAGAGTCTAAAGTTCATGCACTATGATCGATCAAAACACGCTGATGTGAGGTAACAAAATTTAGGACCTCAAGTTTCTCCCTATCTAAGACAACGTGTTGTGAAACACTTCAGAAGAAATTCTCCAAACAATTTCACATTTGAAATCTGTGGTGCTTTTCAGGTAGATAAGGTGGAGAAGTTCAAACGCACACAGAGTACCAAGGACTGCCTGCACGCCAAGTACAACTCTGCTACTTGTGCCACAGTGGTTGGAGATGATCAGTGGGGACATCTGCAAGTTGATGCCACTTCTCTTTACTTGCTCTTCTTGGCACAGATGACTGCATCAGGTAAGCAGAAGATATTTTAGCCTTGACTATCTTGTTGTTACAGTCTTCATGTTTTACAGCTTTCAATTGAAAAGGAGGAAAAAAAACGTCACTAGCTTCAAAGATCTTTGTGTAGTTATTGCACAGAAAATAGTATTTCTACGGAAAGAGATGTTTGTTAGTTAGGATTTCACACTTACAGTAACTGCCTAGGAAGTCCATTCTCTTAGAGTTTGTTGGTGTACAAATTCTATTCAGAGCTATTCAAAACCATGTCAAAGAAGAGTGTGTCTGATGGACCAGCGGGTTTATTCAGAGTGACTACACCAAGCTGGATGCCTGTCTGTGTTCCTCTTCTTGTGGGCATTGCTTGTCTTTCTGCTCATAGCAACCATGCTCTTCCTCTGTGAGGATAAGTCTCTTCTGGTGGTCTCCTGGCAGAGCATGAAGCAGATGGTGCAGCTGCTGCTGGAGCTGGGCCCCCCAGTTCTCAGGAGCTGGACGTGGTTCAGCTCTCCCTGTTCTGTAGCCCTGGTGTATGAATGCCATGTTTCCACTGAGGGCGTATTTTTGAAACAGATGATGTGTATTGGTGGCATTTGAAGTAGTTCATGGGCAGCAAATGTTCAGGCTTGTTGCCACTCCCTTTGAAATCAACTTGAGTCTTTCACTGATTTCTGTGAATAGTAGTTGGTAGTTGGTAACAAATATACAAAAGCTTGAAATTTTTTGAAGAGGAAATAGTTCTAATACAGCATATTTTCTTTCTTCTTCTCTTGTTTTTAGGGCTACGTATCATTTTCACCCTTGATGAAGTTACCTTTATTCAGAATCTTGTTTTTTACATAGAAGCTGCCTACAAAGTTGCTGTAAGTAGTTATTTATGTGTAAGACATCTGAACCCAGCTTAGATGTGGGTTGAAAATTATTTCTTGATGGTGACTGAAAATACAATCCTGTTTTTCCATCAGAGGATGTCAGAATTTGTCATTACATTGTGAGCAACATTTCTGGAGGTGGTGGGACAGCTGTGGGGGAATTTGCTGTTTTCTGGATGAAGTATAGTTGTTCTATCATCACAGTAGTAATTAATAACAATTCCTGATGTCTCATGAGCCTTTCTGAAAAGAGCAGAGTGTTACAAACTTTTTTGGAAAGTGATGAGTTGCAGAGGCACAGGGAGAAGCATGCAGTTTGGAGGTCTTTGTGTGTTTTATGGAGAAAGTGATTTATGACTGCAGATGTGATCCTGCTGGGATGTATTTTTATGTTCTGCTTTTTAAACGTGCAGAGGAGCTCTTTGGAAGTCACTTGTTATTTTATTTTTAAGGCTGATAAACAAGTTTCCTATGAGGTTCTGGTTTTGTGGTAGCCTGTGCGTGTGGAGGCGAGGTAGGGAAATGTATATGTAACCATACCAATTTTTTTCTTAATGTTGTTATTCTTGCAGGATTATGGAATTTGGGAACGTGGTGATAAGACAAACCAAGGCATCCCAGAACTGAACGCAAGCTCCGTAGGGATGGCCAAAGTGAGCATGTCTTTCTGACTCCTCTTTTGTGGCTGTTCCCTCACTCTGAATAGCTCTAGTGAACCCAGCGGCTTCCTTTGCATAGCCTTCTTGGCAACAGTTAACTAATTGTATTCAGAATTTTTGAGTATTCAACATAAAATCCTTGTGATAATGGTTTACTTTGAAGGACCTTAGTACAGTTGTTCTGGGACTGCAAAATGTGCAGCAGAATCATTGAGGCACGAACGTGGTAGATACAGTGAACAGGATTTTAAAAGGAAAGCTCCTTGCTCTTTTCCGGATCCATACCCTATGTGGCACAGCAAACCCCACATCAGCAAAGCCAGGACACTTCCAGGTTGACATAGGGGTGCACAGGGATGAATGGGTGGGTTGTTAATATCTTCCTAAGGCATATACATACGCATTATAGCTGAGATATAGGAGATGTACTGATTCACCTGTTAAGACAGGCATGATGTGTCTCTACAACCTAATGGCTGGTTGGCCATTAGGCATGCAGAGAGCAGACATCTCATCTCTCTTTCCCTAGGGAAGCGATAATATCAGAAAGAGAGGTAGATGGCAACATGCTCTTCCCTGCACTAGCAGAGGCTGGTTCCCAGAGCATGTTGAGCAAGCTTTCCTCTTTGAATAGCCCTGCAACTAGGAGCCACAAATTGCCACTGAAGTGGAGGGGGGTTATATTGGAACGTGGAACAGGAGAAGCATTTATGGATAAATATTATTTAGGTATTATTCAGCAGAAGCACTGTTTCCTGTTGCTTTGCGTTAGGTTTTAATTGTAAGAACGGTCATCAGCACATCAGTCCTGGATCCTACGAATGGAAATGCAAAAATATTGTTTATTTTTTCAAAAGTATTGACATACTTCCCATTGAGGTTGGAAACAATATCTGTGGAGCAAACTTCTGTCTTGCCTAATAACCTTCAGAGGAAATGTCAGATTTTTGGGTTGTACTTGGCTTAAAAGATATCTAATGGTATTTTTGTGTGTGGGTGTTATTTGTTTTGAAGGCTGCTTTGGAAGCAATTGACGAATTAGATCTTTTTGGAGCTCATGGAGGGCATAAATCAGTGATTCATGTTCTTCCCGATGAAGTAGAACATTGTCAGGTAAAAGCAGTGTTCTGTTTCTAGTGCTTGAAGAAAATCCATCTCCAATTCCATTCTGTTCTTAATTGAAATGCTGGTTAACTGAATGGTAAACTTAATAAGGGTGACTTCAGACTGTGCTGTTCATCCTGTTTATAGTAAATCACATGGAGCTGGTTTGAAACATTCCTATGTTAACTCAGTTAAAACAGTTATGCAGTGAATTCTCTCCATTTGCAAATTGTGCATTCTGTTTTGCACGTTACATAGCCTTTTGAACAAAGTAAATTATTTCATATCCCTCTCTTCTGCGTTTTGCTCAGTCTATACTATACTCCATGTTGCCAAGGGCATCCACGTCAAAGGAAATAGATGCTGGCCTTCTCTCCATAATTTCATACCCAGCTTTTGCAGTGGAGGATATAAACCTTGTTAATATAACCAAGAGTGAAATCATATCCAAATTGCAGGTAAGGATTTCCTTTATTTTGTTTTGTTTTATTTTTCAGAAGGAAGGAGAAGCAGAACCTTTTTTCTTAATTGAAAATCCTAATTAATCTAGGATTGACAGACTTGGTGGGTCCATGCATGGAACAGAGGGAGGAAAATCCCAAAGTAGCACTGGAAACTCACAACTTAGATGTTGGTATCAGTCTGTCAGGAAAAACAGTATGTTAAGATTTCTGTAATTTTGTCTGTTGTTATAGGGCCGCTATGGCTGCTGTCGCTTTCTCCGAGATGGCTACAAGACACCCAGAGAGGTACTTCTGATGTATATTTTCAGTAGATCTTAGGAAGAATGCTCTCTCTTTTGGGCACTATTTTGGCTTGTTTGCGTCAAGGGCAAAATTCAGTATCGCTATTAAGATATTTGGTAGTAAACCAAGTAAATCTTGGGAATGACTCATGTCTGAAGGTGGCTAGTGGTTTAAAGACCATCAGTTATTAATGAGATAAATTAATTCATGATTCTGCAAGGTATTAACCCTTAGACGTGCTTACGGCACCTAAGGAAAAGAATTGCCTTTGAGATGCTCCAGGGTATTATGAAGTAGGGCAGAAGCATGATTATTTGGCTGACACCTAGATTCTGAGTCTGAGAAGGGCTGGTTTGTCTGGAGACCAATTAAACAAGTTTGGGAATGAATGCGAAAAAAGAAATCAAGAGGCTATGTGGAAACTTTCTGCTGTATTTTTATTGCTTGCTCGGTTTTAATTATTTGTATAAAATAGGCTTTCATTGTGTATGGAGTTTGAGTGACTAATTTAGCACTGTGACTAAAAGAACATGATTGAATTTCCAGGATCCAAGCAGATTGCACTATGATCCTGCTGAGCTCAAGCTGTTTGAGAATATTGAATGTGAGTGGCCGGTGTTCTGGACATACTTCTTAATTGATGGAGTATTTAATGAGGACAAAATTCAGGTGAGGAGAGAAGAAACTGCTTAGAATGGAAGTGCAAAGCTGTTAACACCCCATTATAGCTTTTCTCTGTTTATTTTAGTTATCAGTTACCACCTTTAAAAGTCCGCATGACCCTTTTTTTTTATTGGCAGAACCCTTTACTATTTGCATACGTATAAATTATGTATTTGTGTGGATGAATTACGTTTGACAGATAACAGCAGCTGGGTGAGAATGTGGATGGAACATTTGTTTCCACATGCAAGTCAGGCTGGAGTGTAACAGGTATTATTATTTGAATGTCTTGCAGTGTTGATGCTCTTTTGGCATCAGACAGTACTGGAAATCACTGAGTTCCTGTGAAACTCAGTGGAGTTTCACGCAACAGGTTGGAAGCAGTTTCCAACCACTCCGACCTTACTGGGAGGTTCATGTCACGAGAAAAGCTGCAGTGTTGTCCACGCTGGTACAGGGAAGGGTTCCCTTTCTCTGTCAGATTGAGGGGCTCTGTTGGCTGGAGGGTTTGAGCTGATCTGGACATGGCGTATTTGTCTGGTTCTGTTTTATCACCAACCATAATGTCTCACCAAATTATTGTGAGATGAGTCTAGCTTCTGTCTTCCCTGATCTCTGTGGCTTGGCTGCTGAGAACAACGTTAATAGTTCTTTCAGTCTTTTGGTACATTTAGGGAGGTTTGGGATGGGTTAGACCCTTATCAGGACCCTTATCAGGAGCCATTTCATTTTAACTGATTTTGTAGGTTAATTGATGATTCCTTTATGTAATTCATGCCTTTGCTGTGTCGAGCATTGAATGATCAGGGGAGCTAGATTGACTGTAACCTTTCAAAGGTTGTAGTGGTTCCTGGAGAACAGTGGTAAATTAAAAGAGCAACAAGTAATGAGGACTAAATGTATTCAGATCAAGAGCTCTACAGCTTGAAGGAAGTAACAAATACATGTGATTTAAAGTTGCCCAGTATGCAGAGGGACTATGATTACTAAATAAAATCTCTTAAAAATAAAATGCCATCAGAAACAAAACAAGGAATTTCAGACCAAAAATACCTTTCTATAACAGATGAAAATACAGTGAAGTATTTATTAATGTTAAAAATATGGGTTGCTTTGCTGAACACAGTAGAAATAGTCTGGTGGAGAGAAAAGTAACGTTTCATAAGGAGAAAAATCAGAGTTTACTGAAACTTCAGTCACATTGATTAAACTATTTTTTCAAAAGCAGTCTTTAGAATTTAGTTAGGTGGTCTGGGACATTATGTACCTGATTGCTTTTACTGTGTACATATGGTCCGTGGTAGGATGTGCTCAGAACGGACAATTGGTCCCAGTTCCCACACTTTACACATAGTTGCTCGTGACACTCTGGTGGTGGTGTCTAGTTTTCCACAGTTACTGCTTCATAAGCCTAATTGCAGTAGCAGCAACCATTTGGAAAATAAGCACCCTGATCACTCAACAAGAGTGGATAAGGATAGGATACTGACAATACTAGTGTACTATGACATGAATATGTGGTACTTTAGCTCATGCATTAGGCTAGAGATTATTCCTCAGAAAGGTATAGGCAGGAATAGAATTTCAGAGCCAGGTGCTGGTAGTGGTTAAAACTTAGAATGGGAGTGTGAAGAAATGGGCAAAATAAGAAATCTGATTTAAGGAAAAAGAAATGGAAATTGTTGAATTTTAGACCATTTACATGTCCTGGTGATTACTGTGGCTAACTCTACAATGGTTGTCTTACTCTGCTTGCTCTTCTCAGAGTCCTACCAGGACAGAATTGCTCAGGGGTAGGAGTTGTCTGCCCAGAGAGGTGGTGGAGTCACTGTCGTTGGAGGTGTTCAAAAACTATGTACATGTGGCACTGAGAGACACAGTGGGTGTGGGGGGGATGGGTTGGTGGTTGAACTGGGTGATCTTGGTCTTTTACAACCTTAATCATTCTGCAGTTCTAGAATAATATGTTGTCTAGTGATACGAGAACAAGAGGATTTTATGTTTGTTTAACTTAGGTATTTTATTTGCTTTACATCTATTTAAAGCTTTCCTTAGGGCAAATTTTTAAGAGAAACTGAATTCCCAGTTCTGCAAAGTTGGATTCAGAATATCATACACAAATGTGCTTGGTAGAAAGCTAACAATTCTTAAACCATACACTTCTAATGGATATTGCTAGTGCTGATGTCTTCCGTGTCACTTCATTTTCATGATCAAATTTTATGCAGGATTTCTAGTGACTTCTTGATTGCAATATTTTTTTAGGCTTTGGTTTGTTTCTGATTAAAGATGTGTGCTTATGCTTTGGAGAATGATAATACTGAGATCTTGGAACAGTGTTTGACAATTTGAAGCCTCTTCTTCCATCAGCAAGCTGTGATCCACTTTCCCCCCTCCCCCTTATTGTTTACTTTTTATGAATTTTCAACAGAGAAGTAGTGAAATTATAACTTTATTGTTTCTGTTTTGCTGAGTGTATTGTCAATTTTCTTTTACAAATATCTCCAGGTAGAAGAGTACAGAGAGGCTTTGGAAGGAATACTCATCAGAGAAAAGAATGGAATAGTTCTAATGCCTGAACTGTATGCAGTCCCTTCAGAAAAGGTATTGTGAAAATGCAGCATCCCCTTCAGTATGTGAAGTATAGATATGAAGATCAGTGTACCACTTTCCTATAGCTCATAAATCTAAGTCAGTAATACAAAATAAATAAATAAATGAATAAAGCAATCCACAGCACATTATTAATTACTGATAAACCTCTCACGGTTCCCACTGAGAAATGGTAACTTTAGGCTTCTAAATGATCAAATCCTGGAGATAGAAATCCAAGAGTCTATGGAAGTTCTGGAGCAGGTTTAAAATTACTAAGACTTTATAATAAGGCATATTTAAGAAGTTTTGCTGAAATTTAGAAATTGAATTTCAGAGAAGAAGTAAAGCATAGGCTGTTCTGCCTGTTTATTCTACCAGTGGTTTGTGCTCGCTCTTTTTCAGAGCTTGTATTTAAGATGGAAACAGGTTTCAAATGAATGGGGATTTATGTTAGATTTTAAGTTTGTTTCTTTTTCTGTTGTTTTTTGTTTGTTTTGTTTGTTTTTCCCATCTTTTCTGTCGCTGTTTAACCTGTTTCTCTCATTGTGACAGAGAAATTCAGATAACATTGTATCTCCTTCCATGCTACCTGCTTTTATATCTCTCCCTGCTGACTTCTCCCACTCCAGATTTCTCAGCAACCAATGGGGGTGTGGAGTCTTCTGGACTGATCTGAGTTTAGGGAGGGAGTATCAAAAGCTGATGTCTTTCTCACAGGTCTGAGACTGAAGCTCTGAGTTACCTTTCTGTTGGGAACAAGTGTGTAACAGTACAGAGCCTTTTTGTTAATTCTGATACATTTATGATCGGAAGAATATGCCAAATAAATAGTGTAATTTTTGCCTTCCGTTTGTAAATTCTAAAATGGCTCTGATAAAGATGTTATCTAGAAGGTTGTATGCTCCTCCCTCAATAGATATGTATACTGCAAGATCAAGTCAGGGGTTTTGGTTTTCTGTTTGGCAAAATTGAGAGATTCTACTCCTTATTTTTCCACAGACCATTCTTACTAAAATAAGAACAGTAGAATAGGCTTTGTTTTTGGAAAGCACTTCCATGAGCGTCTTCAGAAAGCTAGGTAGGCAGCAGTGAAGTTCAAGAATCATCTTGCAAGGAGCTGGAAAGCTGACACAATTCCCTACAAGCTTCCCAAAGGGAAGGCAGCAAAGGAATGACGAGAAGAAAGGGGAGCTCCTGACACCAAAGCTATACTCGTGTGCAGAATCCTCATTCAAACTCCAGCTTCAATAGTTTGGTGTATGAAAAGGAAGCATGGTTCTTGTCCCAGGTAGCGTGCAGCCTCAGAAGTGAAATCAGTAGAAAGGGATGTCAATAATAGCGGGTTGGAAATGGTGGATGATAGACTGTATTTTTACAAATACTTCTATGTTATTGGTTGTTCTTCAGAACTTTAAGATAAGTTTCTTGTTTTTTGTGTTTTTGTTGTCAGGTTGATGAGGAGTATGAAAATCCTCACTCAGTGGATCGTATCCCAGTGGGAAAGCTGCCTCATCTTTGGGGTCAGTCATTGTACATCCTTAGCTGCTTATTAGCAGAGGTAATTATTTCTTGTATAGCAGATGAGTTTGTATTTCATTTTGTTTTGAGTAGGCTTAGCCTTTAAGCACAATTTGATTGTCAGGTAGGGGTCAGTGTGTTTTCCAATGAAAACTGTGGAGGGGTGACTTTGAGCTTTCAGGAGCTTATTTGTGTTATTATGGATAACATACCATCTGTATATTATGCTAAATTGTGTGTTTCTCATGAAGGTCAGTAAGTTGCCAGATATGCTCAAGAAATACAAAGTCCATACTGATTTGACAGTTCCAGAGCTAGGATTCTGCAATTTCAGCTCCACTTGATTGCGCATTATTCTGCAGCATAAGATGCCTACAGAATTGTCCAGTATTAGCTGTGGACTTGGAAGTGAATAATTGAGTATCCCTGAGGAACTGCAGAAAAATCACTGGCATGGTAGCATTGCATTACTTGCTACAACTCTACAATAGAAAATATGGATATGCAGATTGTGTCAGTCATAATCATTTTCGCATTGTTCTAAGAAGTATTACAGCCACTACAACATAATTTTCATTGAATGTACTTAGTGGATGGGATGGGGAAACCAGACTTTAATCTGGCTTTCCTGATAAAACGTGAAAATTGGTTAAGAAATCTTCTAGAAATCTTCATCAAAAGCCTTTTACTTCATTTCTGTTTGTCTCCTTTCTCTCTCTCTTTTTTTTTTTTTTTTTTTTTTTTTTTTTTAGGGATTTCTGGCTGCAGGTGAAATTGATCCCTTAAACAGAAGATTTTCCACTGGATTTAAACCTGATGTTGTGGTACAAGGTTAGGGAGTTTTAACATTGTGAATAAACTGGATTATGTGAAGGTGAAGTTGCTATTCAAGAGAATTAAGAAGGACGTGTTTTAAAATGATACTGATCTTTGCATGGCACGTGGACGCTTTGTTGATACTGTGAGAAAGTGGTTGTTTGTCAAGCTGCTTTTCTTCTAGGAGGAAAGATCAGCTTTAACAAATCTTTTAAAAAAAACACTCATGATTTTAAGACTGGTCAGAGACTGGAAAGGACTTAATTTTTTATTGAAAAGGAAGGTTGTGATGGGTAATAGCAGAAAGAGGAGGGCTGACAGGAAACCATTCAGTTCAGTTAGGATGTTATGCAGCCTCTTTTCAGAGGACCCAAGAAAGCAAGGGGTGGGGCAGATCTCTGTGTTCACAGAGGTGAGGAGTGAGCTAAAGAGCAGAGGGCAGCCAGACTTACACCTGTTTTTTGTCTGCATCAAGGTGCATCTGCTGCTTTCATCAATGCAGGAGCAGCCAGAACTACATACTTAAGTTGAGGGCAAACACCAACTAATTGGGCATAAAAGCTTTCCTAGCGCCTGTGTCATTCTGGAAAAGTAATCAGCTCGTTTAGCAGGAGGAGCCTTCAGTGGTATTGCAAGCTGAGCAAAAGCTTGTTTATCTTTTGTTGTTGTCATAGTGGTGACATTTTGCTACTCTAAAATGTGTAATTTCCCTTAGATGCATAAATGCATGCTTATTTTTAGCATTCTTTGACTGCTATTTATAATGCAGAGAGTATGAATTGTCAGTCCCAAACCAATAAGCCAGCTCATAAGGGCAAAAAAAGTGTAAAATCAGGCCTTGGATTGTAAATTCCTCCAATCTGGCAATCTGGGGACTTTTTTTTTTCCTACCTCTTTCATTGTACAGCCTTTGGAACATTTATTGTCATAATCCTAACATACTTGTTCACCATTGACCTAGCTGTAACCATTGATGTGCTGTATTAAAACAAAGATTTTCAAGTAGGATTTCCCCTTGCAAGCCCCATCTCCTGAAAGTGACTGCACAATCCAAACTGTGTGAAATTGAAGAGAAATGATATCTAACCTTTGAACTAGCACTGCTTTGAGCAGAAGGTTGGATTAGAGACCCTGTGAGATCCCTTCCAACTTGAGCTACCATACAATCCGGAATGGAACAGAATGACAATATGTATGGGGAAGTAGAGAGCCAAAAGCTCTCTGACGTCCTGTTAGCTCTCATGAAGACATAAATTAAGAAAGAAGTAAAACCCTTGTGCATTTTTAGACAGCTACACGATAGCTGGGAGGTGACAGTAAAGGCAGGCAATTACAAAGAATAACCTTGGCTCTTACAAGTGTTTCTGATTTCTGTTATGCAGTAACTGTTCTGGCAGAAACTAATCAAATTAAGCATCTTTTGCAAGACCATGGAATCAATGTTCAGAGCATTGCTGATATCCATCCACTCAGAGTGCAGCCAGCTCGCATCCTAAGTAATCTCTACACCATGCTAGGTAGGTATTTAAATATCTATTGCCATACTGGGTATTTTTATATTTCTTGCACACTGCCACAATTTCTTTGATTTAAAAACAAACAAACCAAGACAAAATAAAACCCCGCATTTGTGTGAAGAAGGTTAACAAAATTAGAACAACTGTCTTAAAAACTGAGATCTTATTCTTCCAAAAAGAAAAATCATTAGGCTATCAGGTTCTTGCTGTTGTTTCTTCCAACCCTGAGCCAAATGGAGCTCACAGAAGCTCTCTGTCTGCAAATCCAGAAACCTTTAAGGCTTTTATAGCCCCAGGACTTTATATAAAGTTTCAGTTTCTCAGCAGTGACCCTAGAGGCCTGTGGTCCCTCTGAGCCTGCCAATTTGATTAACTAAATGCACAAAACCTCAAACTTGTTCTAGTTAAGTTGAAAATCTGATAAACCTTCAGCCACCACTGAAGGTGTGAATACTTGTTGGAATGAAAGGGGTCTTGGTGAAAATTTGTTGCCTGTATTCCTAGTTGAACTTACTTTTACAACTTCAAGCAGGCCAAAAAGTCATGACTCAAATCTGTTGCTGTTACTGGAAAGTAAAACTGGGATGGAGTCGATCAGCATTGGTAGATTCCTTTGCAGTATGGACAAGGAAAGCTGGCTGTATCATGCTTCTCTGTCAGTCTTGAGCATGTTTCTGTGGTCATGTAGTTTATGGATAACATGGAAGAAGATACCTTACGCTTTTGTTTGTTTCTCAATATTATGTGGTTTTTGTTTTTTTTAACAGAAAGTAAGAGGGCCTTCAAGTAAGTGTTAGACATTGAGCCTTACATGTGAAGAAGGGAGCTTGCATATACGGTTTGGGGAAAGTAATTTGTTTTCTTATTACAAGGAACTTCTAACAAGTTTAACATTTACAGGGCTTTGCTGATGTTTGCAGTTATTCTGTAGAAGTTTGAAATAGCTTTCTTTCACTAGTGGGGATGAGTAGGATAACTTGACACAGAGATGTACTGTTTTCAACAGTGACTTCTTTGGTAATGTTCACAAGGATTTCTTTTCAGGCATTCAGTTGCTGGGCTTGTGTTCTTTGTCAGATGGATTCAGGTCAGCTCCTGGATGTTGGAGCAAAAGCTGCAATGCAGAACACTAGCTTATAAGCTGCAGTGAGAAGAGTGGGGCTTATTAGCTCCAGGAAAGGAATCAAAATTTGTTCTTCAGCCTTTTACAGTTAAGAATTTTAAGGTTCTGTAATGAAAGCACTGCAGTTTGTTACTTGTTGATGGTCTGCTTTTTGAAGACATACTTGTAGTTTTTGGTGGTGAAGCTTTGGGTGCTGAGCAATGATTGTGATCAGAATACTTAATTTCATGGTCAGTGAAGCCAAACTTTTAATCAGGCTTTTGAAGTACCCTGACTACTGTATTGATGGTTGTTACAAAACATACCACTCTGTAGCATCTCACTCTTATCTGTCTATTGCCTTGCTGAAACAAATGAAATAGGTCTCCATGTCTAAGATGGCTGTTGCAGAAAACCAGAGAGGAAGTGTTAGATGATATTTTTTTTGTCTTGTCAGGTCGGAATGAGAACATGAAATTAAGTGGACGGCCACACCGACACATTGGAGTGCTGGGTACCTCCAAGCTGTACGTGATAAGAAACCAAATATTTGCTTTTACCCCTCAGGTGAGCATCTAAATCTGGCAGGGAAATCCCTGTATATTTAATGGCTAATCATTAGGGAAGTACTTTGCTTTCATGTGCTATCATTCCATTTTAGATAGAGTAGGGCTGATAAAGCAGATGTACTTTGCTTTGTGTTTTTTTTTTTTTTTTAAGAGCTTTGGATGATCAGAGTATTAAGACTACTGATAAATCTTTCTTCCATCATACAGCATCTAGCTTCTTTGGCTTTTGGCTTAGATTTGTTACTGATCCCTGCCTGAACCAACATTCTAATGAAATAATTCGAAAATAGGTCACTTAACATTTTCTTTCTACTGATTTCTTAGATGGAAAATGTACATTCACTTAAGTATGCCAAGTACTATAATCCCCAAGACACTAAGACATAATCTTTCCCTTGTTGAAAGGGTCACTGATGTTGAGTAAAGGACATTCTTTGTTTTCTGCTTAGTGTGCTTTTCATTGTAGCTGGAAGTTTGGATCCTCCCAGAATTAGTGGCTCTTTTCACACATATAATGAAATACTACACACTTCTTGTAGCCTTATTGTAGTAGTTGTTACTAGAAGGCCAGTAGGTCATCTACTCCATCCATGTGCAACTGGAACAGGATAAAGAATGCTCACAGCCTGCTGACCTTATGTTTGATTAATATAGTCTTCAAATTCCAGCGAAAGAGATTCAGTGGGCTCAACTGACATGGCTTCTGCAGTGCTGCATAATGTCCAGATTTAATCATATTTTTTCTGCAAGTAATGTTCCTTCTTGTTCTTCCTCCAGTCAATTGACTGCAGCAGGCTTTGTAAGATATTTTGTATGCAGGAGGATTGCCTATTGTGTTGTGTTGTTCCACCACACCAGTATCCATTTTTACAAATTAGGGAAAAGTTTCTCAGAGATGTTATTTAAAAACAAAACCAAAATAAAACATATCTTTATCTAGATCTTGTTATAAATATATTCAAAAATGGCATTTATCTTCGAATCGGGGACATGCTTATTCCATATTAGACTAAAACCTCCATAAAGTCTTCTGTTGTACTTTTCAGTCAGACATTACATCCTCCTCCGTTTTCTCTTTTTGATGGAGTGGAGTTTATGTTTAATTTCACTTTCCTTAGGTTAGTAATTAACTCATCTTTGTTGAAGTTGAGTAATGTCCACAGATTCTCTGGTTTTGTAATTTGTACTTCATCCAATTCTGTAATGAAAAAATGAGTTAGGAACGGGGCAGCGGCTTTTATTTAAATACCCTCTGAGCCTGAGAAAATGGTTAATGACTACCAGTGGAGAGCAGCTTTGGAAGCAGTTCAGCCTTTTTGGATGCTTTTCTTCATCCTACTAGTGTGACAAGCTTTGCAGAAGTCAGGATATGTCTGCCAATTCCTTCTGCGTGCTGTCTTGTTGCTCTTAAATAGTGAAGTTAGACTGGTTTGCTGAGTTTGGTTTTGATCTGACTGTTTGGTCAACTTGCTTTATCATTTGCAATTCTCTTGGTAATGGGCTTGTCTGGTCTACATTACTCTGGCCTTCCTTTCTAAACACAGGCAGTATATTTGCTTCTCTTTGGATGTCTAGACTTGTTCTTGCTGAGTTCTTAAACCTAACTACCAGTGGTTCAGGAATCATTTTGGCTGCTTCCTTAAGTTGTTCTAATTAGTTTCTTTATACTTCACCAGCTTGAATTTACATGATATTTAACATTTTCCTCCCAACCCAGGCTGAACTCCTGTCACTGTTTTAAAAGCAATGTTACAGATCATAATTTACTACTTTTCATCTCTCATTAAAGAGGGGCACTGATTCAGCTTATCTGTGTCCTCTCTTCCTATCCTCTTCCTCTCTTCATTGAAAGATCTACAGGTTCTGTGTTTTCCAGTTACTTCTGATGTGTTGACAGGGTGTTTTCTCCTTGTCCATAATGGGTCTTACCAATCGATGTTTATTTTACATTCCAGCCTTTTCCCTCTTCCACCCCTCACTAATGCTTCTGTGCTTTTAACATTCATTGTGGCTGATTTGTCATACTTTTCATTGTTTTTCCAGCTTTTTAAAATTTCCATTTCTGATGATATAGTCATAATAGTCTCTTGTTGTGGTTTTTGGCCTTCCTTTGTAGTGAGAATGCCACCATTTACCACTGTACATAGAATGCATCTTTTTTTTCCCCTACCATCTGTCAGATGTTCCTTTTCTGCTTGTCTTTCAGAGTGTTTCTAAGAGACATCCACTTGTTAATTCCTGGTCCTTAGCATGCACTTAAGCCTGTTTATTGTTTGTATTGTTGCTGTTGGTTTTTCTTTCCACATTTAGGCTACTTTAGTCTTTCAGATAATAGACTACTGTAATTCATCACTGAGAAAATTCTCCCTCATGGGAGTTATCATCTACTTTCTGTTTGTACAGCTTGATTTTTTTTCACTGTAAGCCTATAAATGTAAGAAAATACACTCTCTGCAGACACATGAATCTCTTTTTTTCCTAGTGACATGCCTGGTTAGGTTAACTCACATAATCTGTGTCTAGAATAGTTCATGTGGCTTTTGTGAATGACTTAACAGAGGACATGGAAAAAATTATAGAGAGTACTGACAACCACTTATATGCTGTATTTCTCTATTCTCTAGTTTACTGACCAGCATCACTTCTATCTGGCTCTAGACAATCAGATGATTGTGGAGATGCTCAAGATAGAACTGGCTTACCTCACTTCTTGTTGGAGGATGACAGGGAGACCAACTCTGACGTTTCCCATCACCCACACGATGCTTGGTAAAGTTGATTTTCTCTATTTCAAGTGCAGTAAATTGTTGTGGAGGAGTAGGATGTGGGTAGGTTTGAGAGGAGACAGATGGTGTGACTGTTTTAACATCTGAGTTTTAACATCAAAAGTGCAATTTAACTTTTTCAAGTCTACTGAACTTTGATGACAGGGAATCCTTCATTTTGTCTTATTCCTCCTTAATATCCCTGCATCTTCTCATCATCTGCATACTGATTCTGTCCAAATAAATTTGGTAGTAGTCCTTTTGGAACTTGTCATGAGCGGAAGGGCTTGGAGTTGATTTGATTTTGTTCCAAGGTTTTTTTTGAATAAACTAGTATTGATAACATTTGCAGGGTCTGTTTTAAATTTGATGTTTGAAGAGGTTATTTAAGAATGTGTTGGTAAGATTCAAACTCTTCCATTGTTCTTTTTCAGTTGACGATGGTACTGACATCCATCCAGCAGTTCTTGCCACCATACGAAAATTAGAGGATGGTTATTTCGGTGGTGCAAGGTAATGCGGTAACCCTTAAATGGTTCTGTGATTTTTTTATAATTAAATCGTATACAAGTCACAACTATATTTTAACTTGTGATAGTGATAGATCTTGTGCTGGAGCTCTACAGAGAGAGCAGTTTCAGCTTAAATTGTTATGTGGCAATCAGATGATAGCCAGACCTTAGGTGCAATGGGAAGATGGGGAGAGTTAACACCTTTGACTGCCATTAATAGATGGTGAAAATGCAAAGGCAGTTAATGTCTTTTTTTTTTTTTTTTTTTTTTTTTTGCCTCAATTTTCAATATTAATTGAAGGCCTTAAGTTGTCCTGCCCTGCAAGTTGGAGGACCATCATTTGGGGAGCAGAGACTTTCCATTTGTTGACATCAAAGTTTAAGGAACTAATTGTATGAGTTGAATGTTTACAAGTCTATAGGGCCTGGTGGGACTCATGTCTCAGTACTGAGGGAATTAGTAGATATCAATTCTCTATCAAAGTTCATGGGAATCTGGGGAGGTCCCTGGTGACTGGAAACTGACCAAGATTGTGTACATTTGTAAGAAGACAGAAGACCGTGGAAATTATAGACCTGTTAATTTAACTTCAGTACCTGGAAAAATTATGGAGAAGATTAGCCTAGGTGCCAATGAAAAGCAGTTAAAGGATAGCAACAGCCATCAGACCCGCTATCACTGATTGAGGAGGAAAGTCCTGTCTCGCTAATTTGATATCCTTCTATGGTAAGATGAAGTGCTATCCATTCTAGTGGATGAAGGGAAGACAGTGGGTATTTTTTTAATGGATTTTAGCACAACATCTAATACTGTTCCTCTCAGTATCCTTTAACTATAAGATGAACAGGTTCACATCGTGCTGGGTGATACACTGGCTGAGTGGCAGGGCTCAAAGGGCTGTAGTGAATAAGGCTGCATCTGGATGGTGGCCAGCCTCTAATAGTGTTCCTCAGGGCTCTAGTGTATGGACAGTCCTGACAACATTTTTACTGGAGATATGGATGCAGGAGTTGGATGTACCCATAGCAGATTTGCTGATAATACATATCTGGGAGATTCTTTTGACTCTCTGGGGGCATCTAAATGCTCTATTCGATGCTCTGATCTATCTAGACTCTCTTTGAGAGGTTTAGATAGATTAGAGCATTGGGTGATCAACAGCAGTTTGAAATTTAACGTGAAGAAAATGATCCTACTGTTGAGACAGAGTAATGCCAGATAGTTACAGACTGGGAGCTGAGTGTTGGGAGAGCATTCCTGCCGAGAGGAATCAGAGGGTGTTGTGAGCGTTACCATAACACAGTTAAGTGCAGTTACTAGATAGAGCAGTACTCAGCAGGATCTGCAACTATTTTTTTTTTTTTGCATTTATTTTCTCGACACTGGTTATTTACTTCTTCGTAGTTACTAAAGGTAGATTTGACTGCTGGATCTCATAGATTTTGGAGCTGTTGAAAGCTCGGTGAGCATAGCCAGTAGTATCAAAATGGTGTATGTTGGCTCTGGCATACTTATATGTCATACTCCCTCTGGCGTACTTTCCCGTTTGCAGGGTGAAGATAGGCAAGCTGTCAGAATTTCTTACCACATCTTTTCATACGCATCTGAGCTTCCTGGATCCAGACTGTGATATAAAACTATTTGATGACTCTCATGGAGGCTGTTGTAGCCCTGACAGTGAATATGGAGGCTATCCAGCAGATTTCTGTGAAAAAGGTAATAGTTTTTTCACTTTATTTTTTTTTTTTTTCTCTTTCACATTCTGTAGAGTAGACGTCGAGTCTATCCAAGCATAGAGTCTGGGGTTACCTACAGCACAAAATCTGATGTATGCACAGTTGATATTTATTCAGATCTCTCATACGTCAGCTCAAGGATGGTATGTGCATGACTTAGTTTGAAGGAGATTTTGTGAATTCATCCTACATCCTCGATGTGGCATTGACCAGTAACTGCTGTGGTAAAGCTGAGTCTGAGAATCAGCAGGTGGGAGGTGTGTAGAATATGCTAGAGGGAGTAGAGAGTGTGAGGAGTCACAGACAAATTCGTGCACAAGAGCTGATCTTTGGTCTACCAAAAAGAAAAATTCTTTTGATCTCTTTCAAAGGGAAAAACAGTTTCTAAACTTTACTGTTTAAAAACTATCAAAAATTATTTACATTTTTCTTTCCAATTTGTTCAGCTTAGAAGTCTCTTTCTTATTCTTACGTTCTCATTGTATAAACAAGAATAGAGTGATATGTGTGAAAAAAGAAAGTACTGGTATTTTAAAGGTTTTCTTACCTTTAATACTCATTTTCTTTTATGTATGTCTCACTAGAAAGCCAGGATGAGCTGGATCAGTATATAAATGATATCCTGCAGAGTACAGCGCTGAAGTCATATCTGCCTCCAACTTCAAAGACTGCTCATCAGCCGCTTGTGTTCAGTGCAAACCATTCCACACAAGAGATACTGTCAATAATGGCCAAGGCAAAGGGTTTGGAGATTCCAGGTATTTCTCTCTATTATTTGCCATGGGTGCTAAGATGGATAAGTTCAGTTATTTTCAAATTCTATTATTTGGAGAAAGTTAGTAACACAAGTGTGTTGTAGCTGTTAAGAAGAGAGTCTGAAGTTGTTCCTGTAGTTCCCACAGCATCCCATATCATGATGTATGTATAAATAATCTGCAGTGAATCAAAGTTAATGTTATGGAAACTAACTGATCAGATAGAATTTTAGAACATGAGTCAGTTCATTATTATTATTATTATTATTATTTGTCTTTGTACAAAGATAATATACTTTCTTAATCCAATGAAGTTGTGGTGAAGTTAAGTGTTTCAATGACATGAAACATCAGTATGCACATGTATACTCTAAATCTATAAGAATAAATGGAGTACCAATGGAAGGCAGTATTCCTAATAATGCTGCATTAAACTGATTGGAGGACTTTCACCCAAATAATGCTTTGACTGAATTTGTAAGTAGATTCCGACATCTACAGTGTTTTTCATGTAGATATGTAGTATCCAGTATCCTGGTTAAGAGAGGGCTTCTCTCAACTTCACTGGACATTAATAGATCTTCAAACTTTAATATTTTCTCCTATCTTTCATATGCTGCAGAATCATGTGATACTCTGTTAAATTTGTCATATGAAGATAGCAGAGCATGAGCCTGCATTCATTCACATGAAGTGACATTTGTCACTTCAATTACAGCATTTTTTCAATTAGACCATTTTCTCCATATGTTAAACATGTTTTAGCATGTTTACTGCAAAAACATTTGAAATACTTGTCAGGATCAGGTCATTCATTTGTAGAACATCCGAAGCACAGACTGCCATAAGAGGTGTCAGTTCACCATGTTGTGCCTCAGACTTTGATGTGCTACTTTCAAAACCTCTTGGACCAGGTCTGCAGGAAGGAAAAATTTCAAGTGTGAGCTTGTCTCTTGAGTTCCACACGCAACATCTTGGAAGTGTTGCCTAAGTTAACTTGACTCTCAGAGGTATTTCTGTTGTTTTTCGTAGCACAGTTGCTTCATATTTGTGGTTTTGCTTTTCTGCACAATAGCAACAAAAGTCTTTTAAGTGTTGTCATTGGCTTTGATTTCCAGCTGTTTCCATGTCTCTTCCAACTAAAGTTCTGAACACGCACCGGAAGTCCTTGAATCTTGTTGATATTCCCCTTTCCCTTGAGAAAAAGGTAAACCGTGGGATTTTTTATGCTGTTTATGTTTTTAGGACTCAATATTTTGAATCCATCTGGTTTCCAGCCAAACCATATACTAGTTCTCATTTTGTTACCTTGACAGCAAAGCTGTCTGCCTGGAGCAATGGGTAGGGGGTGGTTGTTATTTTTTGCTGGGAAGTTTTTTTTATTAAATAGATATTATCACATTGATATATATATTGTCTAATAAACAGCAATTGTATTAATTTCTAGCCAGGAGAGTAGCATATGAAAGGACAGCTGTCATACAGCACCAGCTGAATCCCACTACTAAGCACAAAGGGCAAAGCTGGGCTGGATATTCTGTCCTAGCATGTGTGACTGGCTGCTGAGGGTGGTGACATGAGGTTGTATCCAACCTGCTAGAAGGTTCTGTTGTATAGGCTTTGTCTGTGGAGGCAGTATTTCAGGACAGTACAAATACCTGAATAGCTTGTTAAATAAAACTTGTTCTCATCTAAGAATTCACTGCAGTGTTGCATCACCTGACTAGTTAACATGCTAGTTCCAAAGCACTGAAAAATTTGTGATGGCAACATCTGCATAAGTAAAGCACTGCAATTATTCAGATTGGAGACAAGACTAAAAGAACAAAAAAAACCCCCACCTCTAAATGTTTTCAGCAAAAAAGTGGTATCTTTCTGCTTTATTTCATTGCAAGTAGCAGTGTATGACAGGAAAAGTATGCAAATAATTTTGTTTCCTTCTATGAGAATTTTTTTTTTTTGTCCCAAAAACAGCTTTCCTAGTCAATTGAACCAAATCTAGAGACAGTCCATTCTGGGTGCTGTGTTTCTGGGGATCATACTTCTTTTCATGTCTGCCAGTAGTCTGAAAAAAAAACTGCATGATATGTCTGTATTTCAAGCGCAGAGTTGTGTTGCATGTCTGTGTTCTTTAATGGTGAGCTACAAATTTTATCTGCTGCTTTTGTCAAGGTCTGTTATTGATTTTCATCCCTCTTTGTTATCAGGACCATGAAAAGGTTTTGAACTTAGCTAAAGATGCTCATGGTGATTTGGATTGCAGGAAGCTTGTTGAGCAGCTGAAGGAATGCCCAACGCTCCATGATCAAGCAGATATCTTATATATCTTGCATATACTAAAGTGAGTTATCTGAGTATAGGCTTCAGCCCCTTAAGTTTGGCTACAGCTATTTGATTATTGTTGTGCAAAAGGTTGTCACTGTTCAGGACTGTGTTTTCAGGGGAGAGGTTAAAATGTTTTGTGCTTTAACAGAAACATTTTCAGTTAGCTTGACTACATAAATAATTTGCATTCAGAATACATCTGTGCAAATTTCAAAGTTGATTGACACACAATTTTGCCAAAGTGGGAGTGGGGGGATACTTAATTTTCTCATTTTCTAACTAAAGCACAGATGCAGTTTTATTTTTTCCTCTAATCCTTCCATGCTTAAGTGCATAGTTGACTAAAACTTGGTGTTCTTCAAAGTGTATCTGGAAACGACTCAAGCTGCTGGGGTTAGTAAAAAAAAAAAAAAAAATTGTTCATTAAATGGATTTGAGTAAAATTCAAATACAGATCAACAGAATTATCTACTAGAGTGTGCTAACTGGCATTTTTTCCTCATACTGTTGGAATCTGGTAAAAAGTTGGTTTAGGTTGCAAAGACGTGCATTTATTGATCACAGATGGTCTTCTTTAATGCTGCAGAGATTGTGTTAATGTTTATCTTAGTCTTTCTCCTGTGTGGGCCTTTTCTTTGATCTTTTTATTTTCCTAAGCAAAATAGTAACTCTCTTAAAAAGGAGATCCTGAAGAATTACTTTTTGTTTGTTTGACTGTATGTAACACCCTTAGTTTACTTTCTGGAACTGTTTCACCACTGGTGTCCCTGTTGGGCTTTGGTGAAATGTGTCCCTCTAACTGGAGCTGAAAGATCATCATGTGGTGCATGGAGCCACTGTCAACTAGAAGCACTTTTTGTTCATAATACAGCAAATTTCAAAACTGGAAAAGGAATGGAAAACTTCACTGATTCATCAATATTGACAGAAGCAGTGTGGAAGTCTAGTTAGTAGCTAAGAATGAGGCAGGGAGAAATACTCATAGAGGCCCTGTAGTATCCGAAAAAATGGGTACCGTCTTTATTAGTACTGAGAAAAAGTGCTGAATTTCACTCCTAAGGAGCAACATATGGAGTGTTCTTCCATTCTTTCAATCTTCCTTGTGCTGAACTTAAAGCCAAATGGGAAATCCCCTGGCTGGTTGCTTTGTAGTCACAGGCTTATGGCCAAGTGAGATAATATGAGAGTTGCTGTTACCAAGAGGTTTCTGCCCACGTGTAGCTGATCTCTGATGAAGGACTGCCGTGTCCCATTCACTTCACCCAAATGGCTGTCACACAAATGAGCAATTCAGTCAAAGTCTGGTTGCTCATTGTGTGTTAAGACTAAGCAACTTAGTGTTTTCTGCTTTCTCTTTCTGTCTCTTCCTCAAGGACCCCTTACTTGTTTGATCTAATGGAAATAATCTTCTGTTTTCCTGCAGAGGCCCTGATTGGGATACGCAGCTGAATGGACAATGTGGAGTCACTGTTCATTGTCTGCTCAATGAGCTCTACAGAAAGGCAGGCCTCAATCAAGAGTGGGGCTTAATCCGTTATATTTCTGGTATACTTAAAAAGAGACTGGAAGTCCTGGCAGAGGTATGAGATAGGAATAGTGCTGGTTCAGATTCCTGCCTGAAAACAGGACTACCAATGTGAGGCACAAGTGCCAGTGAGGGTTGTGCTTGCCCTTTTCTGGTCTTGCTTCACAACAAACCTAGTGCAGCATTTGTCAGTAAACACTGTTTGCTTTCCTGATCTAAAATCTTGTTACAACCTCTCTCATCTATACTGAAAAGTGTGCTAAGGTTAGAGTGCAATGAGAATGTCAGTCTGTAAGTGATTGCGAAGGCCTCGTTTAGTCTCTGTTAATCCAAGCAGCTTAATTATGTGCATTGAAAGCTGTAGTGTCACTGGTAATTGCTTATTGCTATTGTGGTAACATGAACACTTGGAGCACCAGTATATCTTAGTGCTAGAGATGATGCAAAAACATGCTGCAGTGATTTCTGTCCCATTAGGCAGGCAGTCTGTAGTGTGAGTGGCAGTACAGAGGCATTATGATATCTGGCCCTGCTTAACATTAACAAGAAAGATCCATTGTAAGGGTACAGATTTCCTTTGGAACATTACAAAACTGTTCACTCTGCTGTTTTAAGGGTTTTTTTAAAAATACTTAATCCTGCATATTTCCAAAGGACTCTTTCTCTAACTTCTGGCCATTTTCAAAGCTTCGATAATCATACTTAGAATGGCCTGTTTTACTGACAGTTGTATTTGCAGGGAGCAATTTGCAACAGTCACTCTGCGTGATTCCTCGTTAAGTACCTTTTCCATCCCCAAGGCAGTACATGCTTACAAAAACCTGTGTACATTAAATTGCAGAGATATTGACTAAGAACTGTAGAGGGTGAGAGTAGAGGTATATGTAGCTTTGTTATACGTTAAAGGAAGGAAAACAGAATCAGAAAAATATGAAGAACATTATTACTCAGTGAGGTCTTTGATTCAGAATAATGAATCGGGTAAATTAAGCACTCGCTTTTGTAGGAAGTATAAAAGATTAAAATGCTGGTACTAGAGGAATTCTGGTATACGGGGTTATTTTCTTTTTTTTTGCTAATACTGCCAAACTTTCCATTAATAATTTTTTTGTCTTACATAAAAATGAAATATTTATCTTATGATAAAATTCTTTATTGATCTGCCAGTCCCACTGGAGAGCATAATAATTCTGGTGCTGATTTCAGTGTGAGGAAGCAGGCTTTCAGCCTGGGCAGACTCCTGAGGTCCTGTTAACCTCGGGGGATATTTGCCAACTGGTTAACAGCATTCTGCTGGATCTGCATATCTAGTAGTTAGTTGAAATGCACTTAGAAATTGATAAATAAATGCTTCATTTTCTGGAGTTAAAAGCTGTGTCACTTTTGCATGTCTCAGAAAAAGATCTCTTGCTTTCTGTTGTATTGCAATAGGCATGCACAGACCTCCTGTCACACCACAAGCAGCTTACAGTGGGGCTGCCACCAGAACCCCGCGAGAAAATCATTACCACGTAAGTTGGAGCTTTGTTTCAGTTGTAGAAGCAGACTGCCTTTCAGCTTCCTGCTGGTGCCGTTCTGCTGCTCTCACCTTGTTTTATTTTTCAACTTTAGAAAGAATTGCAGCCACCAAGGCATAAAAGTCTGCGGTGCAAAGATGTTTCTGGGTGACGTGGTTCTAGTGCATGTTCAAGAGGTTGACAACAAGTGCTGGACTTATTGCTAACTGTAGTTTGCCCTCTTACAGCCCTCTGCCACCTGAGGAGCTCACAGATCTTATTTATGAAGCCAGTGGCCAAGACATCAGTATTGCTGTCCTGACACAGGTACAGAGCATGGGAAAAAAATGGTTCTTTAAGCTGTGCCCAGTGTAATGCCAGTGTTCTTCTGAGACTGGGAAAGCTGGGATGAGCCATGCTGAATGGGAGCTCTTCTGAATTTGTCCTTACAGGAAATAATTATGTACCTGGCAATGTATGTCCGATCGCAGCCTAGTCTTTTCATGGAGATGCTCAGGCTCCGCATTGGTCTGATAATTCAGGTGATGGCCACTGAGCTGGCTCGGAGTCTGAAATGCTCAGGTAAGAATAGTTCTATTGTGGGAGATACTTCTGGCTTTATTTTTGCTTCACCTCAGTTACTAATTTTTCATTTGTGTTAAATTCTGTTGTAAAGAATTTACATACACAGTTAAAAATTGAAAATAATTTCTGTTTGGCTTAATGAAAGATTCCTGCCTCCCTGCACTCCGTCAGTCTGAAGTAGATGTTAAATACTTAAACACCCTGACTTTCAGTGCTTGAGGTGCCAATACTGAAATTGCAAGTGTATGTATTTAGGGACTAACTTCAATGAGAATTAGGACACTAGGTTAATCTTCAGAATATTTGAACCTTGATTATTCAGCATTCTTGTGAGTTTTATTCAGCATAAGTTCTGTCCTGTAGTTCTTCTTGCTTGGAATGTACGTGGTTGAAAAATATTTGCTATTTGGATTTCAGCTAGTGATACCAACACCAGGAGGTCAGTAAAAATATGTACCTCATAAGACCACCAGCTGCTGCATATGCACTGCAAAAAAGCAAAATGAAGAAACTAACAAGTTGTACAGGATGAAAATACTTTAAGTAGAGAGGAGAAATCATGACTGAGGTGATAACTGAAAAACCGCTGACGAATTTTCCACCTCAAAGGAACTGAAATTAGTCAGAGGTCAAGAAGAAACAGTCATACGAAGTGATCAAGTTAATGTGGTGAATGTATAGTCTCAAATGTAGATGCTTAGGAGCATGATCCTTGTGGCTCAGCTCATTGTTGTTCCTAATGTATTAGCACACCCCAAGGGGGATCAATGGAAGTTTATTTTAGAAAGGCCTTGCTTGGGCACCATTGATGTCTTCGATCAAACTCAGTGCCTACCTCTGGGGAGGTGTTTGTCCATTAGGAGAAGTTGGTGAATGGAGCCAAGTAATTTTCTGGGATAATTCTGTTTCTCCACGAGGAGCATTCAGACAGCCCTGTTTCCCCCAGAGCTGAAGCTGAGTACCAGAAGCTGCTACATTCACAGTTCAAAGCCTCTTTTTCCCGTAGTCCCTTCTGTTATTTCTTTGTAAGCCACTCTCAGCTTCACTGCTGCTTTTTCCATGTTCTCCTATGGGAAATTTCTCTGTGCACTCCTGTGCCCATGTGTATGTATGAGCTTTTTCTCACACTTCGAAGCATCATCCTTTAATTAGAGAAAACACCACAAGCCTGCCATTTGCATGCATTTCTTTATGGAATAACTCTGGCTCTGTAATTTAGATCTGAGTAAGATCTTCTTGTGGGAGGTGGCTGCAGTGCCTTTTCAGTTGATCTGCTCTGTGAAGGAGCACCTGCTTCTTCATAACCTTTGGTGAGATTTCACACAGCTGTGATAGGCTGCTCAGTAACGTAACCGCCATCATCTCCATTCAGTGTTGCTTAGTCTTGAAATGTGTTTTCTTTGAAATGACTCTACATATTAATTTTTTTTCTAGGGAAGCATTATCTGCAAAAGTGAGTGATGGAATTTCATTCAGTCAGCAATTTAGTTAGGAAAGCCATCCATAAAGCATCCTATAGTTGCGTTTGATTTTTGTTTTTGTGTGTGTGGCTTTGTTTTGTTTTTGTGGATTTTTTTATTTGCTTGTTTTTGTTATTTAAACCAGGTGAAGAAGCTTCAGAGAGTTTGATGAATCTAAGCCCTTTTGATATGAAAAATCTCCTACACCATATTCTCAGTGGAAAAGAGTTTGGTGTGGAAAGAAGCTGTAAGTTATCCATTTGGGTATCTGTTAAATGGGAACTGTAAATATATAGATTGTGTAGTAAGTAGGAACCTACCATCTATGCATGTAAAATAGGAGTACAGGTAATGAACGAAACAGATCTATTGCATATATCTGCTGCGGGATAAAAAAAGCACATATGATGGTAACTGTCCTACACAGGAGTAATGTTGTATCAAGGCAGACTTTTAAAATGAAAAAATTTAACGTGACCAGAAGGAAGATTGTGAAAAGGATGTGTCCATTCTGCCTCCCAGGAGTGTATCTGTGGTCCCCAGTATTTCCAGATGACACAGCTGTGCCTTAAATCCTCACACATTTAGTGCAACTCCAGTGTCTTTTGAAGCTATGATTGTTCCTTGTCTTTGAAGGTCAAATCCTAACATCCAGCTGTGGCTCTCTATCTCTGAATTGACGTAATCAGGCTTGAATTATTGATGTAATTTGAAAGCACACTGTCAAAAAAAGCATTGAACACTTATGAAAGGATATGCTTTTATCTGTAACTTCTAGACACAATTTTGTCTCTTTTCCTACCAGTATAATTTCTAAAATGTCCATTTGCTTCTTTTAGTGCGACCTATGGATTCTTCTTCATCCAGCCCTGCAATTTCTATTCATGAAATGGGGCCTTCTGGAGCAACGAAAACAGAAAGAAGTGGTATTACTAAATTGAAGAGTGAGATGAAGCAGGTGAGAGTTTTCTGTCAGTGCTTATCAGAAAATGTAGCTGCTCTGGAATGGCGTTTTATCAGAGTTTTGTGTTCCTTTCAGGAAGTTGTTCCAATGCCAAATAAATACATTCTTCATAAATCACAGAAATTGCCAGTCAGCCTTTGGTTTAAAGCTAATAGAAGGCAGGAGGGAGATGATGCTTCCAAAAATGAAGCCTCTTCTTTGTTCTTGTTTCATGTACTGAATATTGCAACTTAGCAAATAGCAAAGTCTACTGCATTCATGGCACCAACTTTAAAACAATTTTTTATCGTCTTTAGCTATAGAGAAATCAGCTGCACATTTCACATAGATTTTCACATAGGTGGTTTTCATTCCTGTACTCTGCACAAGTTTTTAATGTGGTCTATCTGCCTTCTAGAAAGGTACATTTGGAAGAGAAATCTCGGTGGTTTTGCCTTTTCTTTTCCGGTTTTGTTTTTTATGGACAGGAGAAACATACTTCATATTCTAGCAGTAATCCAACTTCAGTATTCTTAGTTACACAGCAACTGAGCTTAATGAGAGAAATGATAGAAGACACAAAGTGTTCTGGATGAGTGTGACTGATGGTTTTATTGCAGCTGGTTTTCATTTTTTTGTGTACATGTGTTTCTACTAGTAATTTTCTTTTGCTCTGGATAAATAGGAAGGAGGTGAAGTGAAAGACATTGATGGGAATTAAGTGTATTATATTGAAGACATATTTCAAAAACACACTTTCTGCTAAGAGCTTAGCAAGCAAAAGCATTTACTCAGGCCATTTGTGTAAGTTTCTAGGGAAGTATGGGGTGTTCTGCTTTATATGAAACAAAAATGCTGAATGAGCTTTTGGAGAGGAGGAGCATTTCTGTATAATTCTTGACACAGAGCGTTTTATGCTGATGTAAAGATGAGTTCATAATTCTTTTTTGTGATACAATTAATCAGGGAAGGCAAAGTGAAATTTGTGTTTTGTACCTTGTGAGATCAGGTCACTGTGTTTGAGCCACTCTGGTGCCTTAGTGTTACTGCGGCCAAGCCTGCCTTGTCCCCTCCTGTGGTGCAGCAGTGTCTGTCTGCAGAAGCTGCTGCAGGGTGCTAACTGCAGACTCTGGGTGACCTTGGTAGCTCCGTTTGGGCATGGCTGTTAGTCCAGCAGCCTACTGGGGATGTTCATCCTCAGTGCCTTTCCCAGAATGAACATGGACTGGGTGCTATGCAGCAGCATCAAATCTTAAATATAGGTGTGCACCTGAGTTGAAACCCTGTGAAGTTTGTCAAGGCTGGAAAGGTAGCTCCTTGCATTGCTTTTGCATTAGATAGATGTGGTTTGGTTTTTTTTGCAGAAAAAAAAACAGCAGAAGAGTTGGCTGTTTTGCTTTTATTTCCCCTCACCGGTCCATACTTACTGCTTCACACCACATCTCAATGTATTTGTGAAATACCATCTTAATGTCATTGTGGTTGGAGGGACAACCAACTTTGTGTCAGGAAAAACATTTTGAGCACTATCACGAGACAGAGCTCTTGTGTTGAACATCTACAGCTCTCCCGTTTGCTGCAGATGCTTCTGGAATATGTAAACTCAGCCTTTGCCTGTATCTGAGGCTGTCATGGCTTTCTTTTGAGTACCTGAGTTTATTCCGTGCTCCTTGCCTTTGTGCAGATGGGTTACATAACCTTGTTTGTGTCGTGACAGTCTGTCTGATCTGTTCGTGTCTGTTTTTGTTTTGTAGTTCTTTCATGAGGGCCACTCCATGTCCAGCAGCATGTTCGCTTCCAGGGTAAAATGATATCTGCAGTTCTGTTCCTGCTCTTCACCCTACGTGTGTCTGTATATGTCTGCATACACTTGTGCAAGGACCTTAGCTCTAAACTCCTCCTGCTGCTTCTGCTCTGTGACAGCTTCTTTCAAACCCTCTTTGTTTAGTTCATCTTCACTGGGAGCCTGTTCTCATTAGTAATCTTTTAATAGCTCAGTCTCACATTTAGATCCACTTAGCTCTTCCTAATAGTAAACAGCTGAGGCGGATAAAGCACTGTCACAGATTTAGCTACCTGATTATGTATTGCAGGTGTCATCAGTATTTAAAAGTAACATAGCATTTATGCTGGCAATCTCTGGCTGATGATGACCAGCACAGTTTCAGAGTGCTGGCAGTTTCAGAGGCAGGGATTTTATAGGCTCAGGCATCTCCTCAGGCAGTTATTTTCTTTCAAGGCAGAAAATTGTAGCACTTAAGCTTTTGCTGTTAAGAAGGAATATAATTGTTTAAATATTTTACCAGTAGAAGCCTTAGCGATTTAAATTCTGAGACTCCAAATCTGTCACCAGGAGACGGAAGGTTTGCAGCTATGTGTGCACTCTGAACTGGTGATTGTGATGAGTGCACCTCTGCACTCTCCTCAGTGGCACAGCCCTCAGGTGCTCTAAATACAATTACAGAGCACCCCTGAGCACATTGCTGCAGCCTCTCTCTTCCAACATAGCAGTGCAGAAAGAGAGGATTCAGCTGCATTTGATAAAAGTGCACAGAAGTTTTTGAATGAGATCTCTGCCTGAGTAGTCAAATTAATTACTGTTTGTGGATGGATTTCTGCTTTGCCACTGACCCTCCTGTGTCCTCTGGTGCTGCAAAATGAAATGGAGGAGATCCTGATTATCTCAGTCAGGGAGTGATAGTAAGGAATAGGGGGCATCAAGGGAACACCACCTACATCTCACTGACACCAGCAGAAGTGAAAAACGGACTTTGTTTTCACTTACTGATCTTTCTGTGGAGCTTGGCTCTGTGGAGTCACTGAGCATACTCCTTGCAAACATGCACTTTTTGGTCTTATTTCCCACTTTCCCCAGTACCCTGCTCGGGCAGTTCTGTACTCAGAGAGGATGGGATTTCAGAAGGGACCATCAGTGAAGTCCTTCCTGGGCTGAAAGTAATGGATGTGCAAAGAAGTACAAGGGAGGCAACAGAATAGCAGAGGGCCTGGGAGAGTGAAGATGGGCAGCCTGCACATATTCTGGTGTGACAGTAACAGTGAGGATGTGGTGGCATTGCCACATCTTTGAAGATGATTTGCTGCCTAGCTTAGTCTTTAAGTCTGGTAGAGTTAAAATAGAAAACCAATCATAGAATCATTAAGATTGGAAGAGGCCACTAAGATTGTCTTGTCCAACCATGAATCATGACAACAAAGGAGAACAAGGTTGATGTTTACAGAGAGTTGGGTGTGGTAACTGTATGACCACATAAACTTGGTCTTTAATCAGCATATGTTAATGGATTGGTTTCTACGGAGGACCTCACTACAGACCCACTGACTCTTTTACTCTTACCCACTTATTCTTTTGAGCCTGAAGTCTGAATCAGACCTATCAGTAAATCCCACCACTGAATGCAGCAGTAAAGCTGCCATGTCAGCCAGCTCATACTTGTTAAAACGGCCATGCTTTGAGTTGAACCGAGCAGTTATGCCTTGTGGCACTGCTGACTCATTTTGTTGAGAAATGATTGAAGCATGGGAGAAGTGAAGTTTGTCATGAAAGGGGAAGAGTGGAATGAGTCTGCTCCATCACCTTGTATGATGCCGTGGCCTATGGTTTTTCTCCTGGCCCTGAGCTAGCACTGTAGCAGTACGACATCTTCACAAGTAGTAGCACCCATCGGGGTAGAAAGCAACTAACTGAGGCTTTAATGTTTCTTACAGAGGAGCAGTACTCCACCATCTCCTTCCAGTACTTCTCCCACCAGTTCCAGCGGAGACATTAGTTGGGGTGACCGCAAAGGGCAGTGGCTGCGCAGAAGAAGGCTTGATGGTGCCATTAACAGAGTTCCTGTTGGCTTTTATGAGAAAGTATGGAAGATTCTTCAGAAGGTAGGTTGACAATTATAGCAGTAAGAAAACAAAGCAGCTTATGGGAAGATGGTGTTGCTGGCTAAAATTTGTCTTCAACTGTAAGACTAGTGGAAGCTAGAATTATTGGTAGCAACGTATCTGTAGGAGATATAAGGGCTTCATTAATGCAACTTCACATATTTGCTTGAAAGTGTTTTTTTTTTTCTCTGAAAACACCGGTGCACAGTTTTTTGCTGATCAGTTGTGTTTTACCACTACTTAGCATCTCTTCTGGCCTAATGCAGGCTGTGCTCACTGCCGCTGAGGGGCACTGTAATGCAGTGCAATTCCCATGCTCCTGCTGGAAAAGGCTGCAAGGTATTGGCTTGGAAGCTTCACTGACTCTTCCAAAATGATGAAAACTTCCTGGCTTTTCTGAGCTGTGTAACTCTTCTAGTGTTACTTGCTTCTTGTTATATGAAAAGTAATCCGTGGTAGCACCTTGAAGATCTGAGGTATGGAAATGTGTTGAAGCAGATCTCCAGGAGGGAGAAAAGGGGGATTAAGAATTTCTGTTTATTTCAAGGCAATGCACCTGTTCTTCTGCTTTGCTGAGTGTCAATATTTGGCAGCCTGCAAAACTGAACTATTCAAGCCTACACCATTGCGGAGATACTGAGCACCTGCTTTGGTTATCGTAAAATCAGTTGTACTGAAGCTGTTAGTGTTGATGTCAGCCAAGACGAATCATATGTGACCACTAGATTTAGATGAGATCTTTCAATGCAGTGAACATCACTTGTGTACACAAAGTATTGTCCTCTTCTTAGTGATTTTTTTGTGCCTGAGGTACCCAGATGTGCCATTCTTTAGCCTGCCACCCCTTAGGTCATATCCTTTTCTTGTGTGTCACACTCAGTGTTGCTGACACCATCTCCGTGACTGCTGGTGGCCCATTTCCAGCAACCACAACATATTGAAGTCCTTGAATTGCGGTATCCTGCATCTCAAGCACTTAACTAAATGTTGTTTCAGTGAAAAATGAGAAATAAAGGTTCTCAGTTCCATGGTTTCTTGTCATGCTTTTGCATTATGTGCCCCATAGAAGGTTTTTTGTTCTTGTCTTCTGTCTACTCCTTGCTCTGGTGGCTCTCCCAAGGAATTTCCTCCCATTCAGTAGCTAGAAGGGAATATAGAGCACTGTGCAAGTGTTGTGTAAGGTTATTTCTGACAGTTGCCAGGCTACGTAATAAACTCTCGAGCCAAGGTGAGGTAGTAGTTTTAACAGGTTTTGTTGTTGTACTGAAATTTATTACATGGATCAATGGATTTAGTACATTGGCTTGGATCATTCAGATTTACTTGCAAGAACTATAATTTCTGTTCACTGTCAAACTGCTTTTGTTTCAGTGCCATGGTCTGTCCATTGATGGGTATGTCCTTCCTTCTTCAACCACCAGAGAGGTACAGTAAAATGCCAAGGGTGTTTCTGTCATATGGCTGAATGTTTGATGTTTGAATTGGCAATGTAAGATGCAGAGCAGGATTGATGCTGCAGGGTCCTTGTAAGGACGATCACTGTGAGAAGAGGCTAAGGTGGTGATCTTTCCTCCAGCATCTCCCTGGCTTCACCGGAGGCTGTAAAAAGAATTTTTCCTCCACCCATGCCTGGCAGTGGATTTGGGAGGGTTTGCCCCTTTGCTGTGTCTGCTGCCTGTGCGCCTTCACTGACAGCAGTTTGCTTCCTTTGTTTCTGAGGGTGGTGGTAACAGCTGAAGAGAAGGGCTGGAATTTTCTGCCAAATTTAAACCTTACTTTACAGAATGGAAGGCTTTATTTATTGCTATTGTATAAATAAATAGGCTTATGTTTTTGGTATGTCAGACTTAGACAGTATCTAATTTTGCTGTTTAAAGGAATCAGACTAAATAAGCACAGACCTTCTAAGGCAACAGCATTTCACACAACATCCATACAGCTGTACAGTGAGAGTTAGGCTGTTCTGCAAGCAATAGAGCTGTGTGCTGGTGTTAAAGCACATCCGATCTCTATAGTGAGTTCAGTTTTGCTGTTAATGTGAGATACCAGAGTAGTGCTTGGAAAGCAGAATGCATGAGGCTGTCACATTAAGAGCAAAGAGATGACTTCGATGGCGAGTTGACCTGATAGTGGCCTTTCAGTATCTAAAGGGGAGCTATAGGAAAGAAGAGGACAGACTCTTCAGCAGGGTCAGTGGTGATAGGACAAGGAGAAATGGTTTCAAGCTTGAAGAGAGTAAATTTAAGTTAGATATAAGGAAAAAGACTTTTATAGTGAAGGTGACGAGGCGCTGGAACTGGTTGCCCAGAGATGTGGTGGAGACACATCTCTGGAGCCTTTCAAGGCAAGTCTGGATCAGGTCCTGGGCAACCTGATCTAGCTGTGGTGGGGCATTGTTCACTGCAGAAAAGTTGGACTAGATGGCCTATAACAGTCCCTTCCAGCTCTAAGGATTCTATGATAATTTGCTAACTAAGCATCAGCAGTCCCATATACAAATAAAATATGTATGTGTGATGGGTCACAGGGCTGGAGCAGTTTCTGGAAGCTGCTCAGCTGCTTGCAGGATCAGGGCCCAATGACAGAAAGTTTCTGTAACTGCTGAAGCTGTACAAATGTTTTGTTTACTTCAATCAGTGCCCCCACGTGAGGAGAGGAGCTTATGGTTCAGAGCTTGGGGGGGGTGTGGGGGAACTGCTCTTTTGGGTTTGTCAGTTTTTCTTTCTTTCTCTGACTTGCCAGATGACCCCATGTGAAATCAAGTTTGCTGTACATGTGGAGTCTGTGCTGAACCACGTCCCCCAGCCTGAGTACCGGCAGCTCCTAGTGGAAGCCATTCTCGTCCTCACATTCCTGTCTGACATCGAGGTGAACAGCATTGGGGGGATCATCCATGTAGACCAAATAGTGCACATGGCCAACGACCTCTTCCTGCAGGAACTGGTGAGTCCAGAGTGCAAAGGAGGAAATCCTTCACATCTGAAATTTGTCCCCTGTTCATTTTTGTGTGTCTGATGAATTTGACCAAATTCATGCCCCAGTCAGCTGCATGCAGCTCCACCTAATTATAGAAGAACATTGAGAAAGCTAAGCACAAAGTGTTCAAATTATCATTATTTGAGTAATCAAAAAGAAAACAAGACAAAATTTGTGAAGCTAGATGTTCCTTATATACGTGAGTTTATCCAAATAAATAGGCAAGGATGCTGAGGCACTGGTACAGGTTGCCCAGAGAGATGGTCAGTGGCGTGTCTGTAGAGATATTCAAGGTCAGGCTGGATGAGGCTGTGAGCACCCTGATTGAGCTGTAAGTGTCCCTTTTCATTGCAGGGCAGTTGGACCAGATAGTCTTTAAAAGCCCCTTCCATCTCAAACCATTCTGTGATTCTGTGTGTGTATATTGTAATGAAGGCTTCAATGAGGGAAGGGAGGATTGCTTTCTGTATTCAGCACAAATGCAAAATCATCATGGGGTCTTTTAATTCTGATAAATAAGCATAACTGCCTAACTTTCCCTATATCTTTTCTCTGTATCTTTTCAGAAATCATACGGAGCTACGGGTGGTATCTTGGAGAAGGATGTGGCCACAGGAATTTGTCACTTCTTTTATGACAGTGCTCCAAGTGGGGCCTACGGGACCATGACGTACCTGACAAAAGCCATAATTATTTATTTGCAGGATTTCCTGCCTAGCACAGGCTGTGTGATGCAGTAAGCAATGTCTCACTAGGGAAAAGAGGCTAGGAAGCTTCTCCCTGTTTTGCTGCCATGAGCTGCCTGTTTGCTGCGTGTCAGCAGATACACCAGTCACAGTGTTATGTTACCTGCACACCTGCCTGAGGGGGACAGGTGGGTGGAATGTGGCCTCATTTTAAGGGAGGGTGTGAGAAAGAGCAAATAACGAGGCTTATTCTGCCTAAACTGCATAAATGTAATTCGTATTAAATTAGCAAGAATTAGTTCTGCCAAGGGGGAAACAGATTTACTCTGTGGAGATCAAAAGGCATAATAAAACGAGGGAGCTGAATCTCAGGCACAGAATTTCCCAAATAAGGGAAATAATGGAACTCATTAGTTTTTCTCCTGCCAATCTGTAAATCTACATTGCTGTGAATCACTAATGTGCAGTGTGAAACATTCAGGAGGAATGTAAATGAAAGGAATTGGGAGAACTGGAAACAACCAGGTGGTATTTTTAATACACGTTCACCCTGATTCTCATCTCGTTTGCACCTCGTTAGTGCAGGGCTAGCGCTGGTAGAGACAAATGTCTTACAATAGCCACTAATTGGAGATGATAGCAGCTCTCAGGGAGATGCCTTTTGCTTTAATCTGAACAAAGCTGCTTCCTTCCCTCCACAGGCACAGTCTCAAGACTCCAACTGCTCCGAGGTGACAGGGAATTTTATGCTGTATTCTTTTTCTCTGAACAGAAAAAGATAGATCTCAGCCACTTAAGCACCCTTCTATCTCTCCTGATCGTTTCCCTTGCAAATAGCCTCGGTGCTGAGAATGGCGTATTAGCCGCCCTTCCAGTGCAGGGAGAGTTTATAGAAAGCTTTGATTTTTTCCTCTCTGTCTTTGTTTCCCCCGCCCCCCCCCCCCCTTGGTTGTGTATTATTATTGTTTTTTTCTTTGAAGGCACACTTGTCACTCATGGCTAGGGATGGGCTCTCTGGAAGTCTCCCTCCAGCCATCTCCCAGTTTCGTGCCTGTTATCACCATGAGTAGGTCTACTGCAAGCAGCTGTGTGGCTGCTTTGAGCTGCTGCGACTCCTGCTGGGAAATGGCTCCACAGTCACTTAACGTGGCAGCAGAGAGAGGTTGGATGAAAAGAGGGCAGCAAAGCCTCTGTCTCACCTGCCAGTTACTGGCACGGTGGTGCCGGGGAAGATGAACTTCAGGTGGCAGAGCCACACCAGAGGTGCTGCTGCCACATCTGTTCTCTTGCTTGGGAGAGAGAAGGCAGGTGGGGGTGGGAAGCCTGAGGAGGTGATGCAGAAGTAATAGGAGAACTTGGCCCTGAAGCTTCTCCGAGGATGCTCTGAAGAGTCAAGCAAGGTCTATGCTAGATGTGGATAGGTTAGGATAAAGAGGTGGTTTAGACTGAAACAAGTGTTTGGAACCTACAAAACATTAAACTCTCTCCCCCCCCTTTTTTTTTTTTTTTTTTTAAATGGGAGTAACAGTGAGTGTCTTTGATTTAAAATTTCTGCTATGATCTGTGTTATGATTTATGTTTGGTAGTCATGATTAGTTATCACATGGAAGCCAGGCACTGGCAGAGGACTTAGAAGGTGCTTTGAAGAATTCGGATAGCTGCTGGTAAACAGTGGGATGCTGAAACACAGCATGAGTAGAGGGAGATCTCATTTAACTTGCAGGTCAGGTCCTGCTGCTGAGCTATGGTGGCAGGGTGGTGTCAGTTGGAGTCCCATTTAGTGCAGACCCAATTAAGCAAACAAGCTTTTGCACCAAACACTCCCACACCTGGCAGAGGATGCACCTGTGTGCTACTAAGCTGTTACAAAACAAAAGGAGTGCTGCTGGAGGCGAGGCTATGCTCCCCGGGTGAAAGCTGTCACAGCTCTAACACTAATTGGCAATGATGGGTTTGGCTGTTGGGCTTCCCCGGGGACTGAGAGGAGGATGACATGGCCAAATTCCAGGTCTTGTTTACAGAAGGAAGGTGAAGGTAGGTTGACATGTCCTGTCTCAGAAAGAAGGGCTTCCAGCAGCTGAGGTGGTCCCCCAGGCCCTGCTTTTTCAGCCTGCCATGTGCAGCTGCCACAAGTACTTTGTGCTTGGCTGTGTGACAGCTGCCAGGACCTGCAGGGCTGGACTGTGGCTTGTGCAGAGGAATGTCACTGCAGCGTGTTATTTATTAGCCCCTGCAGAACACGGTGAGACATAAAAAAATTTGGGATGAGAGTGATGAAAGAGCCTTATCTGGATCTGTTTGGATTTAAGCACACGTAACTGGGCCGTGCGTGGCTCCCCGTTTTGCACTTTGGTGGCTTTTCTTCCTGGCATGGCGTGCTTTGCAGTTATCTCCTCTCCTCTACTCTCTCCTTCTGGTGGGGGTGAGGGTGCCCCAGGCTACCTGCAGCAGCTGCTGGGTGTTGCTTTTGGTTGGATGACTCAGTTCCTCTTGTGCTGCAGCTCTGCAGCCCTAAAAGCAGTGTATGCTAAGTACTGCATTGCGACCTTCCCTCCTCTCTCAAGGTGAGCATCCTTCATCTGAATCCTCCACTCTTCAAACTGTTGTGCTCTGTTCCACGTAGGTTGTCAAAATACAGACAAGAAACAGACCACAAACTTACACATTATGTGAAAGCTCAAGCTTTATTTTTGTGATCTACTGTATGTGAACATGCTTTGGCTTAAGCCCTGATTAAGGTGACAAGTTAGGATCACTTATTAACCCCCAAACCTAACAACTGCAGCAAAAGTAACCATTGCTAAGTACAAATCTGCGGCAGGTATAGACACCTTTCCTTTTAAGTTGGGTCCGTAAACCTCAAAGAGGAAAACTAGTAATGTGGAATGCTTTAATTACATCGTGCAAAGAACAAGATTAAATATGCAGAACTGCTTATTTTAATAAGAAGGTTCTTCCCTGTTTTCCTCACCTGGAGTCCACAGAAAGCCTGTTTTTCCTGTTACACATCCCCAAGGAGAGACTGGTATGTTCTCTGTGATCATCGATGCTATTTCTTAGCTCTAAGGGCTGCTGGGAGAAATTTACCAGAGCATCTCTTGCCATGGCACTGTAGCTGCTACCTTGGTAGCATTCACAGATTAGGGTGGTGGAGGAAATGACACCAAGGGTGAGGATAAGACACTGATGTGGTAGTGGTCATCCCTTCTGCTTTCCTCACTAGAAGGTATGCATCATCCCGAAGGGATTCAACACAGGTTTACACAGTGACCGCAGAGCTTACCATTTATTGTTTGTCAGTCTGGAAATTGTTTTTCTAGGCTGTTGGGACTACAGCAGGAAGGTGAGCTCCTGTGAGCCCCCCAAGAAGTTCTGCCCTTTCCCTAGGCTACCTTGTTCTCTAGTTTGCGAACCACATGAAAGGCCTCTAAAAATTCATTGAAGTCAATGTAGCCATCTTTGTTGTAGTCTATGCTCTGGGCTAACTTGTCAATGGCTTCATCATGTGAATAAATACCAAGGTAAGAACTGAAGATTTTCCAGGTTTTGCGGAACTCATCAGGTGAAATTAGACCTACAGGAAACAGAAGACAGTATGCTTTTTCCAGTACTTTTCCCCTTCCTCCATCCACACTCACATGCACACTCCTCCACTTCCAGGAAGTCACCTGCTTAGCAGGGCTTCTGTGGGATTTTTTTGTTATTTCACAACTTAACTACAGTTCGAGTGCAGAAGGGAGAAAGCCATCAAAGTGACAACAGTACTGGAAACTGTGTGAAGACTTCTTCTTGAGTTAGACACCATCCCTTATATGGGTACAGCATGACTGCTTAAATTAGCCTTCACTAATTCAGGAAAATGACATCACCTCTGGTTCCTCTCTATATAGAAGCCTTAAAAGGAGGAAACACAGTGGGGAAAAATAACCAGTACAGGTTTCCAAGGGTCACGACTGTGAGTTACTGAGCCTTACCTGACTGATCTTCATCCATGATGTTGAAGATCACCTGCAGATCTCTTCTGTATTTGCACAGCGTTTCCACCAAAGTTGGCTGAACCTGGTTTTGAAATCACGTACAGGAAACCATTTAGACCTTGGGTTTAGGTTAGCTTAACTGCCAGAACATGTACTATTATCCAAATCTATTTTACTAGTTTAACATGCCAAATGTTGGGGAAAAAATGCTTATGCAAAAGTTCAAAAGGATGGTGCTTTGTGTCTTGCCCCAAATCAGCTAAAACCTGTCACATATGGTGGGGTGGGCACAGGTGAAGGAGCCCTTCAAGCCTCCTGCTTTCAGTAATTATTTGTGGAAAAAATGATAATCTGGGGAAAATGCTGTATATCACTTACTCATGAAACTTTCATTAGACATATAGGAATGGGTCCTGCTGCATAGAAAAAATGGTGTTGAGAGCTAAGTACCAAAGCACTGTGCATTCATGCAGTAGCAACTGGACTCTGTAGAAGAGACCTCATCTATCATGAGACACCTAAAAGCTCACCTCCAACTGTGACTTCATCTTACAGGTGCCAGAAGCAGCTCTGAGCGCATCTGAAAAAGCTCATCTCAAAAGAGTGCTCACAGTAGGATTTGTCGCATAGCTCCTCAGCTACCTTATCAAAATGCCCTTGAGAGTCAATGGGATGTACAAAGCAGTTCTAGCATGTGATTCATCCGGCCTATTTTAAGACTCTACCTTAGCAGGGAATGATGATTTGTGCCTTTAGAAATGCTTATTTCTCTCCAGTAACTATAAAAGGAAGCTAGGTAACTAGTTCAGATGCAGATCTCTACTGGAGTGGCCAAACCACTGCCTTGTGCATCAAGCTGCAATGAAAGCTGTTTCTCCAAGATTTGGAAGGATGTGTTTTCCTTCTTACCTGATGCATAGGACGAGCTGTGTCCATATAGTAAAAACATGACATGTAGTCAACGTTTCCATCTGGATCTGTCTTCACTAACCGAGACTTCAGTGTCCTCCAGGGCAGTTTGAGTTGTAAGACTGACTCCATCACTGCTGCCCAGTCACTGACAGAAATCCTGCCTGCTGGGAGGGGTCAGCTCATGGTTACAAGCAGTGCGTGACACAGTACAGATGAGACCCAGCAACCCCAGCATGCCTTCTGACATTGTTTTACAACACTCACAAAACATAAATGTTTTTTTCCTAAGCAAGGTAATAAAAACAGTGAGGTCAGATGAGGCATTTCCAGAGGTCCCTTCCCACTGCAACAATTCTGTGATTCTATTATGACTATCAGCATGCTTTAATGCCTTTAGAGAAAAACAAATTATGCTATGAAGAGTACTTCAGCTGTGAGTCGAGTTGCAGCAATAAAGACAGACATATGTGACTGAAAAGCCAACAAGCCAGAAATATCTTCTTCAGTTGTTCAGCAGCCAGAGAAACAGTACCACCACCCTAGGGGCACAGATGACAAACTAGTCAGATGAGAAGCCGTCAAGAGGAAAAGTATTTTTTGCTAGATGTTGTATTTTTGTTACAAGTCAGCCATGACCTCTTCCTATATAAAAGGTTCATGTATCAATTTATCACTGAGCTTTCTTCAGCTGATGGGTGAGCATTCCCTTCTAGTGGACTAGCTGCTTAGCTTCACTGAAATAACTCCCAGGCTTAGAAGACTAGTTCTCTCAGAGGCCCCAGTTCCCTGGCTGATACCTGAAGATGCCTCAGTGAGCTTCTGGAGCCATACTCAACTCAAACTTCACCAACTCAAACTTTGCCTGGTGGCAAACACTGATTCTTTATTTGCTCACATGTTTCAGTTCTATTGTTCCTCCAACTTAAAGCTCCCCAGGTTGTTCTCTAGGGCTAAGTGTCCACTAACAGACATCCTGCACTGGTCAGAGAGAACACACGACCGACTAGGCTCTGCCTTCCTCCAGCCTTACAAAAAAGCAGGCAGGACCCTTCTGCCACCATGAACATTCAGAAGCTGTTTTCCCCGTGGCGGTGAGCTGACAGACAGATGGTGTTACCTGTGCTGTTGCGGTCATACTTTGCAAAGGTGTCCATGAGCTTTTGCTTGTGAACAAAAATCCTCTCTTGTAAGGTTTGTAAAGCAGACTGTTCAATTGTTTTCACCCTGGAACAAAAAAGAAATCAAAAGCAGATCATTAAAGGATATTAATCCTCCAGCAACTTACGCATTTCAACATTCATTATCAAATTCTGTTCTTCAACAGGCAGTGTTGTTAGGGTGATCCTAAAAGACAACATGCATGAAAAATAAAACAAAGCCCTAGAAGAATAATCTGAACTTAAGAGATAATCAAGTTTATGCAGGTAATTCTAAGCTGCTTTGCTCCAGTAAATCTGGCCACAGTGCTAGGCATAGCAAAGCTGCAATGATGAACTTTCTGGACTCCACTCATAGCAGGATTTCTCTGGATTAACGCTGTAGCCTTAAAGCAGACCTGACGGACAGGTGCAGGCTCTTCAGGGTCCCTGATAATAGTCCATTCTTAGCATTTAACACTTCTAATTGCCTTTGGAAATTTCTCACAAAACCTGGAGGTACTTAAAATGCATTTTTAAGCCTTGATTTTTAAAAAGGAAAACAAACAGAAGATAAATTGTGAGGTTGATGTGAACTGTGATGTGAACATTACTGCAAACGTGCTGAAGGAATAGCACAGGGCTGCATCAGGGTGGGGCTCAGGGAAAGGGGCTGCACCACAGGGCGCTGGGTGTGGAACGGGATGCACAGGGCTGTGGGCACGGCCCCAGTGCTGCAGTTCAAGGAGCGTCTGGACAGTGCTCTCAGACATTGGGTTTGGTTTTGGGTGGTGCTGTGTGGAGCCAGGGGTTGGACTCCATGATCCTTGTGGTCCCTTTCAACTCGGGACATTCTGTGACTCTATCCAATTACAATGAAGCTACAGATCAGTGGTGGTCATGCTCACCATACACACAGTGCATCTTTACCTCTCCCAGTTTTTCCGCTTGTCAGTGCTCGTGCAGACTTGGTACTGTATAAAGTGGGGAACCAGGTCAGGATTCATTCGGATGTATGCTCCCCGGTTGCTCCCCTCTTCATAATAGTTAGAAGCAGAAAATATAGTGATAACCTGCTCGTAGCAAAAAGAGAATTTAGATCGGCTAGAATAATATTTCTTGAGACTGATTGCTTAAAATGATCTTAGAAAAACTTGCAGGTTACAAAATGAAGTGTTGGTGTGTAAAGCCAGAAATCAATACTGGTGCCATTCACCAAACTGCTTGTACTTTTCCAGTCAGAACTCCACACCAGTGCTTTTGGCCTGCCACAGCTCAGAGGGCAGCATGATAGCATGCTGTAGTGGATACATCTGAGACACAGTTCGTTTTCAGGATTTTTTCATGGCCTCTCAATAGAGCATGTTAGCAAGCAAGGCCAGAAGAGAAATTAAGTTAAAAAGCTTCTAGAGCCTAGGAGCATCTCTGTGCTGTATATATACACATAATTGTCCCCGTGGATTTTGTTGATGTTGATGAGTAATGAGCCAGTCCCCACTCCCTAAAGTTCCAGAAGACTTCTGTGTTTGTCAGAATTCCATAATCTGTTCTAACATCTATTAATTTAGTGCACAATTCCCCCAAACCCATTTTGAAGAAGTCACTCATATTCTTAATGAACTCTGCTGACAAGTCTACTGTGGATGTGCCTGTGCAAATCACGTGCTTTCCACGGCAGCCCCTTACCTTCCCATCATGAGTGAGGTCGTAGCCATCCGGCTTAAATTCATGAGACCTGATTAGCATCTTCAGATTATACTTTTTAAGCAGCTGGTCAGTAGTGTCAGGGCCAAAGCAACAACCTCCTCCTCGACGCTGGTTCAGAGTACAGCCATGTTGCTTTTTTGGATCGCTCCAGAGAATGTCCAGGACCTAGGAAGAGCAAACTCAAGAAGGACTGATACTAGGTGAGGACTGACAGGCTACAGATGCCTGAACTAGTGGCCATACCAAAAACCCCAGGCTACTGAGAGAAAACACCTGAAAGGACAAGCTTTTCTTCCTTTCTTTCAGCTGTGCATTCCTTTGGGCTGAAACTTTTGTTCTTCTAAATTACAAAACATATTTAGAGTATGCGTTAACCTTTTCAGATGCAATATCTTCTCAGAGATGTATATCTCCTGTCACGAATGAAGTTTCCAGACAGGTAGATGCATCAGGTACAGTGCATGGGCAAGGAGAGCAAAAGCCATCTAAACATGAGAGGCAATTCTTATTTCCCAGCACAGAGGTCACCCATGTCAGTGGTTTTATCTAAACTAAGCTTGGGCATACCTGTTCTAAACACGGTAAGAGCTGCCCTCACAGCAGCTGTAGTGTCTTTGTTTAGCTTGTGTTCCACAACAACATTTTACATGTTGGCATTTTAACAGAGTCAGAGACATGAGGATGAATTCTCAAGGTTCAAATGTATTAATTCTAGCCTGTAGCAAACACTAGGCAAAATGTTTCTGTTCATATCTCCCTGGAAAGGGTTCATGGAGATGCATTCTATTTCCCATTTGCTGGAGAGTGTCAGATTAAGAGGGTTGTTCCTGCCCATTATGTTAGTTTTGAGGTCAGGTGCATATCTTGGGAAATCACATTTTCAGAGATTTGCTTCTCTAGAGGCAAAATGAAGCTGTCTGCTCTGTACAGCAGCTGTCTGAAGTTCAGAAAAATAAATATACACAACTCAATTTTGAGCTTCTAAATTAATATGCAAATTAAGCTTTCTGAATTGTCACGATTTATTAAATTACAGCGTGACAAGCAGCATATTGCCTCTGATATTCAAGAGGAAACTAACAGCCAGAGGACAAAATTTTCCTGCTCTGAGTAATCAGCCTGTAGGTCTCTGGAATGGGGCTTTTTGGAAACTATTGGCATCCAGCTGCGAAAACCGTGGCCAAAGAAAGGTGCATGCTATCACAATTGGTGGCCAAGTCTGACCTATTTTAACTGACAACTATGTACGTAGCAAGAGACCTACCACACGGGGGCATGCAAACACATCTCATACAGAGTTTCTTCCTCCAAACAGCTGAGAACCAAAACCATGGAGTAAATTGTATTTTCGAGGCATAAAATCACAAGCGTATATTACCAGGTGTACAAAAAGCAGCTAAATAACAACTAGCTGGCTACTATACTCCCCAGAGCAATGGGTTTCCTATATAGAGACAGACCTCCCAGACTCAGAGGTGCTCTCTTAACGTAGCCCCTGCCACTGTCATAACTGGGTCTCGGCATCAGGCTGTCTTTGGTTTCACTTACTTGTTTCCGCTCCTCCTCGGTGAGTTCTGGATGTGAACTCCATCGGAAAAGCTCAGAGTAGCTCAGTGAGATGCCTTGTATTTTCACTTGTTTTTTTCTGTCTAACTTTGGTAGCTTCATCAATGTTTTCAGCTTAAAAAAATACAGAACATGGGAAAAGTTACCAGAAAATAAAGATGATCCATTCCCTTTTCCCCTACCAAGTCTTTAATCCTCACAATGCTCTGAACTCTCAGGTCTGGTGGTAGCTGCAGGTGTTTGGCACCAGCAGATATCGTGCCTTGCATCTGTCAGGCACCAACCTCCTTGGCACATCCCTATCATGGAACATCACTCATTGCAAGCCACACTCAGTCACAAGATCTCACTGCACAGCAAGGACAGCACTTGGGCTCAGGGCAGATCCCAAAGTGCCCAGCTTTGCTGGAAACTGAAAATGCACATACAATATTGAGGATGGAAATGCACCCACAGCTGCTCTGATACAGTAGCATGCTGCTAGGTTAATTCAGCTGGAATCAGTGGAGTACCAGGAATATAGCTACAAAATTCATGAAGTAGTACATCAGTCCTTTCACTGTTAAATATGTTTAATTGAGACGTATGGGCATCTGCTTTTTTGGAGCTGCGTGCTGTGGTTCCAACAAGGCCTTTTCATGCAGGTTTCTCCAGGGAATATCTGTTCTCTTTTGATATTTCCTCATGCTATCTCCTTTTAGAATACCACCAAAAACATCCAACGATTTAACAACAAACAACAACTGATGCAAAAAATTATTTCCTGGTGCACTGACTGGGATTTGAAAACCTCTCAGCTGTCACTTGTACCAATTAAAAAACATCGGTGAGTCCAGAGTGGTACTGCCCTGAGCTGTGGTCTGTGCATGTCTCATTAGCAATACTCTCCCCTGGCAGCACCGTCAACCTGTTAATTCTGCAGTGCATCCAATACAACCAGCCCAGCCTAGGTGAAAGTATGACAACAGCTTGTCCCAAAGCTGAGACACTTGCATCTACAGCTAGGCACCCAAATTCATTGTGCTAGGCTCAGTTTCATTGCCCTTCTTCACACCTTTATGAAACAAACTGAGCTACACTTGAATGACCAGTAAAATTGTTATTTCTGTGCTAGAAATTGTGAGGGTGAGATTCCACAGGCACTAGGAACACAGTGCAACTGTGTGGAGCCAGGGGTTGGACACGATAATCCTTATGGGTACCTTTCAACTTGGGACATTCCATGGATCTATGAATTGCTGAAATACCTATATCTTGTGCCATCTGGGATGCTCTGCATGCCTGTGAACCAGGCCTAATGGAGATCCATGGAAGAGATCTGTGAGGACAACTTTCTCCAGAGGCAATGGAAATCCCCTGTGGCTTTGGAAGATCTTCCATAGAGACCTGCACTGGAGACCTGTATCTGATCAATGGTAAAGCCCAGATCTTCAACTCATCTTCTGGGTTTACATTAATCATAAGGAACCTAAGCACCCAGCTTACAAGCATTCACCTTCATTTAGTTGTATAAATCTTCCAGATCAAAACCTACACCATTTTCCAACGATTTGAAAAGCTGTATTTGCTCATCATTTCAGAATAAAAACCACATGACTCCATCTTCTAAATTTAGGAACAGCAGTTGTTTCTGCTTCCTCAAGGACAGCTTTTGAGGCCTGCTCTTGCTGGAAGGGCTCTCCCACATGTGCAGCCATGGGAGCACTGCAGGGTGCAGAGCTTCCTACACAGAGCAGATGGCAACTACGCAGCCCCAGGACAACAGGCGGTGCTAAAAAGATGCAGCTACATTGGTTTCTGAAGTGTTTAGAAATGCCTGTGAATTAAGAACTTCACATACTTTCTGGCTCGTGTGTCATCAGTGCAGAATGGAGGTATCTGACGTGTGTTCAACTATTTTAAAGTCAGAAGACCCACATCGTTTTACAGCAGCCAATTAGCTCCCAACACCTACTGAAACCTCCCTTTCTAAATATTGATTCTGAAGAAAAACAAGACTCTTTGTTCCTTACTCGCTTTAGAAAGTAGCCATTTCTTTCTTCCTGCAATCAACTTGATTTTAGCGTTCTTACTGCTATGGTATTTAAAGAAAATAAAAGTACCATCACATGAAAATGCTCACTTACCTTATTTCTCTCAAGTAAATTCAGGGAATCCAAATCTGTGGTGTCTGAAATTCCTCCATGTACAATAAGCACTTTGTTATTAACTAAAGTGGCAAGGGGAAGCCAGCTGAAAACGTCTCGCAGATGATACAGAATTGTCATGCCATGGACCTGCAAAATGTACTCTTAGATTAGATGCTACTGGGGGAACATTCTGTTACTTTTTAGCTCTACATTTTGTTGAGATGCCTGCAAACACCTGTATGAACAGTTCCACCCAAGGGGACACACTGCACTGCAACACCAGCCAATAGGATCTGAAATTCATGCCAAGAGTCACTCAGCTGTCCCTGCAGCATTTCATTTTCCTTTCACTTTTACCTCTTCTTGTGCTTCTGAGTGGCCTCACCAATGTTTATTTCATCCCATGGATCGCTGAGCACAAAAGGTTAACAGTTAAAAGTTATTTTGTCAGTTATTCCACTGAAAATCCAAAATAATTGTAACTACATCATTAAAGTCATTCCGTACTATGCCTAAACTGGTTGAAAGTCTCCTTCTTCAGACAGGTTTCATTTTACATCTGCAATACTAAAAGAAAATACAGGGAAAATGGGAAGAGTCTTACCTTATACTTCTTCAAAACTTCTTTAGTGAAGCCATATCTGAAAACAGGACAGCATCATGAACTGGGTGTGCACTTTTTTTTTGCACTACGGTGACTGCCAAGAACTTTCCATCCCTCTTTTTCTGCTTTCTGTCTCACTTTAGTATAAAGGAGCTTTCTTCTATTTTGTCTCAAGAATGAAGTTAAACCAATTCTTGGGATCGAGAACAAAGTCCAGACCAATAATTTTTAAGCAGCCTTATTTCCCACTTAAAATAAATAGCTTAACAGCTTGCCTTTGAGATACCAGGAGAATTTTCAAGGAACCCAACTGATGCTGGATGTTTCCCACAAAACCTCCACAGACAGCGCCATCTATCACATCTCTTTTCCTCCACAAGGGACAAGGAGTCTAATACCTCATTCTTTTAACACCAAAGCACCCTTGCTGCAGGGGGCGTTTCCACAACACCCTAATTTTCATCATTTAACTAAAATACAGTCCTTCCATCCATCCCCTCCCCCCAGGGTGCTCTGAAAGTCTCAGTGACACACCGAATTCGATGGACTATGATTAGAAATGCCTATTCAAGTGTCTAAACATAACGAGGATGTTCTTTGCTTAAGCATCCTGAAGATACAAAGCTCCACCAGAATACCCAGTAAAACACTACTGGTTTAGAGATCAGATGTTGGCACAGTGAAGGACTAGATATGCTTCCCTCTCATCCCTTTAAACCTACTTCATGTTTAAGATGTAGTCTTCATGGTTTCCTCTGTTCAAGTGAAAATCATTTGGGTAGATAAGAAGAAACACAAATAGGATTATAAGTATTTCCATAGAGTTTTTTCCTCTGTCAACAAAATCACCATTAAAGACATAAGGGTTGTTTTCTGAAGGCAGACCATTCTGCAGAAGGAAACAAAAACAAGATTTTCAGAGACTGCAGTGCTGCTGTAGTACTTTACTATAGTCCTTTACTGTAGTAAAGGAAATATCATTTCAAATGAGATCACCTTGCTAGAAACCCTGTAATAAACAAATGAATTTAAAAATACAGCTTGCATAATACAGAGCTATTAGGGAACAGATGACCTCTCTAATTGTTCTTATGATGCTGCCTCTAATCCTTTCCTATACCTATTAAATTAAATTGAAAGGGACGAGTAAGAACATTGCTATTGTAATAAAATATTCTTTTCTGTTAATGCAACTGTTGCCAGGAAGTTATGCTCTTGCAAATAGAAGGGACTTTTATTCATTTTGAGTGTATGACATGAAAAATTACCTTCTGATACAAATCTGAAGGTCCTTATGTTTCCTTATCCAATAAGAAATTACATTTCAGATATTTACATTGTTTGCAGTCTCTGCTTCCAGAACTCCTAAGAAATACTAGAGCCCAGACCTTAATACAGGACACTGACGAAACTTTTTTTTTCAAGTTGCTTTAATCCTGAAAACTCCCCTTCCTGGGGAGACTGCACATACACATACTTATTACCTTATTTTTTTTCTGGAGATTCAGAGCAATGTTTTATTGTGAATAGCAACTTACCAAAAGCTACTACTGTGAATCGATGATACGTGTTGTAAGACTAGTTATCCACATGTCAATAGGTGCCACCAGCCTACAAAAGGCATAGCAGTGACTACACGTAGCTTCATCATTTCCAGTCATGAGTACTAGAAATATTCTTCATTTTTGACTTGCCAGGTAAAGGAAACCTCTGTTTTCACAACTGGCATGGACAAGAATAACCGACAGAACATCTACAAAATGTTGTGACAACAGAGGCCACTCTTACAAGGTCAGACAGCATTGCAAAGCATTCTACTTCACAAATATGGCTGCGGCCCCAGCACTGCTTATGGTGCAGCCTCTGACATGTCAAAAAGGTGAACAAGGCTCTCTAAGATTAGCAACTTGCTGCTGGGTATCATTACTGTACCTGCTGGATTAGTGATTAACTAACTTCTGTTTTTTGCTCACATTCCCTACATCTTCAGGCTATTTCTATCATTAGCAGCCATTTACCAATCTAGCTTAGCAATACAGGCCTTAAAATCCAAGTGCTTGAACAAATTTAGAGATAACAGAGCAGTTACCTCCAGGATAGCTCTGCTTTACTTCCCAGGTCTGGTTTATGAAACTGATGTGAATCATACTCTGGTTCTGTTTCAATATGCAGTTCCAAAAGGGAAGGTTGCCTAATTAAAATAACAGCTAAAAGACTACAGGCCAAGGACTGGCAACGTGTAATTGGTTAATAAGAAAAGCAGAGGCCTGAAGAGGCCTGATTATGTTTCAGCAGGCTCCAGGTATGTCGCTGGACAAAACCACCAAGCTTCCAGCCAGCCAGCCAGTATCAGATATTAAGTGTGAAGACCTTGGAAGCAGAGGGAAATTACATCATTTAAATATCTGGTTTAGTTTGTGTCTGTCTCCACCCAGTGCAAGGATCAGACAAAAACCTTTTCCTTCAGAAAACTCAGATCTGCCAAATGAAAGATGGTGACTCAAACTAAAGATAAAGGGGAAACTAAATACAGGAAAACTGCATCTTCAGTTGAATACACAATTGTGGAAAAGAAAGCCTGGGGCTTAACTTTTTTTCACATCAGTAAAACAAATCTATGCTTTTTAACTTGAAAAGTGAGTGGCAGTTCAAGGATATGGACAAGCTACCCAAGGTATTTCCATTTTGTGCAGACTATGTAGTTATTCTCAAGATTACAAATGTTTTTAAACAGATAGCATCCTTTTGTTTTCTGTAAACAAATAATAATGAAAAACACCTTATCAATGGAAAGGTACGAAAAAGCCTCTGCATTTCTGTCTTGAGGACCAGAATTATCCATAGTGTAGTGTCAGTTCAGGAACTGTTAGCTCCAGAGTTCAGACCTTAGTCAGCAAGGAATAGAAAACATGAGCCAAACATTTGAGACATGGAAAGGAACCTCCCTAGGTTCATACTCTAGCTCTACAGTTGGAAGCAAGCATATTTCCTGAATCTCCTCTCCTGCAGTGAGCAGGAGGATAAAGAGAATGAAAAGCTATGACAAAGACACCATCCAAGTTGTTCCATGGTTTGTATGCGTGTGTGTGGCACACACGGACAGTTTTAAGTGATAACAACTATTAGATGCTAATACATATTCTGTAAACCAAAAAGCTACACCACAGACTGCCTGCTTACCTTGTGGAATACCAGTAAAAGATCATCCAGATTTCCATGTAAGTCTCCTACAGGAAATAAAAACATATACATATATTTAATCATGGAAGAGGGAAAAACTGGAATTTTATAAGACTAGAATTATGTAAGTTAGTCCTAAGAAGGTTTTCCTTGTGTTTTCATTATTAATTTGGATTTTCCTTAATAACTTGCCCTACATTAGCATTATATCAGCTTCATTTTAAGGTACATGAAGAAGTGGCATAATAAAGTCTAGCAATTAAATATTTAAAAGAGCAGACAAACTCTCCAAGCTAGATCCAAAGATCAGATCTGCAGCCTAGGTAAGAGGTCACTCAGGGAAATGGAAGATGGGCCAACACATTATCAGCCTGTAACACAGATTAATGCTTCAGAAACAGACTTCTAAATACTAACAGGTTTGAATTTACTTTTTTACTTCTTTTTATTTTATTTTATTTTATTTTTTTAATGTTGTCTACTAAACAAAGCACAGTTGAGCAACAGTCTGGTTCAGGCCCAGGTTTTGGTTACTGGAGGTAGGATCTGCTGGAGGGACTGTCGAAGCCTACATGCCTCAGTACTATGGAAGGGCAAAGCTGTCTCATCCTGAGGCTTATTTCAGAACAGGCAGGGGCGCCTCACCACAGCATGGCAGATCCCTGCCACATCACTCCCCTCAGAGACACCCTCCCAACACTTGTGACTCACCACCCCCAAGCCATGGCATGGTAGTGAGCTTCCTCCACTGGTGGTTAAGAAATGATTGAAGGAGACTTTTTTTATGTCTTCCATGCAAATTTTTGTTGATGGCAAGCCTGTTGAAGGTACTCTATGGATTCCTTTGGGTGACAACAGATTTTAAAAGGTGTGGCCACAAACACTTCAGAAGCATATTTAATTGGCATTATTTGCTTGAAATTAGAAGGAAATTGGGGGAGGCACCTTGCTTTGAGGAAAATGATAATTTTGGACCAATTAGCTTCAAAAATGGGTCTTCCATATTCTGCAGAGGAGCTATCTGGTTGCAAAAGCTGTTAGCTCCAATGGCAGGAAGGGGAACACTTCAGATGCTACTTGCACAGCACAAATGAGATATGCAAACAACAGAGGGGTGCTTTATTACTGACTAGTAAGCCACACCCTGCATAGCAAGTGAATGTGAGTCTGTTTCCTGCATTCAGAGAGAGATTTTGGTTGGTTTGGTTAACAAATTATTGTTTAGAAGAAAATATTATTTAAACGAGCCCTTTCCTGGTAAGCAAAGTTGGTGCACGACCACATCTTAGAACCATCAATTGCTGTTTTACATGTGTCACAGTTGTCTCCCCTACAATGCAGCACAGACACAGCTGTCAGAACGGATGTCACCACTCCTATTCTGTTCTGCAGCTACTGCTACCTGTGGCACACTTGGATACCACATCCATTCATTCATAATCTATGAAAACATAATAAAACAGATGGCAATGAGCTCTTAATTTTTCACCTTGTGACATGTCACATCATTCTGTGAGACTAATTTTTTTGGTTATATGACGACCACTGTATCCTTTTGGGTCCCTTTAGTAACAAGGTTTATTATACATTTCAATTTGTTTTTGATGGTCATACTATTAACAAAGGGCCTTATCTGCTTTTTCTACTACACTTTCATTAAAATCATTGCTGAGTAAACTCTCACAATAAAGTCTTTTTCTCAGTGGTGAGAATCACAGAACTCAGAGTGGCATTTTAGAAATATGCAGGAATATTTAAGCTGCACGGCAGTGTTAGCTGAATTGATACTGACTCATTCAGAAACTTTTAACAAGAGAAAAGAGGAGGGCAGGGACTTCCCTAAATATACCTGGTGTGATGCAGAGCCTTTTTTTAAATGGTGCTTTTTTGTTTGTTTTTTGTTTCCATGTATGCATTTGTTAAAGAAGAAAAAAAAGGAGAAATTCCTACCTCACTCTTCAACTAGTTAGAATATCAACCTTTGGCCCAAAGCAGCTATATTCCCAGTTCTCTTCTTACCACAGATGGTTATCTCCTTGAAGTAGGAAACTGAAACATGGGTGATGTTTGGCTTCTCCTTGAGAAGTCTCCTGGTCTCATGTAACAGCTGCAGTACATAGCGGGGATGAAGCAGCTATGAGGAAAACCACAGGGAGAAGAGGAAGTTATTTTAGGAGAAGCTCGAAATCTGCTTTATTAGCACTACACACATATTGTGAAGGAAGGTGTATCACATCATTGATACTACAGACCTCTCTAAACATGGATATAGGCTGCTTGGTTTAGTGCTGGGAATCAGGAGTAGCTCTGCATTCGCTTCCCAATGAATGGAAAAGGGGCCCTTGGTAAACTTGCTGTTCATATTTTCCCATTTTATTTCTACATCCCGTTTCTACTCTTCTCATGTACAAAAACAGTAAGAGAATGGGCAATGGAACACTCAGAAGCATGGCATAAGTTCATCCCCTGAACATAGCTTAACAAAAAAAGGGGATCTAATTCTAAACAAAATGAAAAACAGACAAATTAATTACAAAAATAAACCTACAAAAACCCCATCCAAAGACCATAAATGATATTTCAGCAAATTACACAAATAATAAAGAGAAGGAAACTCCAGTGAAGGTTGACTTGTTTAGAGTTACCTTCCAGCTCACTGTGAAGACATTATATGAATGAAACATTCAAGCTCCAAAAGATTACTCTTTTCAGAGGGCATGTAGCTTCTGGCTCCTGTGCTCTTCTGGTCTCTGCCAAAGCGTGGTCAGTCTGTGGTTTTTACAACATTTAATTCAAACACTGATGGATGGCCTACAGACTGACTTGTCAAGATGAATTTTCTTGAAATAAACAAAAGAGGGCAATTATGTGTAATCATTTCCTTATTAAATGCCAGCCACAGCAAAGTGAAGCCTTGAGTGGGCACATTTCTCATGTGCTTTACATTGTGCTACTTGTAAGATCAGCCTTCACTGAAAATTAGGGGAAAAATAAAATATTATTCAGTAAATTGAAAGCAAAGAGTGACTGTTAAATAGCACACTGTTGAGCACAAATGACCACAAGTTCAAACAAAACTGTGCCATGTAAAGCAGTGGCGGGCAGAGCTTATGAAATCTATGCTAGCACATTAGCCATACTTTATATTCACTCTCTCCAGGGTCCTGTACATTAGAATCAGATTATTAATCCCTGCAACTCAATTTGTCTTTAAAACATTGAAGGGAAAAATAAAAGGACCTCAGCACCTTTCACAGTCCTGTCAGCATCCTTACTGACACCCTGACTGGCAGCTGCTGAGGGTTCCCACTGCACATTCACTATAATCTTTGTTCAGGAATAGATGCTCACCAACCCCTGCCCCTCCCAGCACTGGCAGCGCTGCAGCTACACAGTGATTCAAACCCAGGGACTGAGAAGTTCTTTGGGTTTTGTCAAGGTTACCTCCTGGCCAGATTAGATTCCTACAGCAGCTCACCGTGTACCTGTGTGATCAATGAGGGTTTGCAGGAAAGAGCAATGGGATGGAAAGGAAGGTGGAAACATCTCCCTGGGCACCAGCTCAGTCCTTTATTGCATTCAAGTGACGGGGGAGCTCCAAGTGGATAGAGATGTGAGACAAGAAAAGCAAACAAACAAAAAGTAGTTGCAGTGTACCTGTCGATTCTTGAGCGCGTTAAGAAGAGCCTTAGCATGTGCAATATTGAGGGGAAATGAGAGTCTTGGTCCACGATAGGAGTCTGGAACATCAATCTTTTCATACTCAATTACATATGAGTCTGCACCAGGAGAAACATGGGAGCTGGTGGAAGTGTGAGCAACTGCAATGAGAGGGAAGAGAAATGGGAACGTAGACGCTCTAGCAGTCCTATAAAGCTTATCAACATGAGGGGAACAGGAGAATGCAGTAGTTGCTCTCTTCATTGCAGTGCTGGAGGAGCCAGCTCCTGCCTTGTACAGCAGAGCAGCTCCAGGTCTCCCCACACTGATCCACAGCGCTAAACAAAAACAGAAATAAACACAAACAAAACTGGCAAAAACACTGTCCTAACAGGCAGCAGCTGTGGTCAGGATGCAAAATACTTTGTACTGGAGTTGTGGAGCAGTCTGTTCTGTTAGGCAATGAGAATACAACCTGCCATAGACTTTATCCTCCTGCAGAGCAAGGAGATTTAGAAGCCATCACTGACCATCCAGTGACCATCTGTTTATAGTTCCAGATTATGCTGTTAATACGGGTTTTAAAGAGTTGCTTTTATGTTCTACATAAAAATAGGCTAACTACCAGCAGCACACTGAATATTTTAAAAGCCAGCAGCTAAGCAGTGTTCCTTCACAGCAGACTGCAAAGCACTCTTTTCTGATACAACAGAGAGACAACAACAGCTGCCATAAAACCGCTGGAAGACATAAAGTAAACAAAAACAGCTTCTCCTGATTTTCCTGAACATGGAGAAAGCAGGAGCATTGCTCACTGCTTCAATCCAATATTTTCTTAGCATACCCTGGATACATAATAGTGAAAACTGATTTCAGCGCAGTGCAAGGACTGTCTCCTTGCAGACAGTCTTTGTCATCTCTTATTCTAACAGAGAGAGCCTGAGCCCTAAAGGACAGTGTTCTGGAGGCTGCTGCTGCAGAGCTGCTTGCATGAGACTCTTGTTGGAAACACTTTTTGCCATTTCTCAGACCATCCTAATTTCCACTCGCCAGTTCTGGCCAAAGGTTCCCTTCAGCTTTCTCCTCCAGAGCCAGCAGCCCTCCCAGTGTCCCCAGTCATGCAGACACCTGCCCATTCTGCTCCGTCCCTCCTGCCTACAGCAGGAGACCCTTCCCATCCCCTTTCAGAACAGACCTGCCTTCCTCACTGCCTCTGCTCCCTGCTGGCAGGTGCTCAGGCTGGGAAAGCCAATCTCCTTCCCCAAAGGGCATTACTCTGCAAAGTATACCCCATTTTCAGGATGAGAAATCAAAAAATCAGTCGTGATCACAAACCTGGGAGCACTCTTACATCTCCTCAGCCAGTCTTTCAGCTAGATTGTAAGGGTTCTTCCTGCACAGGATGTCTCATCTGGGAGCAAGGAGTACTTCTTCCTGTAATGGATGTCCCGCTGCAGCCTGGCGATTAGTGTGCTCTGGCCTGTGAGCAACCCACCTTGCCATAAGACCCATGCAGGGCTCATTCTGAAGGACTCAGCACTCATTTAGTTATCTTCCAGCCAGAGCTGTCCTGGCTCTTTCAGTCCATACTGAACGACAAGGACAACAGCCTTAGGCACACTGCGTTCAGACACCTATCCTAAGACCAGATGAAGCACCCTCTGCATCTCTTTACCAACCAGAGGGAGCACAGGAACACCTTTTGCTATGCTCTGATGCTGGAGGCCTTGCCTGAGGACAGCGAGCCCAGCCCTGGCTGCTAGCAGCCACCATAGGGCTCCAGGCTCAGTGCAGGACAGTGACCATGCTCCTTGTTACACAAACACAAAAGCCCAGGAAGGACCTCTGGCTCCTGAGGAGTGCTCAGACACTGGACACTGGTCCTGTAAAACCTTGGAAAATGGCTTTAAATCACAAGCAGAGCAAGGACAATACACACATAGCTATGCAACATCCCAAACACAACTCTAATTGCACTGACATCTTAAAGAGGATGAGAGGATGATAAAAGTTTCAGAATATAACATAAACAACCACATCAAAAGCACCACTGTGTTAATGAGATGGTGACTGCTTTCCTCCTCTGAATAGAAGGCATTTGGAACAAGATGATTAAAAAGAGAAAAGTGGCAAGATGAACAGAGATGACAAGTATCACAAAATCCTCAGGTAGCTTTCTCATCATTGCATACTGTGAGGAACAGGCAACCTGTACTCAGGTAAGAATATTATATACTAAATTCTTGGAGAAGGCTCTTGAACAACATGCCATCACTTTAATTTAAGTGACCAAACACAGATTAAGAAAAAAAAAAGAAAGAGATTAAAGCGTGGTGGGCTTTAGAAAATACTTGGGAATAGCAAAGCTAATTTGAAGCCTCTCTGCTTGCCAGGTTTACACTCACAGGGGCTCTTGTACTAAGACTGTGATACAGCAGAAACAGAAGCAGTTCATTAAGTAATCTTTCAGGCACAAGTTTTGCTCAAATTTCTGCGTCTGGCACAGGAACTGCAAAGGTCACTCAGAGGAGTGGGCAAGTAAGAGCCTGAAGTAAGAGATGCACACAGCCAGCAGTTGGACAAATGTAACTGCAAACCACACAACAAAAGTTCAACCTGCAATTTCTCATTTAACACATCCAAAAAATCCAGTACAAAGGAGGCCCCAGGCTGTCCCTCTATTAATAAGTATCTTACAGAATCTTTCTGCACCTTTTGGGGTTTTAGTATTTCTAATGAAGGGCATTTATTAGAAAGGGAGAAAGAAAAAAAGAAACAACAAACCACCATCACAATCACACTAAGATGAAAATAATGGAGCAACTTCCGTCCAAACAGATGAAACTTCTGCACAAACAAAACAGACAGATGATAAATGTTTTCCAATAAAACATGCTTTATCACATGCACCAGCTTTAACCACCTGCATGACTGCTAATACCTGCCAGATGAAGGACCAGGTCACTCATGCAGTGGTGGCAACAGACTGCCCAAGCCCCAGAAAGTCACTGGAGCACTAAGGTCCCATTAGTTCCTTCTATCAATAAGCACAGTTTAAAAAGTAGATAAATCAGTTGTAAAATTTGTTTTAATATGATAACAAAATAGAGATGAACACAATTGTACCAAATCTAAGACTAGCACTACAAACTTTCTGACTCACTCAGGTGAAAAAGGTGAACAGAGGTGTGCCATTAGCATCCAGAAGTAGTAGATAAAGAAAATCAAATGCTGCTCACTTCAAGTTTGCCATTTCCTCTCCAAGAAGTTAAGTACTTTTTTGCACAATGAGGTGGTAATGGAAAAAAAATAATCAAAGGAAGGGTAACTGTATCATTACTCTTAGCTTTGCAGCAAGGCTCAAATGTCATTTCCTTTTCTGCAGAACACGTAGAGGCACTCTAAACTACTGAAGAGAGAAGAACTACAGTTTCTAACAGCTGTCATTAGAACACTGAACCACACACCGTTTTGGTGGCTGAACCAGATGAAGGAGAAAGCATATTGTCTTGTAATTCAATAGGATGGAGTCAACACTTAACAGGACCAAATTCTTACTGTGATATTTGGAAAAGCAAACCTCAGTCCCAGCATATGCCACAAGTTCTAAACATCACACTGACATTATCTCACATTACCTTTTCCCATATAAGGTTTTCAAACAATCTCTGTGTTACTTTGATTTTTCTTCTTACCTTTACCACGATGAACACAGTGCTCCAGCATGAATGTGAAAAAGTTGGACAGCTGGATAAGGAAAAAAACAAACAAGTACTGATCAGTTTAGGGGATTCAGCAAGCATTAACATTCTTTTTCCTTAGTCAGGTACCATCAATTTCCCATTTAGAGGGAGCTCAGACACTATTATACGTTCCCAGAGCATTACCTCTAAATGAGCAGGTTGACAGCATATGATCACATACAAAATTCCAAAGCTACATCATGCTGCTGACATTTGCGTGTCATTCATTTTGCCCATCATTCAGACTATTTGTCTAAGCTTCCTTTATAGTCAAGAGAAAGAAACAGATATAATTCACCTAACTCACTTTATACTGATGCTAGACTTAACACAAAGCCCAGTAAGTTCCTAATTCCTGGTACTGACTCTCAAGAAAGCCCGGGCTGATGTGCTGAGATACTGAAAACTCTATTTCTCTATTGCAGATAGCTTGCCTTGCTCATTCTTTTAAGATCACCCATGCAATGACTTAATGTAAGGGGCTTAACATAACTGCCTGTACAGGAAGAACTGAAGATTACCCACCTGTGTTTGCTCTTGCTCATCAGCATATTCGATTGACTCAAAGATAGTGAGAGAATAGCGGCGGCGGATCTCTAGCTGGGCTTTTTTACAGCGGTACCACCTCTGGATTAACACAGTAGCTTTTATGGCTGTGAAAAGAGAAAGCAACGGATCACACATAATTCTTTCTTGACTTGTTCCTTATCTCTTGTCCTTCCCTCTTTTCCCGTACATTCAACAGGATGCCAGTAAATGAGTAGACAGAGCCAGAAGTGTCAAACCTCTGCCTCCAGCCCTCAGCTAACACCTCACTTCAGGGAGTTTCCCTGGCTACCCAGCCCTGAGTAGCTCAGCCTAACACACAAAAAGGTCTGTATGCTTTTGATCTTGGGAGAACGAGTCAAAGCAGCTGCAGGGCAATGTTACTGAAGCAACAAGGCCCAAAGGAATACAGTGATGTGAACTCCTGACACTCCAAGAACCACTGCCTGTTTCTGAGCAGGAAAAAACAGATAATCAGGAGAAAAAAAAAAAAAATCAGGAAAAAAAACCCCAACCCCAAAGCAATACACAAAATGCTCTCCAGAACTCCAGGGTTTGATACAATCATCACTGCAACTTTGTGGAAGAGAAAAAAAGAGAAAAGCGAGAACAATACTGACATCCTAACTGTGCTGGTATTTGGCTGCAGCTGCCAAAATGAACAGCTGATGCTAAAACCAAACCAAAGCAACAAATGACAGCCAACGGTTTGCACAGATGCTTATGCTTTTTCCTGCAAAGAAAAGCTCTGCACTGGAGAAACACTGGTTTGCAGTCATCAATTATTTCAGCTGATCACAAACCTCACTTTTTTTTAGGATTATGAGACTAGGATGAGTGGCAGCCTCTGCATGGGAACGATTTCTTACTCATATAACTGTCAGATTAAGAAAATAAAGACCTCTGCAGAAGCACAATTCTCATAATATGCATAACATTACGGAAGCTTTTTCATATATAAAAGCACTTTTAGATGCCATAATAGCATGCTGTTTCCTCGTTTTACCACTAATATGGTAAAATTAGTACTATGTAGTACAATTAAAGTGCTAAAGTTCTCAATTCCAGACAAAGCCAAAATCAGTAAAGACTGCAGAAATCTCACCCCTCCTGAATGAAAAAGGTACAGCTCTTGCACGAGTGGGAGCACACTCCCTACCATACATAACCTCTAGGGTCTAAATCGGTTCCCCTCACCAGACCTGACAGCAAGCCTGTCACCAGCTTTTCTGGTTAGAAGAGTTCCTATGGGGCAGAGCAGAGCCACCAGCACAGAAACTAATTTCTAGCATCAGAGCCATTACAATCCCAATAATGCTCATCTGGGCTGCTCAGTGTCTGGCCCTGTGCACTTAACGTGGCACAACCCCACAGGTATCAGGCAGGTATATGTTGATAACTGTGCTTAATGTTGCAAATCTACCTAAATATTTCCTCTCTTTTATATATATTATTATTATTATTTTTAACTGTACTTATTACTATGTTGTTATTGTCAGGATTAAACCAGAACATAATTTTCACACTAGGCTACAATGTATCTGTAAAATAAAATATCATTTGTGGAAGGTGACTCCACCAGCAAGTACCTGTTAAAATCACATTATTAATGCATTAGAGGGATTCAGACTGCAGATATAATGACAGTCCTGCATAACTTTACTACTGCTGAAGAGCAGAAAGACTGCCATCCAGCAACTGGAGAGGGCAAGTATAAGAAAGACAGAGAGCTGTTGGAGAGGGTCCAGAGGAGAACCACAAAGATGATCAGGTGCTGGAGCACCTCCCCTACAAAGACAGGCTGAGGGAGCTGGGCTTGTTCAGCCTGGAGAAAAGAAGACAGTGGGGTGACCTCATTGCAGCCTTTCAGTACCTAAAGTGAGCCTACAAACAGGAGGGGAATCAACTCTTTGAAAGAGTAGATAACAGCAGGACAAGGGGAAATGGTTTTAAGTTGAAGGAAGGTAGATTTAGGTTGGATGTCAGGGGGAAGTTCTTTACTACGAGAGTGGTGAGGTGCTGGAACAGGCTGCCCAGAGAGGTTGTGGATGCCCCGTCCCTGGAGGTGTTCAAGGCCAGATTGGATGGGGCCCTGGGCAGCCTGGTCTAGTATTAAATGCTAGGTTGGTGGCCCTGCATGTGGCAGGAGGGTTGGAACTTGATAATCATTGGGGTCCCTTCCAACCTAAGCCATTCTATGATTCCATGATTCTGTGCAAAACCCCCACGTGCTCAAAACTGGGATGTGCTATGTTGAAAAGCAGGGGGCCAATACATCAAGTTTTTAATGGAATCTTTGTGCAAGTGCTGTGAGGATTTTCCATCAACAGTCTCAAATGCTTGCAGGGAGAATTTCAGGCCACACACCTTGTATGGCAGAAGATCAATTTGGAAAGTCATAGTTGTAGAATAAAAGAGTTATAGTAGCTCTGTTTAGTTGCATCCATTTCAATACCAGGATCACCCAGCAGCAGGGAAACTGGGGCAGTCTTCTTAGGAACCTCATGTTGTGGAAGGCCACAAAAGGCCTCCTCAATCCTTTATCCTATATACTTCACCAGTGAGAGCACATGTGAGCACATCTGAAATATGACTTCTGTATGAATTTTTTCCAACCTCATGTGTAAGATGCTAGAGGTGCTCTGCAGTTGCCCTGACCTCAACTGGCATCTGAAAGTTATGCACTCCTTTAATTAGAGACAATATTTGTGAAGTAATTTTATCTCAACAAGAGTTTGACAACAGGACTGGTGGGGAAATAACATCTTGCAATCCTCTTGCAGTGCTATGGAGAGAACAACTTCGGACGTGGAGATGATGGCAGTGCTCACCTCTTTCATTATATTTGTGTTTACTGTAATCTGCAGAAGAGTTGCACCCCATGGTGCTAACGGTGCACTCCATTTCTGGTTTTAATCACTGCTGGAAGGAAGCATGTCTCTCTCAGCCGTTGGTGTTAAACGCGTCTGCTGTGCTCTTCCTCCAGCCACAAGGAAGGCTCCTGTGATCCTCACACCACCACTAAGAGAGGAAAATACACACACTTGGCCATACAGAATATAAAGTACCTATAGCCACCCATAATGACTGAAGCACATCCTGCAAAAACACTACCAAATAAACCATACCTATTTTGTACTCCCCCCCCAAAATAACCAGCCCTCTTAACACCCTTCTTGACTGAAAAGGTGCCCTACCATCCCATTTACCACCTTACACCTCTCTGTTCCAGTGCTGATAAACGCTTTGTTTACAGACCCTTACAGATGCTGGATGAATGGAAATCCCCACCACCGACTGATACACAACACAATAAAAACCACCACCAACTGCACAGGGACCATATATATAATGGTGCCATGGCAAATTGTTTCCTAAACAGATTTCACTGAAATAAAGCACCACGTTTTCTGTTGCATTTTTACAGAAACATTCTAACAAAAAAAATTTGGTTTCATAAAAAAAAAAATAATGTACAGGGCATTTTGTAGTGTGGCTTTCTGGGTTTATATCCTGGCACTTACTCATCCCCTCACTCGATGGGATCAAACATTAATGCCATATGCTTCCAAATCAACAAGTTCAAAAGACTAACATCCCCCTGAAATACAAAATAGGTTAATTTCTAGGTAACAAAACATCATGAATGCTCTGAGACTGAATTTCGTTTTAGCTGAGGATTTCTTATGTGATCACAGTGATCACTCTCCTCTGTCTCCTGGGGTATGTTTCCCTCTAGTATTTCTAACACATCCCAATTACTGCATTTGTTCTTTTTGTTTCATTGATACTCATTCTTCTTTTATCTGGGTTTTAAAACAAAGAAGAAATCCTTTAGCATAAAATGAATGCTTAACTGCTTTTGCTTTTTCTTAATTAGCAAAAGGAGGATAAGAGACAGGAAAATACAAATGCATAACTGCTTTGTTTTCTGCTTCAATAGTCAGAATGCCTTTATTGTTGTGAGACTGTTTCCAGCTTGTATGTATTTATTAATCAATCATATTACATTTATACCCTATTTTCAGCATCCCACAACACATGGGTATCCCACACTTGAGCTAGGTCTATCATCATCCAAGTCAGTATTTATTTCAGTAAAGAAGGACTTGAGGGGCTTTCTTCCTCATGATGGATTATGCTTTTCTTCCCTCTGAAGTGAAACTGAAATCCAAAAAGAGCCCTGTTACAGTAAGTTTGAGCCAATCAATGGTTTTAATAGCATCAAATACAGCACTGAGACTGCTAAAAGCTTAACAGACAATTGTTATCATTCTGAATACTGTCTCCTCACGTGCTCCATTTAAGAAAGTCATGAGTCTTCACTAGCTCATCTCAAACCAACCAGCTGGAGATCTGAAGACTAAGACCAAGTACAAAACACTTAGAGCTCACAGTCTAAGCCTTCTTCCAGCATGACCACCTACATTGATGGGGAGGGCAACATGTCTCCAGCAACTAGGCAACGAGAGCCTCAAATAGAACTATCAGTGATTCTCAGGGCTCCATGGCAATCAGTGGGCTGCCCCAAGCCAGGGGCACCTGGAGGATGACTGCACCCTTCCCCTACCTCTAAGTTCTTTCATTTATAGCACCACTTTGAGCAAAGAAATAAAGAGAGAGGCTAGAATAGAATTTTATGCTAACAGCAGTAAATGAAGCCTTAAACACATACTCAAAGCTTGGAGGAAATCTTACACAATATCAATAAGCCCCTTAAAAATGCCTTAGCTGGCCATCAGTGAACTAATCCAGGGGAATCACCATCATCAGTCCCCAATGCCTCTATTCTACAGCGGGTACAGCAAACATTCAAATTACTACCTTGTTTCCCAGTAGTTTCTCACAACCCACATCTCCAGGCTCCAGTACAACCACATCAATTGGAGACTTGAGCAAGCACAACTTCCATCCAGGCATAGTGAATTCATTTTCTGCTGTTTTGGACCAACCAAAAGACCATGACCAAGGGAACAACCCACTGTGAAAATAGCCAGCATCTCCTACAAGCAAATACTCTTCTTCGCTCCTAATTGAGCCGCACCCTTTCTCAAGGTGCATCAGTTCAAGCCAGCTCTGCTCCCTGCCAAACTCATAGAAAAATACCAAGCAACGACCACACGGGCTTTCCACAGCTAAGAAGGCTGAAAAACAAGAATCTGAAACATCGAAGTGCTTTCTGTGAATGCTGCATTTGCAATGCAATGCAATGCAAAGTTCCTGGTAAACCATCATTTGCCATTACAAAAGATCCCCAAGTGTTCACAGATGAAATGCAAAGTTGGCCTTGTCTCAAGATATGGAAAAAGGTTTCCTAGATATATATTCCTAGATAAGAATTTGGGACATAGTGCTGTGCTAGCATTCTGGATATTGTACCACTGATTTACCTTTAAGAGATAAGAGAGAGTCTGTCACATTCACTAAAAGTCAGACAACAGCTCAGATACAAGTCTAAGAAATTGTTATATTTCCCTCAGTTCAGCAGAAAGGCAATTTTGTGATAGACAGGCACCGAATACATAGCCCATCCAGTGAAGCAAAAGAAAACATTGCTCCAACCATGCCAACAGAGATGCACTAAGCAAAGCAGAAGTGGCACACCCTGCTCTGAAAGCTGAACTGCAGCATTCAGAAGTTTGGGTTTCATAACCAGCACTGTCAAGAGCCTGATTTACAGAGATGATGAACCAGCAGCATTTGATCTGAATGTAATAGGTGCTGCCCCAAATAATTAAACCTTAAGTTCATCAGTCACAGAAAGACAAGGCTGCCTCAAAAATAATGAAAATCTTGTGAAGATTTATAGCTGAACTTTAATGACATTAGGCTGCAGGTCCTTTGGGCTGCAAGCCATTCTTTCAAGCCTCGCTCATCTTTAAAATTTAGATAAGCCATGCTATTGTAGACAAGTGTAAGCTAGGACAAGCTTGTGGATATGGAAGCCATACAAATGACAGCTGCTAAGCTTTAACTTCTCAGCTTCACTTGTTTCTTATCTTTAATAAATGAAGATTGAAAAAGTGCCCCTTTTGTTTTGGTTTGGATGAAATTTCCTTAGGTATGCTACTTCCTCTGTAAGTTGTTTCAGTATCTTTCTCCAACAATGTGCCTCCTGTCTCCCCTCCCTCCCTTTTTCAACCATACTTACTAACATACAGTTACCGTCTACACCCATAAAATGTTAGAATGTATGTGTGGTTGGAGACGTAGCGAGACACGGACAGTTTTCTCCATGAAGATCAGATGGGTGGATGGGTACTTCCCACACCAGAGACTTGACTTTGATGTCTTCTCGCTACTAACATTTCAACTTTCTTCAACTCACAAGCTTCATTCAGAATTGCCTTCCTTTGGAAACAGGGACTTCAGAGTACTGAGAATCATGAAACATTGGTTTATGATAGATTCTCTTCTATGTAGTGCTGAGGAAATGAAGGAGGAAGGAGCAAGATACCCTAGAAAAGAGAACCTTGTGCATTAAATCATAACTTCCAGGTTGGTACCTGTAGAGGGACAGCTCTTCAAAACTGTCTTATTGCCAGAGCTGGGGTTGTCAAGGATAAGGATCTAGAGACGACTTAGAGATTTCATTAGCTAAAAGACTCACTCTGCAAAAAGTGGGATGAAGCTACCAATGCAGTGAAAGAGAACTTGGCTGTGGACTGCCAGAGTAATAATTCTGTAAATCAACACTTGAATTTGGTCTGCCAAATGACGTAAGAAGATCAAATATAGACAAAGCAGTGCATGCTTAAATCTGTGTTGTTTTACATCCACAGGACAAACTGATACTTCTATTAAGTGAAAGAAAGAAATGAGAAAGCCTTTCTGTTTTAATAAATTTGTTTCAAATACACAGCAGACAAAAGTCTTCAGCCTGCTCAGAGATGCAAGGCTAAGGCCTGTACAGAACTGCTGGAGTCACTTCTGGCAATGGCTGCTGATAGACATCAATGCTTGGGCCAGGAATCAATATGGAATGGATGTAGTAATAATGGGAAACCAGCAAAGCCAAAGTGAAAGAGAATAGGATGAAGACATTCCAGCTTATTAAGGTAGACTAATATTCCTGAGCCCAAAAACGTACTGCAAAAGTAAGGAAACAGAAGATCCGAAAAGGTGTGAACATGGCAATTGTTCAAACACTCAGTTCAAGAACTGCATGTAAATCCAAAAAGAATCTGTAGGAAAATGATGTGTGAAAGTTAGTTCATTCCATCTGCAGTCAATAAAGCATACATTTACACAAAGTATTTGCACTTCTTGTGTTTAAAAAGAAACAAAGCAAACAGCCTCAGTCTTTGCACAGAAAGGTTGTGGGGAGAGTGTGGTAATAAAGGAAGGTGGAAAATACAAGCACACAACTAGGTGCAGATCACCCTGGATTATGAAGATGCCATCATATCACTTTTCAGAAACTCTAAGAGCTTCAAAAGGAGAAGCCATTAGGAAGCCAGCAGAAAGCTCAAAATCCTGTGGCCAAATTAGTTCTAGTAAGAGGACCCAGCAGGAGTGTAAAAATCAGCAACAGTTGCAGTTTCTTATCACAGAGAAAAAGGGAAATCTGAAATTATAAATTTCAGATTTATAAATTATAAATTGTCCTGCAGATAATGAGCAGAATCTTAATGACATCCCATGATATTCCTTCTCCTTACTTGAACGGGAATACTGACCAAAACGTAAAACTCGAGAACAAATGTATTGAAATTTGAGCCAACTTACAAATTAAATTCATGCTTCAGATGAAATTTATATTGGTTTTAATGGGAGTTAAACATCATCAGAACAAAGACTATCATCACATAAAGTCTTTTTCTTAAAGCAAAAAGTACGAAATACAGAAGTCTCAAAGTTATTTGATCTTACCCGTATTCGGAAGCTCTGGATAACTGATCCAGTCCAGGTCAAACTTGACAGCTTGAAGCACACTGATTTTTCTCAGGGCAAAAGCACTGCCCTTCTCTCATTCACTTTGAAGACCTAGGATACAGGCAAGTTGCTCTTTAAAAGTGAGCTAAGAAAAAAAAGATACATATCTGACTTGAAGGAATTACCTGCTTTTTTTCCACAAGAGTTACCTTCAGAAGCTTCCTCCCGAAGCAGAAGCAGTCCCTTTCTGGAACCAGAACTGCATAATGAGGGGCGCAGCTCTGCAGAACCAGCACTCCAATCCTCCCTGGGGCTCTGGAGCTCACAAAGCACTTACTCTCCACCTACTGATACAGCCTCCCGAGAGGAAATTTCTTGAGCCTCACTCCTCAGACGCAGTCAAGGGTAAATGCCATATTCATCATGATGCGGAAGCTCTTGGCTGCAGCCCTCCAGCTGTGCTGCTGGCATGCTATTGGAGATCTGTCTAGTCACCGTGCCTCCTGTATCTCAGGCAGAGAAAGGGATGGGCTGAAGGTATCGTCTGCACATCTGAAGTCACATGGTCTCTCTCCAGAGGAAAGGCCTTTCTGCTGGGATGAGGCAGTGATTTGCAATTTAGCAGACCTACCTAGCACACGGGGGATAAACACACATACAGACCGCCCAGGTATTTGCTTCCCTGATGTGACTGGTATGGTAATGAAAGCCCCTAAGGAAAGAAATACTGCCAGATTAATTTGCCAAGAGGCACTGTATGCATACACTGGTATACAGACACTATCTGCGCACACATTCTCCCCATAAGAGTGTAATGAGTTCAGGGAACTAAGCTCATGGCTTAGTTTGTCCCTCCCCAGTGTAACTCCTGGAAAGGGGTCAGTTTGCCACTGTGGCTGACCTGTGTGGTCAGAAAGCCATGCTGCCGTATACTCTGAAGTCAAACCCTGACCGCAGAGCCTGCACATCCTACCCACCTCCATGCCTTGCTGTCTGTGGGCACTCAGCCACCTCACAGGTGCCAGGAAGGGCAGCACCATCAAGCCCAAGGCCATTTCTTATTGCTCAGTGTTGACACAACAGGCCCCATACACTGCAATTTTGAGCACATATACTACCAAACAACTCATAAATATTAGGTACCAGAATAAGTTTGGTACTGTAATATTGCCACTATACTCTCAGGTACAGCCCTCAGCATCTATCACACCACTAACCACTCATACCCCCACTCTGTCCTTCTGCCCTCTTCTGAAAGCCAGAGAGGAGCTGCTCTCATGGTCTCCCTGTGCAGTGATGGAGCAGAGCACAGCAGCCATTTTGTGGGGTCACTGTAAGGGCTGTGGGCCCAAAGAAGGCCACAGGTTACAATGCATGGGCTAAGGTTGGGGTTAGGATGCGTATGGTGACAGGAAGCACTGTGTGGATGGGGATCACATTACTCCTTCCTCTGCAGCCTCTCCTCACGATGGCATTCACTAAGGCCAGGTCCTGGAAATAGATGGGACAGAACAGAGACCATCAGATGAAGATCTCGATGCCCTTGCTCCAAAGCTTTAGTAATACTACAGCATGGTATTTTCAATAAATTTTTGCCATCAGTTTGGTGACAGTCCTAAAGATGTCAACTGCCACTGTGAAGGCACTTGGACACAGTGATCAGATCATCGTTTGGGACAGACAGAGAAGTCCCCTCACTGTGATAGAATGGGCACGTTTTTTAACATGTAAAAGACACGTGAAGTGCAAAGCCAGCAAGCAGAAGGCACTGTGTGAATGCAAAAAATGTGAATATGCTTTTTTTTTGATTGAGTGAGCTAGTTCTTTGAGTTTCTGGAGTCCTGGACACAAGCTTCCATATTCAAAGCCACTCCTTTTCCGTGGAATGAGACAGCAAATAAAATCCACACGAGGCGCCCTAATTCTGCATAGCCCAGGAGAGTTTTGATGTTTGCTTTTCTGGCAGGATGCACTTTCCCTTATCCGAGTTACAGTAGCTAATCATTTATGTATGATCACACTGTCCTGCCAAAAAGCATACAAGTAAAAATACATCATAACCTCTTTCCACTGCACTCTGGGGATACATGTCATTTATCAAATATTTACTGCATCTGATAAATTCATCCATATTGGCTTTTAGCAAGATTTCTGCATAATGAGAGGCCGTAAGGCTTGTTCCAATAGCCAACAAATCCATCAGAAATCTTTCATCCAAGATCAGTGGGAACAGAACCAAACCCTTAGTTGTTATCTTCCATAGGACAATGTCTCCCCAGCATGTTTTCTTTTGTTATTCATGGAAGCTGCTCATCCCTTCTCAGTGCTCTGAAGTGACCCGACAACCTGACAGTCAGATATGTTGGAATGAGCCACCTCTCCAGTTACATACAGGGATCATAGTAACACGTAGCTTTCCAAATAGCCTTTCCCATTTAAGCCCAAGGACATCAGCTGGACCTAATTAAGCCATCCTCGTTTCCACATGAGGCAAAGGGAACATACCAGTCCCACCACCAAGTCACACACATGCTGAGCTTTTTTGCTCAGCAGCTACATATCACACACTAAGGAGGTGAAAAGCATTTTAGCAAGCATCAACAGGCAGTAGGCAACAAAATTCTCTAATACGTTTTCGAGCAGCCTAGCAGAATTAAAAAAAAAAAAAAAGTTATGCTGCCAGTGCAAAAATCAGGAGACTCCTTTACAGGCAGCCCTTGAAGTAACAGCATGTGTTATGTTCCCCAAACGCTTTGGAAACACCAACCTCCTGAGCCAGCCTTCATGCAGGCATTCCACATGCATAATTCAAAATCTGCTTCAGGCTCATGTCTCGGAAGCACCCACTACAAAGTGATGCAACCAACATTTTTCAAAAAGGCTGAAGATGATCACGGTGGGAGTGAATGTGCTCTTTCTGCACCGTGGTTCCCCTCCTCTTACCCTATCAAGCTTAGGAAAGTATTTTTATGTGATCCAGCCATGTATTTTAAAGCACTGGCCAGGGGACAAGTCCCCAGCTGAGCGATCTGCCAGTAACAGAAGGAATAAAAAGAGATAAAGGAGAAAAAAAACACACAGTCACGTTATCTGGCATTTTCCTATCAAAATCAGTGTGATGACTGAAGCCTGTTGATAAATGAGCCTTGCAAGGTTAGCGTGGGTAAATGGGAAAAGACATTTCCCTCAGTGGACATTTCTGGGACGCAATGACAACGGACAAAAGACATCAAACTTAGCATCCCTGGCAAAAAGAACACAAAACCAGAAACATGAGCCAAGAAAGGGCGAGAAACTACACAGGAACACCATGGAATCACCAGGGCACTCCCTGTAAAAATGAGACCAATGTAAAAAACTAAAGAAAAAGCCACCAAAAATCCACAAAGAGATCAGCAGAAAAAAAAAATGTTCTGGAAAGCAGTGCCTAATGGCAAAATTTGCAGTCTCAGCCTATACTTGGAGCCTATGGAGACGACAGCCAACTACAGCACTCAGATTTCACCACCTCTTTGTGAACCAACGCAGGGAAAGAGACGAGCACGAGAACTGCCTAAGGAAAGCAGGGTTTGCGTTTTGTTAGCGTGCTGCAGCACAAGCTGCACCGACTGAGGTAAAACCCACAGTTTTGACAGGAAAAAACTTGACCTGCTCAGGCATACTGCTCAGGCATACTGCTCAGGCATACTGCTCAGGCATACTGCTCAGGCATACTGCTCAGGCATACTGCTCAGGCATACTGCTCAGGCATACTGCTCAGGCATACTGCTCAGGCATACTGCTCACCCTTCCTCCTTCCTCCCTCCTCCCCCCCCACAAACTGCCCCTCCCGGCCAAACCGCCAGGGGAGGGAACCGCCCCTCCGCGCGCTCCTCCAATGGTCTGTTCCCTCCGTGTGGGCGGAACCGAAGGCGGGGGGGAGCGAAGAGCGCGAGCATTTCATCAATAGGTGGAGCGCCATAACGGCCTGTTTCCGTAGCGGTTCCATAGTGTAGTGGTTATCACGTCTGCTTTACACGCAGAAGGTCCTGGGTTCGAGCCCCAGTGGAACCAGCGGCACTACGTTTTGTTCTTCCAGGTTAGTTACGGTTAGTACGTTTTGTTCCTTCCAGGTTAGTTACGTTTAGTTTAGGCCTCCTCTTTTTCTCCCAAAATGGGCAACTTTATTAAAAAGTGCAAGCCCTCTGTGAAGTGGAGGAAGAACGATGTGTGGAGCTGGGAGCAGAAGGGCCCACCCGTCAGGAGAGCCCTGCTAACTGGAATCCCTGTGTTACTTGTATGCTCTCATCTCAGTGCACAAGTGACACAACTTGCTGAGAGGCAGCCCTGAGCCCACCATAAGCCTTGTGCAACAGCACCTTTTCTAACAGTCCAAACATAATTTAGACAGTGTTACTGCAGGACTTGATTTTTCACCCTAAGAAACACATCAGGACCATAGAATAAGTCCCTTAAGATCATCAAGGACACCCATCACATAACACTGCCAAGTCTGCCACAAACCATGGCGTTTAATGCCTTGTCCTCACGCCTCCTGAACAACCTCCAGGAATGAGGACTCCACCAACTCCACTTTTTCTGTGAAGAAATTCTTCCTCATATCCAACTAAGCCTCCTCTGCTGCAACTTGAGGCCATTTCTTTGTGTCCTATCACTTGGTGTCTGAGAAAAGAGAACAAACCCCACCTTGCTTCAACCTCCTTGCGGGCAGCTGTAGAGAGCAATACGGTCTCCCCTGAGCCTCCTCTTCCCCAGACTGAACAATCCCAATTCCCTCAGCCACACTCCATAACTTGTTCACCTCAGAGCAATTCCACTGTTGCATACAGCACATCATCTCATTCTGCATGTGCAAGCCTTTAGGAAACGGTGATCATTGGATATGGATGCTGCCACAGCACCTGTCTGTGCATGCGAGCCCCAGCAGGGCCTGGGGTGAAGAAGTCTCTGCAGGAGGAAGAGGCACACCAGGGCTGAATAGGCCCAGCTAAGACTGAGATCTCCACTCTGAGCCCTGTTTCTAGGGTAAAATGCCTGTCATAGCAGGGTTGCTTTCAGGTTACATGTCCAAAGCTGTCCACTACATCTAGAATTTTCCACTGTAGTATATGAAAGCCGTCAGGGAAGGTACTTCCCATCGTCCCTCCACGATGAGTCCATGGTGCCCAGCATGCTGATGACAGCCACAAGTCCCTGAGGTGTGGCAGGGGACTGGGCCTGCTCCTGGTGGGCAGCACCAGGTAACTAGTCATGTTGTGTTTTTTGCACTGAGGTGCTTTTTTTTTTCCAAAAGAGGACATAAGCCCACACTCAGACTCCTTGAAATAATATTTTATTTTAAGAACCAGATCTTCAACATGGGCAGATCATCGTCACTCCATCCACTTCAACAGAATCCAGCTCTTGAAGGTTTGACTCATGCTCCAAAAGCATTGGCAGTTTTCCTCTTTCAGCATGTCGGTATCTTACATCTGAGAGATGCCTACAATTCACACGTACACATATAAACGTGCATTTTGTACATTCCCTAGCTGTGCTAAGACCAATGTGTGCCAGTCACACATTAGCGCTGAGAAATTGCTTGGTGCATGTGCGTAGATCCCAGACATCCAAATTTGTGTGTGTTGCTCTCATTTACCTGTCTGTCACTCTGACTTTGGGAGAAACACAAAATCACCATATGAAGCTGTGCTTCCCTCACACATAGGCACCTTCCATTCCGGACTGCCCTTCAAGGATGTGTGTCCACACCACTGCTGGGCCAGGCTGGTCCAGCTCCAGGAGGTCTCTGTGTGTGCTTGGTGCCTTCTGGGAGCTCCTGGAAACACTGCTCTGATGTACTCAGAAGAAAATTCATTGCCCATGAGCTCTGACAAAAGAAAGCTACGAGCAGAAAGTGCAAGCCTGTGTAAGAAGTTGGCATGTTGATCTTCAAATGGTACAGTTGTGATTATACCTGTCAACCAAGCAAAGCAAAGCACAGACTGGAGCACTGGCCTCCAGCCATCCACGCTGCTTAATTCTTAGTAAATTTCTGGTGAGAGTGGGGTGTAGGCCAGCTCCATGCAGCTGGGAAGGATGCATGTCATTCCCACTTGTTGGTGAACAACCTCCACTCTGCTTCATTCCCCCTGCTACCATCCCTTATGTCCTTATGCACCCCTGGAAGTGCAAGCAAAAGCATTTTGATGCTGCAGGGTGGCCTTTGTGTTATTTCAGACAAAGTGAAAGAAGAAAGTGTAGCAAAATATCAGAGGGCCACAGATATGCACAGAAATGTTTTAGGGTCAATGGGACACGAGCTGGACCTGAAATAGAATGTGTGGCCTGAAGACATGCTCAGGCTATCCCTGCTTTTGATTTACATAGCAGCATGGAGTAGTCAGATTATCCTACTTTGGTCTTATTGCACCAGGCACTTTCATTCTATTATCAAAACCAATGCCAGGCTAAATTTCACACCTTTGTTGTTCTTTCTGGTGCTGTGTTGTGTACTGACTTTAAAATATTTTCTGTGTTCTATACCTGGAAGTATTTGTCTGACTGCTAGGAAAGAACTACATGATTCATTTAGTAAAGCTATCTGTAGTGGAGGTGTTGCCATTTAAGGTTATTAAAAAGAAGCATTATCGACAGCCTTAGACCCGGAGGGTCTGGAGTGCATGATGTTTATACAGAGGCTTCAGTTTTAAAGCTCTCTGACTCATCTTGTGAACCAGTTTGACTTTTTTTCAATGATTTTTGTTCTGACTGAGCTTGTCTTGATTTGAATAATTTCCAGTGCCTTTGTTTTCACAAGCTCGTTGCATTTTAACAATTAGCTCAAAAGGTGCACGCTTTGAAAAGGGTACAGCTGCTCAGTCATTCACCGCTGATCAGAGATGGGCTAGAGTTAACAATGTGTAACTAGAGAGAGTACCAATACCTGATGCTTCCCAGTGTCTTGGGCTATGATAACCCTCATAGCACAATGCTCAGACTGTCCATGTCACATGTCCTGATGTGGCCAGGATGCATCACACAAACAGAATCATTTGAGTTGGAAGAGTCCATTAAAGGTCACCTGGTCACATTCCCCTGCAATGGACAGGGACACCTACAGCTCAATCAGGGTGCTCACAGCCACGTCCAGTCTGACCTTGAATGTCTCCAGGAAATTACAGTACAGAGATGCTGGATCTGACATCCTATGGTGGGGCATCCACAGTCTTTAGGTTTCCAAAGGTAGACAAGGCAGATCCCACCAAAATATCAGCATCCTTCTTTGTACAGATTTTTCTGAATGGATACAGACCAGGAAACTGAAGGTAGATGGATCTTCATGCACCCACAGCCCACGTGAGCTGTGCTGTGATTTAATCTACTCTCTGCACATGCAGTCAGAGATCTTCTGAAACAAAGGATGCTGCTTCTGAAGCAATAGCTGTCAAAAGCCCTCATTAAAAATTCATTGCTAATTGCACATAATTAACAGAGGTTGGAGAAACAGGAGCAATATTTGCTGGAATCACCAGCAATCTGCTGTAGTCTTGAGTCTTTCAGTCACTTTTAAACCTAATTTATAGCTGTCTTTCATGCTGGGTTGACAGCACCATGTAAAGATAGGATATGATAGGTAGAACTGTTAGCAAAGGGAAGTTTATTTTTTTGTTTGTTTGTTTCAAACTTTTACATTTCTGCAAGTAAAAAACAAAAATGCTCTATTTCAGTTTGATCTAGTAATTGCAGTTTTCAGCCCCTTGCAATTAGGTGACTGAAGAGCAGTAAGGCCAGGGAAGGTTCCTACACGCAGCAATTATTAGGACAGGCATCAGTGATGCCGAGGTAAATAACTGGGGTGGAAGATAATTAATGCATATTACATACAGTAGGCAATATGCACTGCATAAAACGGTCTATGATTTATAAGCATTAGGCACATCCTCTGCCTTTGTATGATGGCTAAATGTGGTTTCTAGTTAGGCGTGTCCTTGTTGGTTCACAGAATTACAGAATCATTCAGACTGGAAGAGACCTCCAAGATTATCTAGAACAACCATCCACCTACTGCCAGTACTGCCCACTAACCCATGTTCCTAAATACCACATCCATAAATGTCTGAATACAGTCATAGTGCCACACAGTGCCACAGAGCTTCCTACCTTTTAGCTACGCCACATGGAGCTTGACAGTAGTAACTGTGCAGTTGGCTTGATGCTCCTTGATAAAATCCCGAGAATGGTGGAGCATAATGTGCTTAGGTGAAGCTTAAGCTAATCTCATGCCTTCCCAGAAAGCTGAGCAGCAGGCTAAGGAGCTATTTCTGAAAGGGGAAGGAAAAGATGCGGTTCAAGATGGGGAACGTCCTGCTGTCTCTTCTTTTCTGGTACAAAGGTATGCACTTTGCCTCTAGAGATGTGCTTTCAGATGTCCCCCTTTGTATACATTCTTGTTTCATACAAACTCCTTTGGGCTGTGGGGTACAGAGGGAGCTCTTTATGGAAGCAAAACAATCAGGGAAAAATTGTGCAGGAGATGTGTAATTTACGTATGTGAGGGAGCAGCGTTCTTACAGCTCTATGAATATTCAATAGTACAACTCTGTTTTGCAAAGTAATTGCAGTGAAAAAAAGATTGGCATGTAATTTGTCAAAATATGAATTGACACAGAAAATTGTAATGCAGCTGAGCCAGTGAGTAAATAATAATGCTGATTTGAAAAATGAGGTACAGTAGAATATGAGAGACCGGTTCTTCATTAATCAAAACTCTTGGTTAATCAAAAGCCACTAATTTTCTTTAGCAGCAAGACATTGCTGGTAGAGATCTGCTTTTCTTAAAGGCTCTTTCAGATATTTTGTCCTGGGGAAGAATTTCAAAGGCACTCTAAGAATAAAAATCATAAGTAAAAAAAAAAAAAAGGGGGAGGAGGGAGTGTGGGAGTGTTTATCAATTCCATTTTAATTAACCTCACTGTGGCACAAGGAGATTGCTTTCAGGTTGTGTTTGAACTTCTGACTTTTTCACAGCTGACAGGAAAGCTCTGAATGTCTCAAGGCTGGGGTTGCTCTTGCTGGGTGCTGTGCAGTATCTACCACCATTAGCATGTGGCTGCAGTATGATGTGTCCATTTGGGACAGAAGTATTGGGCAGATCAGCTTTTCCCCCGCAGGTGTTGAATTCTCCATTTTTACTTTTTTTCTATGTTCTTAAGTCTAGGACTTAAAAGTCCTCCTCTGTGTCTGTCAGTTACTTTGCTTCCTCACGCATATCCAACTCACAGCCTGCAACTCCATTTTCAGTTGACATAAATAAATGACTGTGTATTTTCAAATGGAGTGTGCAGAGTTGCAATCAGACTCAAAAATCTGACTGTGTCTCTCTATTTTTATGAGACCTCTCTTACCAGAGAAAAACATTCCTTGCTTCACAGTCATGCCTTATTCATGTCATCGCTTTTTGGCACTGCCTCCATTTGTGAACAACTGTTTTCAAGGATGAAGTACAGGAGGAATAACATTTCATCAAAAGCCTCTGAGGAACCCCATGAGAAGTCACCAAGAATGGCAGCCACTGCCATCAAACCAGGCTGATGCATTAGTTTCATAGAGACAGGGCTGTATATCCCACTAGTTTTGTGGTTTTGTTGTGTTCTTTTCTTGTTTTAATTAAAAATATTGTAGATTAAAATAAGTTTTGTTACTCGTATACATTAACTATATTATCTATTTTACGAGGGCTGCTCCTTCCATTTTATGATGTCAGCCCATAATATCGGGGCAGATGGTGGTGATATGGCAGTAGAGGTTGAACCTTCCCACCAACATCCCATTACATTTTGCTGCCGTGTGACAGATGGCAGCAGAGGGGCACTCTGACATAGGAGTGCGGATGAAGCAGAAGTCTAATTGAATTTCTCCATGCAGAAACAAATGGCACCCATTGACATTTATTAATACTTGCTGAAATGTTTGTGGAGAACAACCAGTGGATGTGAGCACAGTGAGGCAGTGGGTGGTGCGTTTCAGTGGTGGTGACAGCCACAGTGGATCATCTCCACTGGAGCAGATTGCTGTGAGTGCAGCACGCAGGCTCTCGTTCACCACTGGTAAAAATGCAGAGCTAATGGCAGTGGCTGTGTTGAAAAAGAGTATTTTGTAGTTGAGATTTTGCTCTACCAGTGTTATTGTGCTCTTTGTATCATTGTAGTTTCCATGGAAATAAATAGGGGGTGTTACTTTAGGAGCAAGCTTTGTGCATGTGGCCCAAGACAATTCCTCTTCAGGCAGTGTGGTACAGGCAAACCAAAAGGCTGGATGCCCAAGGCCTACTGAATGTCATGGGTAGGAAGGTGTTCCTCAAGTGGCCATGCCTCTGTTTCATCCTGGTATGCTCAGCTGTACTCTGCACTAATTCATAGGTCTTTTGATCCGCCAGCAAACACCTGTGCACTGCCTTTGTACCTGAGCTCTGTGCTGCCCTTCATTTGGTCCCTGAGCTTCTTGGAAGGCTGCTTTTACCCAAACTGCCCATTTTTCCCGATGGGTGGTATCACTGCAATTAGCCCTTGGTACAAGCTCACACCTTGCTCTGAAGCCGTGGCACAGCTTGCTGTTAATAGACACCCACACACCAGGATATTTTCAGAGAGCCTGCAGTAAAAAAATCACTTGCAGGATCACTTTCCAGGCATCGCTATTTTGGTGTTTATTTATTTATTTCTTCTTTTACTGCTTTTTTTAAAACCTACTTGTGTTTTCCATGGCCCAAGCATCCTCTTCTGCCTGCTCAGTGTGCAGCAGCCCTTTGCCCAGGTCCCCTCGGGCCCCCTCCTCTTCCACCATAGGGAAGCACTGGTGGGTCAGCCTTGAGCCGGCTGCTCCGATGACAGTGTAAGCTCCTTAGCGATTCTCTCCTGCAGAGCCACAGCTTAGGGGAGCACCCTGCCCCTAGGCTCTGCTGGGATTCTGCTTGCTGGGAACCCCACAGAGCAGCAGCAACAGCAGCAGCAGATGTGCATCTCGATCCTGCACCAGCACACAGATCTGGGGGCTGTCACAAACACACGGCACATCGATGTGACGTCCCAGCACCACATCGCTCCATCCCTGCTTGTCATGCATCAGATAAGAAGCACGTCTCAACAGTTAGAAGGAGGGGAGTTTTTTTCCCTCTCTATTTTTTGCAGCTTTGAAGAAAAAAAACCCAACACCCAACAACTAAAGGCCCAACCCCGCCTTCAGATCACAGTAAATAACATCTTTAGTGCCACTCTTTGGCACAAGAGGTACATCTAACAGAATCACTAAAATTACTGTGCAGGCAATGTACTGCAGAGCTCCGAGTGGGAAGGAACAAATGTGTCAGTAAGATCAGAAAAGGCCAAAAATTCTCAAGGGAACACTTTAGAAAAAAATATAATTGATGTTCTCGAGAAAAGAAGAGAGGCAAAGGTTGATTTTTCTTCATTTTTCTTTTTTTTTTTTTTTTTCCCAAGTATTTTCAAAACATAAAAGATTTGTAGAAGCACTGAGGAGACAACAGGCATAAAAGAGAAATGAATTTGAATTAAATAGGTATAATTGTCATTATTTCAATACGGCTTTCATCAGTTCCAGGTAAATACTGGCACGTAGTAAGTGGAATACAAAACAGATGAACAAAAGGAGAAGCCAGATTAAACATCATTGAAATAAAGGTGCAATACAAAAGAAAAGTGCCCCCACCAAGGACTCATCATGCCCCTTTCCGGGCTTCATTTGTCATCCTAGAAGGAGGCTTCCCACTCTCTGGAAATCAAGGTGCTCATTGCACTAGACGGCTGTATGTCTTGGCCCCATGTTTCTTACATACCTCCCACCTAACTACTCCTCTGTGCCGGGGTGCTCATGGCAAACAGGGAGCTGAAATGCACAGCCTTTCAAAAAAATGTGATAAAGCCATTCATTGCCCTCTCCTTTCTCCTTCCTGAGATGGTTCTTCCAGGGCTACAGTCAAATCTCTCCCTGTTTTAAAATGTTTTCTTTCCTCTTGTGCAATGCCACACTCATGGAAGCAGCCACGCTGGGGACATGCAGGCAGTGCTCTGCACTAGGAGAAGCAAAGGGAAAGCAATACTGCTCCTCTCTCTGAGCCCTGCTAAATGCAGAGGCTGCTTGCACAAACAAGAGCTGATGTTTTTTTCCAGCTGAAGATCTAGGCCACCTGAATTGTAAAGTCAATGAACAGTCAATAACATTTTCCATGACCAGGAAACTTACCAGCTTACTCTGGTAAATCAAGTGACTGATGTTTATTCTACACTTCAGTTCTCCATTTTGCCTTACAGCGTGCCTTCTCATGCTCACACACACACTGTTAATTCTAGCCACTCTAAATACGATGGCTTGCCATTGTGGCTCAGTGGTCAGGATGTCCAACACGATGTCTCAGAGGTGACCTCCTGAAATCCCTCAGCTTTGTCATTGTTCCTTCTGGCTGCACTTCCCTTCCTCCTTTCTTTCTCATGTTCAGGCACATTCTCAATAAGCAGAGATTTTCTGACACCTGCAGTTATCTGCTCTTGTTGCTAAATACCAGTATTCCATTGCATGGTGCCTCGTTGTGCTTCTGCCTGCCCTTTCTGATGCTTCATGTTTATTGTTTCCAGCCTCAGCTCAGCTCAGAGAAAAGCTTGACTCCAAAAATCCATGGGATGAAGGAGAGCCAAAGAAACCTTGCCCACCCTTTGCAGTGCCCATTGCCCCCCAGCTGAACGTCCTTGCTGTTGCTTGTCCCCTCCTCCATTCTTCACCCACGAGAACCTCATGTAGTTGCTGTTTTGCCCCACCTGCAGACCAGGGCTGCTACCTCCTCCCCATTCCACTGTCACCATCCCCACATCCAGTGCTGAGAAAAAGCATTCATGCCCAGCCACATGTTGGAGGTCTCTCACGGCCTGGTGATTTGGGGGACAGGGAAGAGGCAAGACAAAACACCCTGTCCCTCACAAATACACACAAGTAATGCTTTACTTCAGTGAACTGATGGCTTGCTCAATGTCCTGGGGCACTGCAGGAGCTGTAAATAAGACTCTTTCTGTTTTAATGTTTTTTTTTTTCAGTCCTGTACTTTTAAAACAGCCTGCGGCAGTGGTGCAGACTCACGACTCTTCCATGAACTGCAGCAATTCGTTCTGTCTGACCTACAATTACCAATTATCTTTGTAACCTTCCTTGAAGGCAAACATGCTCACTATAAAAGCATGCCGGCCATCACATTTTGAAACTATTGGCAGCTAGCTTTCCTCTTCATTTCCTTTGTAGGACAGGGCCCATCACAGCTGTAAACACACCAATATATCAATTACTGCTTTTTCCAGCCAACCGCAGACAAGGGCATTGCTTTCTCTCCTTTCTTTCCCAACATCAGGGGACATCAGGGGGATGCTGTGGGATGCTTGGTCTGTTCATAGCCACCACTGCCCAAAGCCCAGCACCAAACAAAGGCCAACAAACCAACAAAGGCCAAGCTACTTGCAGGGTGCTGCCTTTTGCAGCCACTTTAACCCACTTTGGCTCAGAATTGCAAAGTTTGTGCCATACTCTGGATTGGTTGAATAGGTCCCAGCATTCACCCTGAAAATGACTCCTTTTGTTGTTTCACTCACAGCTGCTGGGTTTCCAGCTGTAACCATCAATGAGGGGATAGAGTTTGGTCTTGGCTCTCAAATCAGGGACTCTGAAGGGTCTGCTTAAGGGCTCGTTGCCTACCAGAAGCAACAGCCCTGCAGCAGCCAGTGCCATTAAACAGAGCATCAAGCAGGCAGGAAATGTGCTTCATTGCTGTTACAGGAATGGTCCCAGCCTCCACCATATCAATCTGATGATGAGGAACATTAACCGCTACAACTTTTCATCAGAGACTGATGTTAACTTTTTCAGCCAGGGCAGATGCCTTGGGTTAGCATGGAATATCCCAGAAACCAGAAATGCTTGTTTGGGAACCTGAAGTGAGGGAGACCATCTCTGTGTTTGCAAAACGTTTTTAAGTATTTCTTCATCATTTCATTCCTTGCTGCGGTCTTTCTTTTGGATTCTTGATACATTCAGGCTCACTGTCAAAGCTTAGGAGAAGCTGCATTTCAGTAATAAACAGAGCTTTGTGTACAGTTTATATTTCAACTGATTATAATTGCACAGCATTTGTGAATCTTTTGCGATGAAACTTGCTGTGTAAATGCAAGATGTAAATTGCCAGCATTAGTTGGACCTTCCTAGGCTCAGCAGAGTTAGTGTGTGAATGAATAAATCATAACTAGATTTCAGTGAATAATTCAGAGCCTAATTCATCTGATAGAAAATAAAAAATTAAAAAAAAAATCCTCTTTTCCTATTCACAACATCACTGTTTGCAGATTGCTGTTTTCTTGTGGTTTCTGTGTGCAAGATTTTACTTGCTCCATACCTCAGCCCTCAATTGGCCACGTTCGTTGTATCTGTTGGAAACGTGAGGGCTGACGTTTGGCTTGTATTGATGATTTATCAACAGTCATGGGAACTTTTAAAAGTATTTTATTTTCATAGTTGTCTGGGCACTATTCTACTTGTCTAAGTGCTATTAAAACAGCCTGCTCTGGGCTTTGCAGGGAGTTAGGAGAGCTCTTTCAGTAAGGATAGGGCTTGTAAGATATCATTACTCAGGGACAGGCAGAAGATAAACCAGGTCAGGTGTTACAAAAATAGCAGTGCTTCCTCTTCAGCCACAGTACTTTTCCTTAAAAAAAAAAAAAAAAAAAAGGAAAGGGTGTTTTGCATATAAGATTGATTGGGAAGATCCATTTACATTTTGTTTATCCTCCATGTCTCTCAGAGGAAGATTCTCATGAGAGCCACCTCGAGGGGTGCTGTATCTCCTCTGAAGCCACCAGTGATCTGCAATGGCTGTAGGCTGCAATTTCACCTGTCATCAGCTCTTATTTTTACAAGCAAAATGGGAAAGGAAAACTGTAGGGCAGGAAGATGGCAAAAATGAATGGAGGCAACGTCAGTTGGAAAGCAGAGACTGAAACTGACATGAGCTTCTCCTCAGGATGTTTCAGGCATCTGATTGGAAAAAGGAAACATCAAAGCCATCACAAAGAAAGCCCAGTGGCAGAGTAGCAATGATATGGGCATATCAGCATCCTGCTCCTGCCCACAGCTGATGCCCATGTCCTCTTGCTTTCCCCCTGGCAATCAGGGGAGATTCTACCTTTCTCCCTTTATTTGAATCAGGCTCAGGAGTAAATACCCATTGCATTTCCTGATATTATCATGTCTGAAATCTCTCTCTTCTTCTTCCCTCCATGCCCGCTGCCTGCAGCTGTGCTGGCCCTGTCCCCTGGTGAGGTGAGTCCATACAGCTGGCTGGGATCCTGCAGACAGTAGGAGAAACACAAAGTGCCTAACACCTCTGGGAGTGGGTGGAGGAATGTGGTATGGATGGGGGACCATTTCTGCCATGAGTTTGTTACCAGTTTCAGAGCGCTGGTCCCCTTAGCAGAAGCAACTTTTAAATCTTTGTATTTTGAAATTCCCCCTATGCCTTCCTCATGCACCAAAAGAGTGAATCTGCATGTGTATCCATGAAAGTCATCTGAGTGTCACAGGCAGAGCACTGAGGAGCAGCCGTTTGCACTGGGGACTCTCCTCTGCCTCACTCCAACAGCAGCTTTCAGTCAGCACTCATCACATGATATCCTTCTGGGGGGATCCTGGTGTGGCAACTCCTCCTGACACAGGAGCATGAGGACAGAACACCCTGTGGCATTTCAGCGGTCCCAGCAGGGCTGTAGGACAGCCATGTCTTGTGCAAAAGAAATAGGCTGCGTGGTACAGCCTTCAGCCCTGTGTGCAGGAGGACCAGACTGCATCCAGTGTGGCTGAGCCAGGAGGTGACCCCTGATGCTCGCTGGCATGGCATGGCCTCAGGGCTGTGGGCTCTGCAGTGACACCATGGTTCAAGAGCAGCCAAGAGGGCTGCAAGATTTAGATGCAGACACCTTTCATTTCTCTGTGGATGTCACTCTATTAGATCGCACTCATGTTTAGGCTTCTGGACTGGTATTTAGCTTTGTGTCACTATCATCGATTACTAAGTTGATTTTTTTTATTTTTAATTTTCCCTTTAGGATGAGAGATTGGAGCTGTGGCACAGCAAAGCTTGCAAATGCAATTGCCAGGGAGGACCTAATTCGGTGTGGTCCAGTGGAACTAACAGCTTGGAGTGCATGCCAGGTAATGGGTCGCTCTCTTTCAGCAGTGTGTGTGCTATGGTCCTCAGCATCTCCCCTCATTGCACCCTGCACTGCAGCGAGGAGTTGCAGTGGTGCCTGCCCCAAACACTGGGCTGGTGGAGCTGTGCCCATGGGAGGTTCAGGGTGAAAGATAACAGCACCCCTGGCCTGGTGAGGGCACCCAGGGTGGTTCAGGCTGGCTGATGCCTCTTCCCAGCTCGACAGAAAGCAAACAAAAACATATGCATATGTAAGAGCTGCAAGAGATGACACGGTTAGCAGAGCATGTACAAATGAGAGGGGCAGAAAACAGATGTTCTGTTCCACAGTGGTGTTGGATGTGAAGGACTCCTGCCTGAGGATGACTCAGCTGGTAAGAACAGAGGCTTCTCAGCCATCCACACCTGGCCCTTTGCTTCCCCTGAGCTCTCCAATAAAACCATTTGAATGCATCCAAAGGAGGGCTAAAAGATATTGAAGGCTCTGCAAAGCAAGACGTATGAGGAGCAGCTGAGGCTGTCAGTTTGCTCAGCGCGGAGCAGAGGAGCTGAGGGGAGGCCTGACGGCGGCTGCAGCTCCTCGCAGGGAGCGGAGGGGCAGCGCTGAGCTCTGCTCTGTGTGACAGCGACAGGGAACGGCGTGGAGCTGCGTCAGGGGAGGGCGGCTGGGGGTCAGGGAAAGGGGCTGCACCACAGGGCGCTGGGCGGGGCACTCCACGGGTTTGCTTCAGGTCAGCAATAACGGCGTTATGTGGCTGAAGCTGGTTTGGCCAGACAGGCAGCAGGCACCTGTTAGTGGGTCTGTGTGTGCGGCATGGCCCCGCGTACCAGAAGGTGACCTGCTAATTTCATTATACTCGTGTGATCTATGGATTAGTGATACTAAAATAAAACTACGCTGCCTTTGAGATAAGCCTGCCGAGTAGTGAACATGTGGGGCCACCTCAGCTGCTCTGCAGAAGCGGTTTCTTATGCAAAGGGAGACACTTAGGCAGGTCAGGGCCCCAGCCACAAGAAGGACATGGAGTGGGTCCAGAAGAGCAGCTCTCCTGTGGAGAGGGGCTGAGGGAGTGTGGACTGTTCCAGCTGGAGAAGGGAAAGCTGCAGGGAGACCCCATTGCCTTTCAGCTCTTAAAGTAGCCCACAGGAGATCCAGAGAGGGATTCTTCATCAGGGAGTGCAGTGACAGGACAAGGGTGATGGCTTTAAACTGAAAGAGGGGACATTTGGTTTAGGTTTACTGTGGAGAAAATGCTGATGGTGGTGTGTTGAACCTGCACTAAGAAGGCAGATAGCTATAAATATACCAGATGGTTTTACCCCTGCTACCACATCCCATTCAGCCCTTCAGAAAAGTGAAAGCTAATCTCTGTTTCCTTCTGATCTTTTCTTTAGTGTCGTATAAATGCATATAAAGTGTGTGCTGTGGGTGCAGGGGTTTCAAGCAGCTGCTATTGGTTGTTGTTATTGGACTTGGTGTTTCCATGCCTGGAGGAAGGCAGGGCAACAGCTGCGTGTTTTTTGGGAGGAAAATACATTAACGTAGCACTGCCTGAACAAGATATCTTAATGAGATATTGACGTGTAAGATACTGACTTGGTGGAATTTGCTGGTGAGACATTGACCATCCCACTGGTGTGCTCAGGCATGGCACAAACCAAGGGGCAATGGCTGGAGGAGGCAGTGGCCACACTGTGCTCTGGGTGCACTCTGGCTCCCTGCACATAGAGCTTATTTGTAATCACAATGCATTATAGTGGTCTATCAGACATATTTAAGGCCCGGAAATGAAAGATATATACCACTTCACTCACTTGTTTATTGCCCATGAAACAAAGCATGCTAAGATGTAAAACTTGGTAGAGTTCCTCTTTGGGGCATGCACGTGCAATGGGAATATCCCTCTCCATAGGCTGCAAAATGACAAAATGCTGTAGGCAAGTATTTGCCCAAGCAGCTCCCACATGAAGCTTGTGAGCATCTTTTTTATCTGCATCTAAATACCTAGCGATAAGCTGCTTGTGTAAAAGATTATCGTAACAAAAAATGCTTGGTCCAAGGAGCGTTCAGCTGCTCTGCATGTTGGCAGCCACTGGGAGCCTTGATGAGCCTCTCAGTGTTGCAGAAAGCTGTTGTGCAATCAGGTTTGGTAACCTGGAGATTGGAAGGCAAAACTCAAAAGATCTCTAAGCCTTCAGGAAGGCCAGGCATTACACCTCACTCATGCATAAGTACCTGCACATTTTTCCATAAGGGAAGACTATCTGCAAGCACAGTTACAACCCCCAGAGCAGAACACACAGATCTGGTTGGAGAGGCTCAGCAATTCTGCTGTGTAGGCACAGCTGTAAATCATGATAGTACATGAGAAGGAGAGATGAGGCAAAAAAAGTGGTGCCAGACATTTCCCAAGGACAGCCTGGAGGCGGGATCCAGGACCATAGATCCATTTGCTTCTGCTTGCAAGAAAGGGGAGATTGGGAGACTACAACATGCACAAATAAAACCTTTTCCCTCAAAACATCACGAGCAGCAATGACTTAGGAATAACTATATGTAAGAATAAGAAATTTAGATGTCACATTCCCTGGACAGCAAATAACTGCAGCGGTTGTGGTCAGGGCTTAAGAGCATCCCCACCATCCTGCACAGAGAGGGTAGGGCACAAGGAAACCACAGAGGTTGTTGACAAAAGATTAGGACAAAGGCAACCAGAAGGCAGAGCAGCTCGTGTCACTAATGGTGCCATGTTTTCATCTCGCCCTGCAGAGTGCCCCTACCACAAACCCCTCGGCTTTGAGTCTGGCGCTGTCACCCCTGACCAGATCAGCTGCTCCAACCCCGAGCAGTACACAGGCTGGTACTCCTCATGGACAGCCAATAAGGCCCGCCTCAACGGCCAAGGTTTTGGGTGAGTCTGAAGACCCTGTGGGAGGGCATGAGGTAGATACGAGGGGCATGGATTAATGAGCACAGTGCTGATGGTTGGTGGTTGGACTAGATGATCTTAAATGTATTTTCCAACCTTAACGATTCTATAATTCTGTAATTCTATGGAGGCCAAGCCCCTGGCAATGTGGGGCAGCAGGGTGGCCTGGGTGGCAGTTTAGGGCGCAGCGGGGCCGATGGTGTCCCCCCAGGTGCGCCTGGCTCTCCAAGTACCAGGACAACGGGCAGTGGCTGCAGATCGACCTGAAAGAGGTGAAGGTGATCTCAGGGATCCTCACACAAGGGCGCTGTGATGCTGATGAGTGGATGACCAAATACAGCGTGCAGTACCGCACCGATGAGAACCTCAACTGGGTTTACTACAAGGACCAGACCGGAAACAACCGGGTGGGTGGACCTTGTGCTTTGTCTTACAGTGGTGGTTGCAGGGGTGCATTTGATGACATTGAAGTCTTGGGGGAGGCAGCTTAAGGGAGGGGTCCTGTATGAAAAGCAGGTGGATGGGGCCTGGTGCTTACCCATGGCACACAGGGGTCCAGCCCCATGGCCATCACGCTGCCATGGTGACAGCGAGTGCAACGCTAATCAGCCCCTGAACTGTGTCTGCCTCTGCATCTCTTGGCAGGTTTTCTATGGCAACTCGGACCGGTCATCCTCAGTGCAGAACCTGCTGCGGCCGCCCATCGTGGCCCGCTACATCCGCCTCATCCCGCTGGGCTGGCACGTGCGCATTGCCATCCGCATGGAGCTCCTCGAGTGCCTGGGCAAATGTGGCTGAGTGCCCACTGGGTAGAGGTGTGCAGGTGTGTGCCTGTATGGCCGTCCCATCTCACTGCTGATGTGTGCTGCGGCCACGATCCTGCCGACCCCACAAACAGAAGGGCTTTCTTGAATAAAACACTGCTTTACATGACACCTGGTGATACGGCTGAACCCTACTCCAATAGCTTACTGTTTTTCAGGGGTTTTCAGAGGGTTTGTTACCATGGCTTCAGTCCCATGAGATACAGTGTTTCTGATTGTGGGAACTAGACACGGGACACAGTCCTGATCCTGGGTGCTAGATATCATCATGGCACGCTGTGTGCATGGGAGGTAGACTTGTGCTCCAGTTTCCATGACTGCCTCACCCTCCATGGCCTAGTCCCCAGTGGGTGCTCTGTAGGTGCGGGTGTGGGCTCAACCTTCAGCAGAGGGCGCCCAAGGGCTGGGGCAGGAGCCACGGTGTTTTTGGGGTGAACAGAAGTTCTGCCTTTGCCCTGACTGGAGTTTTTCCCAGTTCTCTAGGATTTTCCTTTCCTGCAACAGAGGCAAAGCAAACCCACACCAGCAGTGCAAGGTTGGGCTTTCTGGCCATCCATTGCTTCACTCTTTTGACATATTGCTCAGGTAGATTTTGAGAGTAACCAACATCTCGCAAGGAATTTGGGGCATGTGGCATTCTGAAAACTTGTGCTACACTGTCCTAACTAGGAGGTCTGTGAGACCCTATCTACTGAAATTATTATGTCACTGTTGCACTCATGCTTTCATCCACAAAATGAGTTTTGTCTATCCATAAATGAGTTGAGGGGCACATTTTCTTAATAAGAGTGCTCCTGAATAATTTGTTTGAGCTTTCAAGCTTCATCCACAGCCTAAGTGGATGGACCACATGCCCTTATATACCAAGATAATTTATTTAGCATCTCATGACTGATACTATATTTAGATATAAGACTCAGAGGAAGGAAAGACTGCCCAGGCAGCAAGGGTTTGTGCCATCACTCTCCCTGCTCACAGCTTTGAACAGGATGCTAGATTCCTTTTCCAGGCTGCAGTGTACAGTGATAAATAGGTGGAACTAATTGGCACACACTAAATTTCATGGTTCGTTTGTGTCCTGCCTCACCCTGTCCTTTGCCTGCACCTCACCTCTCAGTCCGGATGGGGAAGAAACCTGCTGCCAGCTTTTCCCTTTTATTTTTAATGCTCTAAAGCAGACATTTCTGCTCACATCCAAGCTGTGCCGCTCGCCTGCTAATCGACCTTTGGAAATTCACTTAACCTCTGCCTCTTATCTAAAAAGCGGGGTGCTGAGAGGCTTAATTAATTAAGTGGTCCTAAAATGCTTTTAGAAGTGCGCTTGACTTCCACTTCTGCATAAACACAGCATATTGAAGAAGGGTGCAATTGAGGGCATTATGAAAGCCGTCGAAACACAATTACAAAACTGCAAAGCTTTTCCTCATGAAGTCAAACTTTTCCTTTTTGGGCACAGATAACTCCAATTACCATTATCCAAATGAGAAACAGTGCCTGAGTCATCAGGAAATGGTACAAAGCAGTGCTAAAAAGGCAGTATCTTCTAGGAGGGAAAAATCCTACAGATATTTTACCTGTGGAAGTATGTGCACAGCTCTCCAACTTGTAAAATGCAACAGTTTCGAAATGGGAAGCAGGACAGAGCCGCATTCAGCCTCATGACATGAATGAGTGCAGTGCTTACAGAGTGCTGAGCTTTGCCTAATCCAAGTGGTGTGACAAGAGACTGCCTCAGGCCCTCCAGTCCAGATCCATCATTTCTAAGTCTGCAGCCCCATTCTCTTAATTATTTCCCACAGAAATAACCCCTGAGCAGCTGTCAGAGTGAGATACCCACACAAACTCTGCTCTCCCTCCCAAGGACAACCAGTGCTGACCACACTGTGGCTACCACAGCGAGGTGGGCTGTACCCACAGCCCTGTGCATCCCGTTCCCTGTGTGAGGAACACTCATTCCTCACACACCTTCACTCCAGTAAATTCGTAGCCCTCCTTTGGACACACTCTAATTGCTTGATGTCCTTCTGACATTGTGGTGCCCAAATCCACACCCAGTGCTGGAGGTAAGCCGCACAGTGCAGAGCACAGCAGGACAATCCCAGTCCTCTCCCACTGGCAGTGCTGGGCCTGGTGCAGCCCAGGGTACAGCTGGTCTTTTTGTCTACCAGGGCACTCTGAAATGCTGAACCATTGGTGGGTGGAAGTTAAAGGCATTAGCTTGGGCCAGACCAGTTTTCCTTGTTTGAGACTCAATGCTCAGTGAAGGCAGCAGCAGCAGCAGCATGGTCTCACAGCAGCTGTGGCTGCAGCATAAGCCACGTGGTGGCCATTTCAGAAGGACTTCGGCAAGTAGGGCATGGAGCTCCCTGCTCCTCAGTTTGTTTCCAGTTACCCCAAGGAGTGAGAGACTGGCAGCCAAATATTTGAAGTTTTTTGAAGCTGCACACAGTAATAAACTAAGTCATAACCAGGACACGTTAAAGGTGAAGCCAGCAATATCACTGACACCTAAACATTTGTCCAGAAGAGTGTCAGTTTGTGTGGGAATGACTAAGTCCCAACAGGTTACTCAGACACAAATCACGGGCCGGAATGTTGTAGGGCCCATTAATTTCTGGTTAATGATTGATGAGTGCATGAGGGGGGTGATGCTGTTCAAAAGATAAAAAGCAGAGGGAGGGAGGGAGGGAGGGAGGGAGGAAGAGAGGAAGGGAGGAAGGGAGGGAGGGAGGGAGGGAGGGAGGGAAGGAAGGAAGGGAGGAAGGGAGGGAGGGAGAAAGGAAGGCAGGAAGGCAGGAAGGAAGGCAGGAAGGCAGGCAGGAAGGAAGGAAGGAAAGAGGGGGAGAAGGGGAGAGGGGGAGAAGGAAGAAAAAGTTCCAGTGTTTGCAGTGAGAGGAATGGTTGGAAATGGAGTGCTTCAGAGCTATCTTGTCTGTGATCTGCAACCTGCTGTGGGGTACCTGCTTTAGCAGGGGGTTGGACTAAATGATCTCCAGAGGTCCCTTCCAGACCCTACAGTTCTGTGATTTTGTGATGCTGTGAAAACATCATCATTATTGCAAACAGACACATGCTGGCTTCTCAAACAGGGAGTGCATCAGGACCTGGGCAGAGCAGCTCTGTCACAGCTCTGCCCCATCCAGGGGCACCAGGAGGGCTCTGTAAGCAGCGTGGCACAAATAAGAGCAGCCATCAAGCAGTGCCAATTTTCTAGTGCAAAATCTGCATTTTTATTAAAGACATATTTTGGAAGGCCCATTCAAAAATACATTGTGCTCAGTAAAAATTAACCATTTCCATGCTGATAATTAAGGTTACCACAGGATTTTTTTTTTCTCTTTTAGAATATTTACAGCAACAATATAAATATTACAGAAGTTAAGAATGGAATACATGCCCAAAAAAAAATTTGGTAAGGTGTACCAACAACATGATACAAAGCGTTGTATACAAACATTTTACAAATGGTTTATTAACTTGCATGAAGTCATCCTTAAATATTCAGCACAATTTAAAATCGATTCGTATTTCCAGGATTAAAAAGATTAACACCACAGCACATTCCTTCCACAACAGAAAGCATGGCAGATCTAAAAATCTGTGCGCTTCGGATTTCTAATAGCTGTTAAAAGTATTGGGGAATCATAACCATAAATGTAGGAAGTTTTGAAAGCCACCTCCCCAGTCGGGTATTTCTGGAATAGTGATTGTGAAAAAAGACCCCATTCTTCCTAACTTAGTTTTTCCTTCTTTCTGCCAAATGAAACGAATTCAGAATTCAGTATTTCACAGTGGAGATCTAAGCAGTCCTGGAAGTCCTTATCAGGTTCACCAGATTTAAAAACACCTGCATAGAATTTCCAACAAATTACGTTTTCGTGGAAGATTTCACTCATTGTTCCTTGTAAACCACATACATATGGATGTTACTCTTTTTGATTAGACATATTCTTCAGTAGTCTAAGATGTGCACTAGCTGGAGAAAAAAAAAGTCAGAAAAGGGAAGCCAAGACAGTTAACACACCTAAAGTTTTGCCTTACTAAACAGTTAAAAGCTCTGCCATTGGATTTACAAGTCAAGAATTTACACCAAGAGGTTCATAAGCTACAGGAAACTTGAATAACATCTTCCATCTTGCGCTATGAACATGCTGTAAGTTTGCTAATGGAAAGCTCTACGAAAGCAGTTACTTCACAAAGCATTTATACGCCTATACAATTAAGATGCCACCTTGCATTTCTCAGAATGGACCCAGAGAAACAGTGCTCTGTGAAAACAGAGACCTGGTGGAACAGAAAGCCTGGAAGGCAGTCTGTTTTGGTGGGGCACAATGAGGTAAGGTATCTCACCCAGATGGAATGGAAAATAAAAGTGAAGAAACTCCTGAGCAAGTCTAAGGATAGCTGTTCGAATAAAACAGCAAACAGGGTGGAGTAGTAGATAAGGCCTCTAACTCCCTGATAAACTGCACTAGAGAAACAACAAAGAACAAGGCAACTGCAATATTTGAGAACCACATGGGGAAGAGCAAGGGAAGACTGCAAAGCAGTGCAAAGGATGGTGTCAGGATTCCAGGAGAGCTGAGATGGCTTGGAGGTTTTAGAAGTGTATTGGATGAAGGCCCATCAAAATTTTATTACTTGGTTGCTAACAGTACCTAGAGGAAGAATCTTTTCATACATTTATTCGAAATTTAGAGTCAGTAATAAACTCAGAATAAACAAACAAAACCTCAACCACATTCTGCAAGAGAGAGGAGGTAGATTGACTTGTAGAGAAGACAAGAGATGCGCAGAGTCACTCTTAGCCTTAGTCCACATTCCAAGTTCAGATTCTTGAGCCACGTTTTAAGAGTCACATTCACAGGTTACATTCTAAAAAGAGCCTGAGAAATAATTTGACTTGCTGGAACAACAGCATCGATGTATAGAGGGCTCTTTCTCTCACACTTCTGTGCATCTTCTGCTTAGGTTGGCAAGAAAGCCAATGTCTGCTCCAAGCAGTTGGCTGCATACAACGATACTCCTGCTAGCAAGTGAGCATCCCAGCATAACTTGGAGCAAAATTAACTTTACATGTAACCTATCCTGTCTCATGCAGTAGCTGTAATGAAAGACTGCTGAGACAACAGATGATCTATGACAGGATTTACCT